TCGAGACATATTGATAAGCTGCGAGATTTTAAACTAAAAGATTACGAGATATTTGCGAGGAAATGCATTAGAATATTTATGGATAATAACTGGGTGTATGAAAAGTTCGACGGCAAATCTCTACTTTTCTACTGTTGGAGTAAGAATACTATGGCCATGTCAATTTTTTTGGATCATCTTCCAATGCAAGTGATATTCGAATTGGCCGCAAGTCCCAGCTTCAATGGGAAGTCAGCCATAGAATATTATCAGACTGAGGAAGAAGTGAACTTTCCTCTCAATTACTTGGAATATTTGTACAAGAATTCACAAAAAGAGGATTTGTTTCAATGTATTGTACCTTTTCGAAGGGATCACATTAACATCAAAGCCTATTGCAAAAATATTAACCTGCATTACATGCTCTTCTCCTCAAAAAGAAATAATGTTATTGACGAACATTTCTACGAATCCATGATAGAAAAACTAATTGAAGAAATTGTGAAAGAAGTGGAAGAAATTCAACCAAATCTTCTTCATCTTTTCGCTTGCAACTCAGAATACATTGACTTGGATCAGGCGTTCGTGGAGGAGTTTTTCAATGAACTGGAAAATCGTTCATATTTCATGGAGGCTTTCGGGGGACGGAGAAATTGTCTGGTGAATTGGCTGATGATAGTTGATGACAATGGAGATAATTTGTTCCATATCGCCGCCAAAAGAAACAACAATTTCTTCATGGAATACATTATTCCGAAATTGACCAGTGAAGAGTTAACTGACCTTCTCAAAATGACCAATACAAATGGTCAAAACTACTTCCACTGTCTATGCAATACCTATCATATATGGGAGTACAAGGTTTGCATTCCTGAGAATGATCTTGAAGAAATATTTTTGCGCCAGGATGTGAACGGAAAGACGCCATTTCATACCCCCAGTGCGGATTTTTTTGTAACCTTTGGCCCTATGCTGAGTGACGATGCACTAATAAGACTGTTTAACTTGCGAGATGTTGATGAGAACAACATCTTCCATCATATTGCCAGAGATTATCAGGCTTCTGAAGATAGTGGGATGGCAGAATTGAGAATGTTTTGCACTCTGAATCTCTCACCGAAAGTCAAAGCAGAAGCTCACAAAGCGTGTCTGGAGAAAAACTCAGAAGAACTGACACCAAATGATCTAGATATTAAGCTTACCATATAGAGAGGGAGATTAAGTGTTAAAATTATCATATGTTTTGGTAGAAATATAATAAAGACACATCTGCTTTTTTATCAAGATTTGACTTGATCGCATTCTTCGAGGAATTCCACTCAATTTTCTCAATGGGGGGCTCAAGTTTGAATGAAATTGCAGCGAAAATTACACTTTAGTGCTCCACTTTCGACATTTAAACACACATACCGTGCCAAAGTAATTCGTAAAAGCTGTATAAGTGATTTTACTGCTGTGCGTAAATTAATATTCATTGCTGATCATAAGTAAATTGCATGCAATTCTTTCCCTCCATTGTTCAGTTTTGCAAAATTCATCTGCAAATTGACCTCCCTTGCCTGGCATTTTTTTTTGTTGTTTTTTACACTCTTTCAGACAATGAAAATTTTTATGCTTCTCTTACCATCTCTCTGGCCAGAAGTATTTGGGCCATTGGGCACGCGAATGAAAATGGAAAGTGAGGGACTTATCAATACAAATACTAATCACTCTCAATTTTTGTTCATCTTGCTTTTGCTGTAGCGAAAAATTCAATTATCGACATGTGCTGTATATTTTTTGCATTACCATTTAATGTACTTTTCACGTGCTTCACACAATTATTCGCGAAGCTTCACAGCAAATTTACTTTTGCAGCCACTCAGAGGAATTTATTGAATGCAAATCAAATCGTCTAATGACTTGAATAATTATGCCAGTCTACAGTGTTGTGGAGAAAAGCATGGTTCACATACGCACATGCATTCTGTCGATGATTTTGACTTTGAGCATTTGACCTTAAGATCTCGACTTCCTTTCCAGATCACACGAGAACATTTGAATATCGTCTCATCGATAAAATTTTATTAACCTCTGCACTCTTTCGGATTATAATTTCAAACAAGATTACGTGTTGGGAATAAGAGTTGGAGGTAAACATTTTGTATAATGGGAAACTTTGACCTAATAGAGAATGGATCTCATTCAATTAACTTTTGGCGAAATGAAAGAATAAACTATACACAAATATTTTGTCATGAATTTTAATGAGGTCTTTAGAGTCAATTTAGTGTATTCATTTATTCTCATGTTTTCACACCATTCTCAAAGACTTTCGAGGGGGTTATTTTACCGTAAAAAATTGTTTTGAATTTCATGGGTTCACTGGAAATATAATGTTAAAAAACATTTCTACTCCGTGAATCACTGCACAAGATCACGATCACCGGGCACATTAAATTCAAAAGAGATAAGATTGTTTGGAATGGAACACGCGCAAGGGAGGGAAGTTAGTCTCAAACGATGTACTTGGGGCACAGTATGTAATTACTCATGAAGATGCATAAGTAATTTCAATTGTTACAGCATGGCTCATCCAACATGCCTTGTTTGTTCTCAATCATCCGAATATTAATACCTCAAAATTACACTGCAGCGAGCAAAAGTGAAACTGAATGGGATAAGTTATGATATTGAAATGTGAGGCAATCTCTTAATCTCATAATCACTACTCTTTGTTTCACCTGCCGCAAAGAATGAGACGGAAATCATCTGGAGACTGTCTAATTGAGGCAATCAGAGTGCGAGTGCCTCGTAATGAGACGCAAAGGACTGTAATTGTTGGTTGGGCGGCGGCAAAAAATGATGCATTAGACTTTCAAATTCTTTCATAATGTTCAGGGGAGGATTGATTTGAAACGTGTGGCCGTCTGTTGTGCCCACCGAGATGGAACATGGCATTTTTTGCGCGCGCCGGCGATCCCTTAGCTTATTAGAGATCGTTGGTCTCTGGACGCGCCATCGGGCGGCCCAAGAGCGCGAAAGAGAGGCCCACCACTGGAGGAACTACGAAGCGAAACGAAAAATGTTTATTGGATATAGTGTTGTTTGTACTTTTTTCCATCATTTCTTCTCCTCCATAAAATATCCCATTGCTCGATGTGGATGTCGATTTATCACACCGGAACCGAGAGTAGCTCTTTACTTGACGGCACACGGACAATATGAATCCCTCAGCATTGGGTTTACTCACTTAATTTCCAATTCAGTCGTGCATGAATAAATATAATCACTTTTATTTATTCTCCAGGCCAAAATATCACTCAGTGGGAGATCATCGAGATAATTATATCTTTACAAATTTCCACCCGAAGGGGCCACATTTCTCCGCTGCTTGCGATAAGATACGTGCGCCGGAGGCGAAGAAGACAAGGCAATGGGTAGAGATCATGTTCTATTTTACGATGAAATTCTTTCCACCATTCATGGGACGCGTATCACAGAGTAATTAAAAGAGACGCGCTCTGTGTGGCGGTACTTCAGGGTAGATGGAGTGAAAATAGAGTGAATTTCTCACACATAAATGCATTAAATTCACGGTATTATTTGCGCATATCTGAAAAAAACACACAGAAGAGAGAGAATTCTTGCGATGGGAAATGTAATGAAGAACAATACGAATTCCTTACATTTTTCCGGTGAACGTGTGACGGTCAAATATAAGGTACAGTTTTAATATGCAAAACTGTCGACGCTGCCTATGTTAAATACCCAGTCACTCTGATATTACTTGCATTTCACATCGAAAAGTCATCAAATTTGCACTTCCAACACAATTTTTTACCAAAGCCTTTGTCACATGCTTCCTCTCTCTCCCCTTGAGTGTCTCCAGAACAATTCTGTGTTTCGGAAATGCCTCAAGTTGGTGTGGAATGTAAATGACCTCCGCAATCACTGGTTGAGGTAAACAGAAATAGAGACAATCTCTCGAGCTGCAGACAATTGCTTATTGAGTTGGAGTTTCACAGGGAGTTAAATCCAAATCCACGCATATAGAAGTGCAATTGAGGCTTCCTCACATGGCTCTTATCGAAAATCCACTCAATGCCAACGCACAGAAATTGCATAAATTCCATCCTTCGTGAAAGAGCGGAATTTACACCCGGAATTTATTGTACGCCAGATAGAATTTACACTGCAATGTGTTCGCAAAGGAAGTCAAATTTGGGGAGAACTTAGCACGGCTGATTTTAATGAGATTGCAAATTTTTTCAGTGGAAAAATATACAAAAACAGAATTTTTATTCAAGATAGAGTCTTGAGATTAAGTGCATGACGTTGAAGTGATGGAATTTGAAAATCTAATAAAAATTTCTGGGTCTCTGATGAAGCTTCCTCATTGAGATGAGGCAAGCACGCATGCATAAATTCAACATTTTAGGATTGTCTGAAGAATACGATGGGACTTCTTGTTCCTCTTGAATATTGTTAAATGTAAAATACTCTCATACCAGCTGAGGAATGTAAATTATAGGTCTCCTAATGTATTCCTTGCTGGTCCAATTCAGAACAACTCATTGAATTTCATTGGCTTTTGTGAGAAACAATCAATATTCCAAACCCTGCTTTATTCTTTTACCACAGTAGAGAAGAAAAGATTCGTCCGAATTGGAATTGTCTCGAAATTTTAAAGTTTTCAACATAAATTTTGTTACCAGGACAAGGAAGACTTCTGGCGAGATGAAGTTGGGACGATTGCCGAAGATGGGAAGTTGTAATTTCGTGACTGTGTGCTAGAATGCAGATGTGCAGCTTGTGGTCAAAAATATAGTTTTTTTCTGCTTATTAGCTATATACTCTTGAAACATCTGCCCTCCACTTCGGGTCACCTTTTCTCTGCCTCTCTCGTGGTGCATCTCGAAATCAATTTGGATGCACACCCATGAGTATCGGGTGGCAGATGTTTGGCTCGTGTGTGGAAATGTCTCGCAGAGGCCAGAGAACAAAAATTTATGTCTTGCGGGGTTAAAATTAAAGAAGTCTTGTAGTAATTCTATTGTATTATATGTCCTCTATATATTGTTTTACATATTCGTCATACTGTAGTTCAAGTTGAAAGTCCAAAAATGTATTCTTTGGGATGAATCTCTAAAAATGCACCTCAATATGTTATCCACACTAATAATTGGAATCTTTCTTATTACTCTGCCTAGAGCATTTCGCATTTCTGTGGATATGAAAGTAAACTAGAATGAATATTGGAACAATGAAAAACCAAAACTCTCTCTCTCCTCGATCTTTTGGAATCATCATCAAAATCAATAATGTTGACTTCTATGCTTTGCAGTTAAAATTTAATTTTGCCACAACATAAATTACAACATTGAATTAGTTTGCAGAGTTTAATATTTATTAATTGATTTTCTTCCTCTTCCTTTACCTCTTAAATTCTCATCTTTCTTCTGGATAATTCATATATTTTTTTTTAATAACTTTTAATATGTGTGTATGCGTAATATTTTCAATAAGTTAGTTGTTTTTTCCAAGAGATTAACTTTAGTAGTTGTTTCCATTAGGTTTTTTTCCTTCCTTGCACATTTATACACAAAAATATAGATATTACAGTCATATATTCTTACTTTTTAAAGTAGATTAGGTATAGTTTAATATACATATAGCTTTCCTCAATCTATTTCTTCATATCTTTTACAATGTATACGGAATCCAAAAATTCAATACTTTTTATTTCTGTTTTTTTTTTACTTTTTTTTTCTCAAATAGTGCTTCAATTTAAAGAAGAGATTTAGGTCATTACAGATTCATTTTTTCATCAATATTTCCTCTAAGTGTTCATGACTGTTTGGTGAGAAAACTCATGGGAGTGCATAGAAAACACAAAAAATATAGAGAAAAATTCTTCATTCGTTTATTCTCCTTTCTTATCTCATTTTTTTGGGAAAAGTATGAATTGTAAGCCTCTCTCTCTCCTCTCATAAAAATTCTGATTGTTTATCAACATTTTTGTAAGACGGAAAAATTTATAAATCAATTTTACAATAGACTGTATTTTCTCATAATTACATTCAGTCTGTTCGTTTTTAAATTTTTTTCATGTCTCAGGTTTTCTTCTTCACAAATTTTGAACGTAAAACATGAGTGAAGTCATAATTTTTGCACTTATATTCCCAACTATTTGTGTACTACTGTGTTATCTTTGGATTTTGAGGTGAGAAACCTTGAAACGTAAGTTTGTAGACTATGTGATATGCTAAAAGTAAGAAGGTTTAGGTGTGTGAGCACAACAAAGGAATCAGATGACCTGTAACAGGCTGGTGTTAGATCCTCTGATTGTCTGTTAAAGCTTCCTTTCAATGTTTTCCTCTTTGTATATGATAATCTTTGATTCAAGTATCTTTGGTAAAAATCTATGATATTCTGCAGACAGAAAAATAAATAGACTTTAAATCTTCTCTTTTCTTAACAAGTTTATATACTCTCAGCTACTCTTTGATCTATCTTTCTTTCATTTGGATAATATAACTTGCAATATGTTGATATTTAGTGATCTCTTTTTTTCAATCTCTTTTTGGAAATATTCTCTTGTAACATATGAAAATATACTTTTATATATATTCCTTTTTTGGAGGAAAAATACTCACTAAAAAAGTAAAGAGAGAAGCAAAATTCCTTTCTTCTTGGAATGACAATCCCTGATTCACAATCGCATGTTATCACATCTTTCATTCATTGAACTGAGAAGAAGACAAAGCATTTCCTCTCAGGAGGAACCAATTGATATAACATTACAAAGTAACAGAGACTTTAATGCTGAGGGGCGAGAAATGGAGCTGAAGATACAAAAAACCCTGAGGCATAGTCGATATTTGAAAGATTCAATTGAATATGTTGATGTTGCTCGAACAGTTTGTGTGAAAAAAAGGGTTTTTGGAACAAAAGGCGAAGAATGTCTTTTCTTCATCGCACAACACGGAAAGAAACGAAAGGAAAGTAGTGTGTAAAACCCCCAATGTGAGATGATCCCCTCGAGAGGTGTCCCATGCATCTGGCCAGGGGAAAGTTCTCTGGCTGGTAGATCGCTAACTCCCTGCCAGCGAGACATCTCTTAAGGGAAATTCACTAAACACCCCTTTTTCTTCAACATTCTTCAGCATGCAAAATCACTAAGATTGATCTATTTCTTTTCAGCTTTCTTCTCCGCCTCCTTGGGCTTCTCCTCAGTGTCTGGATGCTCCTTCAACACATCTTTGTCAATGTCCCTCTTGTCTTGTGCATTTGCTGTTGGAAGAGCCTTGAGGATTGCATGCACCTCCTCCGCCACCGCCATCAGGACAAATTCAAACTGCTGCCGTGTCGCCACGAGGCCGGCGCGCTGGTCACGCAGGTGCTCAAGCGTGGCTGCAATGTCAATCTCGCGTGCACCCTTGTTCATTCGCGCCAGGACCAAGTCGAGCAAAATGTATGCTCCGGTCCGACCAGCGCCGTTGCTGCGGATAAAGCATTGAGGTAATTTAATTTAAATGCATCTCACGTTTGCAGCATTTTTCGAGAAATGCATTGATAATTGCGCTCGGCGGTTCGATCAACAAATGCAGGAATACGCAATTGCCTGTGTGTTTTATCTGGTTAAGTGTTTTCCTCCACTTTTTGATCCAACCGACTGGAAAGCAATGCGAAGAAAGAGTCTCACCTGCTGTGCACGACGATTGGGCATGAGCGTCCGCGGTAGGATTTATTCACCTTTCGCCGGAATTCGAGGAGCGCCTTGGCCGATGTGGGAATGCCGGTCAGTGGCCAGGAGAGGAAGTGGAATTGGGTCACCGTGCGCGTCTCACCTGTCTGCAGGTTCTTAAGATAGAAGGAGCGCACGAGGTAGTCATCGCACCAGATGTGCTCACTCACGAGATGCACCTCGTAGATGTGATACACCTGAGCCCCCTCCTCTGGCCAGTAGCGAGCACACGCCGCCTCTCCGTTCTCCTGGAGGCGGCACAGAGCCACGATCACCACGGCGCCCTGCTCCCAAATCATCTGCCAGAAGTGCGAGATGGTGGCCTGAATGGGGCCCTGTGCGGCCACGTAGGCCGGAGCTCTGGGATCGTGATCGGTGATCGTGGAGGCGTTGATGTAGTCCAGGCCGTCAGCATTTGATAGGTGATTGAGGACAACGCGAGAGTGATCGAAGGGAAGCGGCGCTCCGGTACGATTGAAAAGTGTGCACTGCTTCTGCAGGGCAGCTTCTCGGGCATTTGGTTCGGCCTCATACCGACACAGGGCCTCCCACTCTCTCTGCAAGCGTCCCTTGTTCCGCAAGTGATCCTCCATGTAAGACTGGGAGAGAATTGCAAATTATACCACTTAATTTAGTCACTCTTCAATGTCTAACCTACCAAAACCATATGTCCAGTTGAGATATCCATGTTCGTCACCGGTTCCTCACTCCAGGACGATGTGCTGCTCCTGGAAGACGGTGGGCGGCCCTCATTCTCCTTGGAGAGCGAAGTTATACGCCCTCCATTGCCACCGTCATTGCCTTTGCCGGCCATTCGTGCTCTGCAGAGCTCCTGATAATCCTTGCTGCAGCTGTCTGGCGGCAATCCCGAGTTGATCCCACTAAGTTTGTCACGCTTCCTGTCATGACGCTTAATCAGGAAGAGTGTGATGACAATCACAATCACCGCTGCAGCTCCCGCTCCGGCAAACATGTATGCCATCACGTGAGTCACATCGGGTCCTTCTTCCTTGGCCACGACCTTTGAGCTGGTCACACCACCGTTGGGATCTTCCTTGGTCTTGTCGCCAACACCCGCGCGAATCACCACAACTCCCAGTCGCCTGGACAGATTGTTCCTCACGCGACTATCATTGATGGCTCTGGCAATGTCTGCGGCGGTCTTCTTCTCGGGATTCGCCTCCACACGGAAGGACACCTCGTGCCGGTCAACTCGTGGGTGAGTGAAGTAGTTTTGCATGTGTAACATCTCTGACAGGGCTGTCACGATGCGAGATCCATCGCGCCAGTTGTCGATGGGGGTCTTGAAGATCACATGGGCATATTCCATGTCCACTGAGTGTGGTGCGTGATCGTCATCATTGCCATCGTGCAGGACTTTCTTGATTTTCGGACTCTCATCCACCATAAAGTGAGCCGGTAGCACTTCCTTGTTGCCTTGGGCGACTGGTAGCTTGGGTGCTTCATGAGGACTCTGGCTGGACGGTGGCGGAGCCGCAGGTGGTCCGGGTTTCTTCACATCCAGACGCTCATGTCGCGTGAATCCCAGCATGTTTGCCAAGAGATCTCTCGTTTGCTGTTTATCCTCCCCATCTGCAACTGAAACATCCATTAAGTGAAAAGTAATTCAATCTTTCTCCCAGTAAATTCTAAACTTAACAACTAACCATACTGCTCCTGATTGCCTTTTTCTGGTAAATAAACAACACCTCCCTCAGTGTAGACGCGAGACTCTCTCCCGGGATAGTTTTTACGATTCTCCTCTGGTTCACCCTTGCGACGAACGCTGCCCATATATTTTCCAATTGGCATCTGATGTAGACCAGAGTAAAGTACTTCGGGGGGCAACTCATTGCTCTCCTCATCTTCTGTGTCGTAGAAGTAAACTTCCGGGATATTTCTATTCATAGCCACTTCTCTGAATGATGTTGTTGGTATCCCATAGTGGTAATTCACCCTTTCACGCTGCTCCGGCTCATTTAGCAGCTCCTCCTTTAAAATATCGTCATTTTCCTGGCATGATATGGGAAAAGAAGAGTGATGAGCATGATGGTGTTTAACAAGATAATGTGAAATTATTGTACGCGTGAAACCTTGAAATGGGATCTGTTGATATTCTCGAGGGGATTTTCATGATTTTGGGCATGATGTCGAGTGCGTGCTGTCTCGATTCTCTCCTGTTCTTCTGCCAGCAACTCCTTGAGGATTTCCTCACTCAGCTCATCCACAACTCTCGGATCAATTGCCGCATTGGACTTCTCTCGTACGCTTGGCGACTCAAATGACGGATTATCCAATTGATTTCTGAGAAAATTACATTAAACAATGATTACTAAGTTGATAAATATGTAATTGTGAACCGAACTTGTGATTTTCTAGGAGACATTGTGTATATCTCATCAATTTTCCATAAAATTGAATGATTAATTAATGAAAGAAGCCTTAACACGCCCACGTTTTGACGATTTGCCTGTTGCATAGTCTCTATCATAATTACTACTTGTAGCTTAGTTGTTGACCAAAAAGCCTCTCCTTGCGAGCACGGCTTTTCTACGGTACATCCATGACTGCATTCAATCATAGTTCTCGACAGATAATTACGTCTATCGATTAGCAACACGCTCGCCGGAAATAACTCACCTGGGTTGGATGTTTTTCTTGGGTGGAGGGAAGTACACCTCGTCGGCGAAGGTTTCCGAGGGCGGGGAGAATCGAACAAATGCCAGGGGACTCTGAGGGTCGAGAATCTGAGGATCGGGCGTGAGTCCGGCGCAGAGATTGTGGGGCATCGGGGCGTCATTGCGGAGGGCGTACAGAGCTCCTTGAATGCGACACTGTACGAATGGGTGATCCCACGTCAAGCCGGCGCCCTCGAGCTCCTCCAGCATCGTGGCCAGGAGCCCGGATTGCTCCTCCGTGAGCGGCTGTCGGGTCAGTTGTTCAGGTTGCACTCCATACTTGGGGAGGCAGACTCCGAAAGCGAAATCTGAATGGCACAAAAGTGTTGCAGGGAATGATGAAAATAAGGAATTGACTAGACTTACCATCGTAACACCACTCCAGTTGCTCCTCGCAGAGAGACTCAGCAAATAGACAGCCTGAAAAAATAGTATCACAGTCACAATCAAGATCATAACGCAGCTATTCATGAGATTTAATTTTCCACATCGCGAGTAATGAATCATTGCGAATTGGCAGAAATCCTCTTTGAAGAAACATTTCTTCATTTAATCTCGACAAATTCTGCCTCACAAAAGCTCAACATCCCACATGCGTTATATAATCACGAGAGAATTTACTCAAAAGTTTAGAAAGATATCAAATTCTATTTTGAAATATGCGCGGAGGGAATATATTTTAAATAGGAATTCCAATTAGATGCCAAATGTTGGAGCTTTTCTCTGCTGAAGTAGATAAATGGATTTGAGCTTTTTGATAAATATCTGTGAAAGCGCAAGACGGAAAGCGAGGGATTAAAAGACATCATAAATAATTAAGTTCATCCCTTCGGATGAAAATTGCTCATTTTCAGGGAGTTGCAGGAGTGTGAATTTTTGTTGTTTGCTCCCTTTTGCCACTTAATTGATCTCTCGAGGGATGAATGAAACCATAATGTCTGACAATAACTTTTCTGCAAACATTTATGGGCATGAAAAGAGAATTTTGAGCCTTCCATTTAAATCGGAGATCACCATTAATATTCCAACTGCGTATCGAGGAATTTATTCCCAGCATTTTGATATTCACATTATTAAAACTATTAAAATGTTTCTTCACCTACACTGTTCGTCTCGGCGAGTCTCTTTTATTACTCCAGTTCTTTCTTCTGCCATCGGTATTTCTCAGGAAATCATTTGAATTTCAACTTTAATTGCACTGTCAGTGGATTTATCAAATGGAATTTAACATATGAGATGGATTTTCCCTCGAAAAAGACACTCTGTATGAGATTGTTAAATTTCACGACTTGTTTATTATGATAAACAAATATGGTAACTTGCCTCTTTGTCAAATGAGTCAATTTGCATGGATTTCAGATACCTCTAAGCATTTGAGCACAATTATATTCACGTTATTGAATCATATAAAAAAAAATATTTTTATTAGACGAACCCACAAAGAGTTGAACTTCAAATTTTGAAACATTTTTTGCACCTCACAATCAAATAAATATTCCAATCACGTCAGATAAATTTTAAACATCTCATAATATTTGCATTTCAATGGTTTTATTGCAGTCAATTGGACCGTTTACAGCAAATATTGCGATAGTTTCTCACTTTATTTGCGCAAAATTTTCCATATCTCACCTCTCCAGGCGTGTTCATGACATGCCTTCTGCAAATTCACGCTCACACAGAAGTTAATTATGTAAACATTACGAAATCAATTTGTTATCATGAGCGAAATATTCATCTTCTGACGTCATTCGCTCTTATTTCCATAAGCTTTTATCATAACTGATTATGAGAAGGATATAATGTCTCATTAACTTCCATGTGGGAGTTAATGTTCTCAACCAGGGGTAGTTTTGTCTCACTATTGACGATTCCTCTACCCATGAATTATTCTCGACGTAAAACGAGCTTCATTAGTGCACAAAAAGAGCTCCCGATACTCTATTAATGTGCAGTGCATAGGATAATTGTAATATATTGCCTCAATTAGTGACTATACTTACAAAGTGCGATGGTTACGGTGGAAATTATTTTAAATCATCCAGTTTGTAGTAGAACAAACGGTCTTTAATAATTTCCTTTTAATATTCTTTATTCTCTGAAAACTTTTCCCGCTCAATCACGTCGAATTTATTGTCCTTCATAACGTGACTTTCCTCTTGGGTTATTACATAAATTCACAACTCGACAATTGACAGACTTCCGAGAATTTACGATAGAATATCTTGAAAAGTACGCTAAAAGTTTTCGCAATTTCCCTTCAATTCTGCGTAATTCGAAGAAACAATATAGGCTATTTTAATTTCTAGAGCTTCCTTTGGGGCGAACGCTTTCACGGGGGAGAGATTAAAGGGGCTAAGAAGTGAGATTGAAGGGCAATTCATATTTTTCCCTTGTCACCAGGATACAAGAGCGAAAGTGTGCGGCTTGTCTCGAGACAAATTACCGAGGATGTCTGTGAGAGCTTAAGGCAACAACATCATCTCACATTATTCGAGAGGAGTATTTTTCTGGGGGAAAAAAGCTTGGTGATTAATTTAGTTGGACAAATATTTTCAGCCACGTCGGCGTGTTATCTGAAGCTCTGGCAAGGGGAGTCAAACTCAATAGATTTCAGCTGTTTGGCAATATCACAGTCTCAGTGGATGTGGGTGGGCGGAAATGTAATTATTGATTAGATTCTGCGATGTCTTTCACTCGTTCTCGCGTGGAAGAAGTCAAACGGAGGCAATTGTGAATTCAGAGCCCGCATTATTGCGAGTCTGAATTGAGTTTATGCTCCTCCGCTTGAGGGGTGGAAGGCAGAGACGGTGGGACTGGGCGAGCACTCACCTATATTTCCATCAGCCACAGCACAGTAGAAATTGAGGTGGATGGCAAAAATGACGCCCGTCCAGAGGATTGTCCATTTCTTCCTTCCGTACTTTACCATCTTCATGTTGTGTGATCTCGTGAGCCGTCACCTGCAAAGGCAATCAGCAATAAATCCAATTGACTCGCACACGGAAAATTTCATTCACAAATTGATCATTGAAAGCATCGCGAGCCCCATTGAAAGCTCATTTCCTGGGCATCGATGCGGCACAGGATATTTATGATGGTGTATGTTAATGAGGTATTTTTAGACCAGTGAAAAAAGCCACGCCACACATATTTTGTAAGGGGAGACAGAGAGGCCCGCCGGGGATGAGGCTGAGAGAATGTGGGGTGAACAATGAATTTCCTCTGGCCACCCACACGTTCTATCATAGAGGAATTACCCACACAGAGAGAGAGAGAGTTCTGTGGCCCAACTGTGAGAGAAGGCAACCTCTTATTGACGTCATTGCGCGCTGAATTTCACCGCTTTTCCCATTTTTTGCCCCTTCGAAGCCAGGAATGTGTGGAGAATTACCATCTTTTCCAGTGTCAAAATAATTTCTGTCGCCACGACATTCTTTTTCCACACATTTAATTAATCGCACACACACCTCATTATTAAAATCGCTCGAAAAGTGCCTCTCACGGATTTCTATGTATGACGAGGGTATAAGAAACTCATTTCGCTTTCGAATATCCATAGAAGAGGGATGTAAATAGCAGCGTATGAATTATTCCCGTAAATTCAAGTGTTCTATTGACAGATTCTAAAATAGATTCTGTAATATACGATGAGTTTGTTCAACACGCAGAACCATGGTTTTTAGATGGATTGTTTAAAAATTCACAGTTCCTTGGAATTACAGTTGAAGCGAAAATAAACATTAGAGACAATCGCTCAAATCCATAAGAAGAAGTTCAACAAATTTGTTCGCTACATATATATTATTACATATTTTATTCTTCCTTCAGCGCTCTTAATATTTTTTCGTTCAGCAAACACCGAGAATATTCATATTATTATTCATATCTAGGGAACAGTTTTATGAAAAGGTTGAGAAGGATACAAAAACACACACTTGCACGCCTTGATTCAAATGTGTTTTCTTTTTAAAGTAATGCACCCTCTGTTTGACTAAAAATATAACCCTCATGACTGTATGATTATTATTCATTGCCTAAAGAGGTATTCATTTTCCCGGGACAGCTGCGAATTGTTTTCCTCCTCTCGCTGAGAGACTTTCAGCTTTAATTTCTCAACTCTTCACGTTATTCCAAACAATTAATTTTATTTTTATATCAAAGTTGTTATTAAATCAGCGGCAATTTGTATTTAATAGCCTGAACACTGTGTAGCGATAATAAATCACTCTAATATTGTTCATGTACAATTTTGCATTAGGAATTATTTGAATAGATTTTTCACTATAATAGGAAAAATGCATCGCGCAGTAAAAGGTGCAATTATCCTGTCGCATTTATCATTTTTCGCAGAAAGCAAGAAAAAGCGTATTGTGTCGCCACTCGAGTGATGCGAAGCACAAATCAATCTGTCGCCTCGAAAGGCCATACCCTTTTCATCGGCGTCAGGATAATGCTGGTCGAGGGGATTTTTCAATGGCTAGAAAAAGCTCTCATGAAACATTCATCAGTGATATTCCCGTGAAATGTCTGTTCACGAGGTGAAAGAGTGAATGGACGCGATGTGAAAATTCGCATATCTATTGATTTTTCCGTGGGAGATACACCAGAATACACACGAAAAGTTGTCCAACAAGTGAGAGGAGACATTTTATCATGAGGGATTGATTAGATAGTGAATGTGGGTGGGAAAATATGCGCTCAGTGAGACGCAATTTGTGCGTTTTCGGAGGAAAAACCACCCTACCATATTGATTGGGGTTTGGAACGCGCGGGGGCTCAAAATTGAATGGGGAGACTCACTTGAAAACGGCTCCCGAGGCATTTTAATCCATCTTCCTGCTAGACCCTTCGCGGGAGTGCTGTTCTTCCAGGATGGTCTACGGCAAATGATCGGCACTCGCGTCACTGAGACTTGATTACCAGACGTCCAGAGTGGCCTCGAGCTACTGCACTGAGCTACCTTCTGGTGAGGGTTCTGCCTGCAAAATTGTACCCAAAGTGTCCCTCCTGCCTTGCTTGGAGGTGGGCGTGCGTGCTCCACCCGGAGAACCTTTTGCACTGAACACCACAGAAGAACTGAGGCGAGAGTCGCAGAGCGTGGGTGACACAATCTCCTAAATCGATAACTTCCCTCAGACCTGCTGGATGTTGGTCACACAGACGCATTTCGCTGGGGAGCATGCGCCACTTTTCCGCAGGAGACTGCGAGCCAGGAGGGCACAGACGAGAGAGCGAGAGCGCCCACGAAGGACAAAAAGCCCTGTGTGTGGAAGCTCTAACAAGTTGCATGAGAGACTCCATGTTTTTCCCGCATGTGTGTCTCCTGGCTGAAAGAAATGGTGATACATTTCAGGAATTAATTGGACGGAGAAGTAATGCCATTAGTCGGTGCTGAAAACGGCGTTGACATTGCACATGAGAGCGTGCTCTAGAATGCCCTGAGAGCATTGCAATTCACCAATATTTAATGATCATCTTTCATCGCAGGGATTCCGATATGAGCAAGCGTCTACATTTTATTCATCAAGGACATTAGCATATTCAATGTAAACTACACTAACATATTGCCGGATATAATCCCCATGTTTGTGCCCTTTAACCTGAGGGAGATGATAGTAAATTGACTGGCAATTTTGGCCTTTTGCCCCACAGCTTCACCCTCATTTCGTGAGCAATATGCTGGGGTGAAACTATTGGTAATTTTCCCGGTCGCCTCACTCTGGCCTCTGTTTACGCGGCAAATAAATCACGTCACTAAATTGACCCTCAATTGCACCATAATCCCCAAAAGCTTCTCCCCATCTCACTCGTCATCACACCCACTTCACCTCATGTTTTCATGCTGAGGCGCTGTGCCTCTTCACGAGATGATTCTTTTTCGATCATCTCAGGGCGGAATTTAATTCCATCCGTCCGGTTGGTGGAGTTGAGATGGGATGAAATTGAAATTTTCCACAACCACAAGCTCAATATTGCTCCCATCACATTTACCTGTGGGCTCGAGGTCTGCTTCAGCGGAAGAAAAATCCCCAGCAAGGTTGAGAGGACGAGGAGTCATTGGGAAAGAAATTTAATTATTTCCTCAACCGAGGATTCATTACAATTTAATTTGATTATTTTGCAAATGACATTAGAAAGCATTTCAGTGCTTTTTCCCTTTGGCATTACAAATATAGCGAAATAATTCCTGTAGACCGGAGGAAAATCACCCATTTTGCAATACTACAAGTAAATTTTCCCAATTATCAAATTGAACGCCTAATTGTAATTTACACAGCGGCTAGATTCGTATTTGTAGGATAAACAAAATACCTGTGTTTTCACTGCTGAAAAATTTACGAATCTCCTCCAGTTTGTGTTTGCAGATGAGAAAACAAGCTGAACGCCCATGAAATTTTGCATAATTCATGAAAATTCATCCCGAAGAGAGAAAAAGCCTTCTATTTATGTACAAGTGTAATTTTTTACTCCTTCTACAGAAAAATATTATAAAAAATGTGGATCGTAAAAGTTAAAGTAAAAAAAAATTGGGGAAAAATACTATAAAAAGCCTTAAATAAATCAAACTGAATAAATTCTTTGATTGAAAAATATCCTCTCGACTAATAAATTGTCATAAAATTAGCCTGGTCTTAACAACTACAAAAGAATACTTGTAAAAATATCTAAAGGCAAAAGTGCATGACAAAAAAACACTTTAATACTTGGAAAAAGTGCTAAATAAATAAAAATTATAGCAAATGTGATAAAATTTAACACTGCACGCAAAAACGTATATTTTGATTTTGTTCTTTAATTTGTGATTTATTTAGTTTTTTTTTTATTAATTTGCAAAAAGAAAGGCAGCGAATAGGAATGTGTAAACAATTTAAGTGACTAACATTGTTCTCTTCTCTTAAGGCTACAATTTTGCTTTTTTAAATACAAATTTTAAGGCCAGCGATTAATCTATTAAATGCTATTATTGAAGAAAGTAATCTACTAATATTTGTGAGAGTAAGAAGTGTTGTTCTTTTATTTATCTTATGTAGTTAAAATAGAGGCAATATCTCATTCTCTTCCAATTTCTCTTATCTAAAAAAACTTACTCATTCTCATTTGAACAATGAAACTCTGTCGTAAACCTCTCAATTCCGACTGTAAAATACAATATTTGAGGGATACTCTGCAGTCCTCCTCATTCTCATGTTCTTCTCAAACAAGAAACTATTATTATACTATTCTCGGGATTTTTCCTATGGTTAAAAATACAAAAAAATTCGAGTAATATTTGGTATACAAATATGTGAAAATTATATCTGTTATAGTCTCTAAATATCGAAGGGCAGGCAGGAAAAATTTACCTTTCGGGAGCAAAACTAAATTAACCTGAGATTTTTTCTTCTTGTTTCCATAATCTAACTTGATTATATTCTCTCTTATTTCTTCCCAGAAGAAGAAAAAACATACACAAGACATGGACTTGAACATTCACGCTAAGCTACTAAATCTTTGTCATTTTTGTGCTGTAAACTTGTATGTATTCATGCATTACTGATCTTACTTTTCTCTTAACTCTTTTAAAAAGTAATAATACAAATTTTTGATCGTTGGACAGAAGAAAAGAGACTTTAGATAACTTACGCAAGGTGAAAGGCCACATTGGAAAGAAAGGCCAATCAATTGTGACGATTGTATTGGTAAATAAGGTTGTTCTTGAGATTATGCATGAGTCTATAGTTTTTCCCAAAGAGAAACTTTGTAATATTCTGCGAATAGGCGGGGATGTTCTCTTCTTCGAGACGTGACATGAAGTGCACGGATATTATATCAATCCTCACCCTCTCGAACGGTATCGTTTGGAGAATCTGCACAAGAGAAAAAGACGACATGATGGGAATAACATGCGATATGAGAGATATTATATTATAATGTGGAGCATACCAGGAATTCTTGGTCATGACATCCGACACTCAGCAGATCAATATTTGTTGTATTCATCGCCAGCAGCATCGTGTACACGGGAAAACACTTCACTCGCGGATGAAACCATTCAGTCTCCTCGTCCATTATACTATTTATTTGGACTTCGCTCTCCTCCTCGTGGTGCAGAGTTATCTGTGGAGGAGAGTTTTCAACAAAATCAATTAGTGTCCACATCATTCACGCCTCTCTTGCGCCTCCTTTGCACATTCACACAAGCACTCAAAATTGATTTATGCCTCACAGGTGGATTCGCCAAATGAAATTTCCATCCTAGTGATTATCTTTGCAGCGCTATTATTAGCCAATATTATCAAGAACTCATCGAATACCCAACTTCACACCTCGTCCTTCTTCACACTCTCATAAAATCGACTTTGAAATATAAATGCGCAAAAAAATCAAAGGTGTTTAGTTCCTTTGATGTGCCAATTGGCTTCTTTCTGCTCTGCATATGCAATGCTTTTCATGCATCTCATTTCGCATTTTTTCCGAATCAAATGACTCAAATGGATGGAAAACTAGCAAATAGTAGAAATTTTCAAAGAAGTTTATTTAAGGAGTCAAACGCCAGGAGCAAAATGGAAAAGAAATTGAATTTCTCAAGGATTCTCATTCATAGCAGTACAAAGTAAATGCTCTATCGATTCACACTATAAAATATACATTAATTTTAATTCAAACTTCCTGCTGAGGAATGATAGAAACTTCTTGATATTGTGAAAATCGATTATTCTTATAAAATTCATGAAAGTTCTTCCTCAAATCGTGACTTGAACGCTTTCTCGGGACTCAATTCACAATATAGCGAGTGCAAATAGATTCTGTTTGCATTCCACAGTTTTCTACTCACCTCCTTTGGGTATTCATTTGGTGACAGGCACGCGTGGACCACCTTTATGCTGCGCCTGTGGTAGTTTTGTTTCAGAAAGGTGAAATATTTGCGCGGATCAGGCTCCACGATGACGCCTCCCCATCCCAGAGTGCTTGCCAGCCACGGTCCGGATAGGGCCACATCGCTGCTGCCAGGCAGCGATTGCAGAAACGTGCCATTGCGCCTCTCGCCGTTTAGATGAGCCACAGCGCTGGCCAGTTCAGCGGCCAGCTCGTGTCTGCCGGTAAAATTGAGCTCCTCACCGGGTTCAGAGTTGAGAACAAAGGGTGGGATGTGCTCGGACTTCCGCATCTGCACCTCGCGAAAGTAAGTGACGAGAAGTGGATTGTCTTGGGACACTCCCAGCAAATCGTAGTCCCGTGACATGTTGAGGCGAAACTGTTGATGACGAATTTCTGCAAGAGAAAGAAGACACACCATTGATATTCCGCAATTCTCACACACTGAGTCACTTCTCTTTGTTTGCCCATCGCACTCAGATTAATTTATAGCGACAAGAGCCTCCTTCGCACTCCTATAGTGCAATTAAGTGGCGTTGAAACGCGAATGAGGGACAATGCTTCTCCACTCTGTGCGTCTCTAAATTCTAAGTACGATTTCATACATGTGGACAAAAACGGCGATCTCAATGTCAAAAAACACTCACAATTTCCACTGATGCAAATTGAGATTAAAGACTCACTTAAATTTTAATTAGACTCCCATTCAATGAAGCATCACACTTATTTACCTTTTGTCTCTCGAATTTTCAGCAATCAACTCTCATTTTAATTCTTAATGTGCAATAATGTTTGGCATTTTGCCTCACGCTTAGCGTCGCCCGATTGCAAGCGGTGATACAATTTAAATAATAATTTCCTGCCCACGCAAGTGTAAACAAAAAAGAGCTCTTGATAGCTTTCTCAAAAAGCGGATTTATCGCAAAGTGGAATCTCCCTATTCATAAAGGCTGCAGAGAGCGGCTTTAAACGAAACATGAAAATCACTTGGGAAAGGAAAAGGGAAATTATTCACAGTGTTCAGGCGAAATTGCTGTAAAATTGCATTAACTGAATGCATATTAAATACTCTGTCTCATCTTAAGATTAGGAGACCTGAAGTAGAGAATAGACAAGCAAGGATGAAGCAATTTATGCTCATTTAAGCCCAATTTTCAATTTAATCTGTTTTGCAGCTTTTATATCGCATAAAATGCTGTAGAATGTGCGCAATATTATCTCTATTTCTTCATTGAATATTTTTTTCACTGTAGCCACATAAAAATTTAATTGAATTTTACACAAAAGCCCATTTTATCCCCCCAACTGTGCGCCAGCATGAGCAAATACAAAAATTCCCGATCAGGGAATATTTTGGAAGAAAATAACACACAGAGTGCAGAAACGATGGATAAAAAGAGCTAAAATGGCAAAAGACCCAAGTTTCTTCCAACCGCAACAATTTGTGGGGACTTCCGGTCTCATTTGAGCTCCGTTCGCTATTGCTCCACTTTGTGTGCCAATCAAGCCGCCAATTAGTGGGTATTTTGCTCACCAGTGGTGTCCATGTAGATGATGAGGATGCTGAGGACAGTGGCGAAGGAGATCAGACAGAGAGCGATGGGCAGGAGTTGCCTCAGGGGCGACGGGCCCACGGCTCGGCCCGCCTTCATGGACACCTTTCCTGGTCCGCAGGATGCGCTGGGCGTCATCTTGCCTCCGTTCTGGTTCCCGGATAAGTTCAGTGATTTCGCGGTCATTCTGGGCTTCCTGCAGTGGCAATCTGTGGAAAGGAAGAGAAACGGACGCGTTAGCTTACAAGTTGTGTCTGCTGTAAACACACGGCCGAAGCCTCTGAATCACTCCAGACAGTTTGGATTACGGGCAGGTGTTCAGCGAGCATTTCGGAGGACAATAAAAACTCATCGACCCACAAAAAATCCACGTAAACCAATCCCTCGGACGCTTCCCATGCAAATTGCCTCCTCGTCAACACTCCATGAACTAGAGTAAATAAACAAATTTTCGTTTCAGTGGATTTTCTGGCCGAAAAGCTTCCTTTCCACTCACTTTGGCTGTCTGACATGGAAAAACCCTCGCATGACGAAGAGACAAAGTTCCCCATTCCCTTCGGAAATTACCTCTACAATAAGTGCATTTCCCGATGATTCCTGTAACTGGGACCGAGTACGTGTCCCTATTCTAGAGACAGTGTCTGCCTGGACACTTTTAGGACATCTAGAAGACCTTCTTAGTGCTGATGCCAGTGAAATGCTACCAAATTACCATTTGCACTATGGGCCTTTTTTCTCTCTCGTATTTCTGCACTTTTCCACACTTCCGCTGTCACGGGAATACACACACTCGATAGTATATTACTTATTGTAACTATTAAACTTAAATCTACGTAAAAATCGTGAGTAGTAGTGGAAATAAATAGAAAATAAACTGGCCCACACGACAATATCAACTATTCCGGAACTTCTGAAGCCATCTGCCACTGCACGAAAGTTGATGCTCCCACTTAACGAAGAAATAACGAACTGACAGCACGTCTTGGGCTAACCTTACTTCCATCTGAAGACGCGGGAATTGTGGTGGACGGTGGTATCGCGAATCAAAACAAAATGTACGAATCCGCGGAAAATCCCATCTTCACGGAGGATAACTATGATCTGGAGGGTGAAGGAAGTGACCAAGAGACTGGAGATAGTGGAAATGACGGAGGACTCCCGAAAGTACCCACGGAACCTGCGAAGGACGGTGTGAAAGTGGCACCCAAGATAGTCATCCGGAAACCACGGGTCATCCTTACCACGGCCAAGCTGAAGGGCGAGCGCGGTCTGCACACAATTGAGGACTACTTCCGCGATGTGAAGTTCAAGGGAAAGGGCCATGAGGCTGAGGATGTCACACTCATCATGCGGAAACTGGAGCACTGGGGTCATCGAGTTTTCCCTGCAATGTTGTTTGAAGACTTTCTCACACGCTTGGAGGAGTTATGCAGAAAGAAGGACGTCCAGAATCACCTCAGATTGTATAAGTTAGGCATGCTAACGCCAATAGTGGGAACTGATGATCAGCCAGAGGAGAGAATGAATGAAGACCCTGTGGATGCTGTCGATGACTTCGACGCTTTACTCTCTGAACAAATGGAAATGCAAAGAAATGTCTCCAACAAGAATTCTGCACAAGCTTCCTCCAGTTCGTATATGGATTACACATTCAGAGAAGATCTGGAAGCAGATTCATCTCTGGGAGTTGCTGAAATTCCCCCAACGCCGCCTCCAGCGTCAAAGATGACCGAAGAGGCAAAGGCGAAGATTGCAGAGAACCGAAGAGCTGCCTTGGAGCGTCTCCGAGCCAAACAGGCAACCCAGTCTGCTGAAAATATTGCTGATATATCTGAATAAAATATCTTCTAAGTTGTGCAAAAGTAGACTTCGCACAGAATTTTCCGCTTCGGTTCCATGATTGAGACAATTACCTATAGGGCTTCACGCTGTCAAAACAATCACAAGTGGAGTTGTGTTTCTTTGGGAAAATTCCTCAAAATCGCCAGTTTTTATTGACCTACGAAGGATAAAACAACCTCCTGACAAAAGGTATAATCGCATTGCTTGAGAATTCGTATAGGTATTGTGAAATTCTTTTGTTTTTTACTCAGTGCAAATTGCGTCACAATTGTGAAATTTCTCGAAACCTGCCCAGAAAGAAATTGCGTCTGAAAGATGCTTTCCCGACTGGTTTTGTCTGGTTCCTGCGTATCCAAGTCGGCTTTTAATGCTGCCCCCATCAGGCAGCACTCCCTGATCATCCGACAATTCGGCCGCGATGCCCGGGAGCAAGCTCGGGAGGGTTTCTCGAGTAGGATGGGAGCTCGCACGCGGCCCAGCCTCAAGGAGAGATTGATGGCGCCTGCCGGACCCAATGCCTTCAGCATGGGAAAGGGAGCTCTTGTTGGAGGATCTGCTCTCGGACTCGGAGCACTCTGCTTCTACGGATTGGGTCTGGGAAAAGGCACTAGCGCTCTCAACAATTCAATGTGAGATATTTTCAGATATGTTTCATATTTCATACTAATAGACTTCTGCTTGACTCCTAGGCTCTGGCCTCAGTACGTCAAAGAGAGGATTCACAATACTTACATGTACTTCGGCGGCTCCCTGGCCATCACAGCACTCACGGCTCTTGCAGCTTTTCGCTCTCCAGCTGTCCTCAATATTGTCAGTCGCAATGGTTTTCTGGTGAGTTGCATCGGTGTAGTTGCGAGCCAGTAGGATTCTAATTAGTTTTATTTCCTTTACAGGCGATTGTACTGATGATGGGTGCTGTTGTTGGTTCTGGTTCGATTGCCCAGTCTATTCCGTATAGTGAAGGCATTGGGCCGAAGCAGTTTGCCTGGATGGCTCACTGTGCTATTCTAGGGGCTGTCATTGCTCCCCTCTGCTTCCTTGGGGGCCCCATTTTGACTAGAGCCGCTCTGTACTCCGCTGGAGTGGTTGGAGGACTCTCCACAGTCGCAGTCTGTGCACCAAGCGATAAATTCCTCTACATGGGCGGTCCTCTGGCCATTGGTCTGGGGGTGGTATTTGCCTCCACACTGGCTTCCATGTGGCTACCTCCAACAACAGCTCTGGGCGCTGGTCTGGCCTCCATGTCCCTCTACGGCGGACTGCTGCTCTTCAGTGGATTCCTACTCTATGACACCCAGAGGATTATCCGACGCGCCGAAACACATCCCATGTATGCGATGCAGAAATTCGATCCCGTTAATTGGTATATAATTCTTTATTCTGTTTTCCAAGTAATATTGTCTAATGTTACACTTTCCTTTCAGCGCGATGTCAATTTACATGGACACATTGAACATCTTCATTCGAATTGCCACTTTGCTGGCGGGAGGTGGAAGCCGTAGAAAGTAGGCAGAGGAATAAATTTTGAAAATAAATTGTCTGTGAATTCTCTAATAATAAATAAATTAAAATGAATGAATCGTTTTATTCCTAGAATTCAAAAACCCAATTCCGGACCTCTCCGGAATCGCGATGACAAAGTCAGTCGGCCATATTTGTATTTTGTTTTGCTTCTAGGGAATTTTTCTCTTGCAAAGAGAAGCTGGAAAAGTGTTTTTTCGACCACTAAAGTGCACTAAAACAGTATTAGAATTGATATTAAATTCCTAAGACACCAAGGAAGAGGATAGAGGTGAGAAAATGTGTGAGATTTTCTGAAATTTTCCACCTAGAATTTGCGTCACTTCCAAGTTTCGCCATAGAAAATTTTTCCCACTTCCTCCTGCCTAAATAATCAATTTTATTCGATTTATGCTTGTTCAGCGTGTCTGCCAATTAGTCATGAATCAGTGAAGATTGCCCAGAAGGCAAGACCATGTGGAGTATTTGCAGCAAAAGACCTCAAGAATTGATGACTAATACTTGAGCAAACACTTTCCTAATTGCTTTGGTTTTCCTAATGGATCTGCAACAAAGAGATGCATTGCGAGGAATTTTCCTGCGATTTTCACTTGATTGTATCTTTTGAAGTGTCTGAAGAACTCTCTCTGGCACACTCCAAACGCGAATGCAGCATCCGGATGACTGCGGGCGACGATTTGGCTCGAGAGCCCGGAAAGGGGGTGGATGATTTGCCAGAATGGAGTCATGCGATATGTTAGTGATTTATAAAATCAATAATTACACGAAGGAAAAGTTTTCATTGCCAATGTTTGCCGCAGTTCAGTGGCACAAACTCTGACTTATTAATGTCGTACAGCAATGATGAACTAACTCGATCGTAGTTAAAAGCTGAGTGGTGTAGAAGACAAGAGGAGACTGAGAACCTATGCATGGAATGCGCGAAAATTGCTTGATGGGAAAATGTGCTTAAAAATACATTCTGTCAATATTGAGTTATTAAATATGTATGCGATGAATTCTTCTGCGAGAATTGTTAACAAGTGTTTAATATTTTTTCCTCTCGCAGCTGTTAAGCAGAAATTATTGTGCTGAGTGTGTCGAGAACAATCAGCCAAATTCTCTTCTCTCTCTTTCATTCTTTAACGAAATTTTGTATGCTAAACTTCTTATCAAATGCAAGTGATTACATTGTTTCCCATTAATATGTGTGTTGGAGACTAAATAGGCGCAGCTTAATTAAAATTCTCACTTTGCGATTATACTTGTGATATTAATTTTCCAAGTACTGCTTCTCCATTGCCTCCACGTTGACGAAATTGTCTTGTAGTCAGTTCTTAGGCGGCTCTCATCACATTCAGTAGTGTTTTTTGGCGGAAGAGCAACCATGGAGACTCTCAACAAGTTTTATTTGTACATTGGGATGGATAATTACTGTACTTATCTCAATGTGGGGTGTATTCACATAAGATGTTTTCTAATTTGAGACTTTTCTCCGCTGTTTTCAGTATCCAGAATGTCGGCGGGTCCGTACAATTATAACTACATCTTCAAGTACATCATAATTGGTGATATGGGAGTGGGCAAGAGTTGCATTCTTCATCAGTTTACAGAGAAGAAGTGTAAGTGACTGTTTGAGGGAAAAAAGAGCATTTTTAGTGATTCTTCGTCGTTTTTTCCTTGCAGTCATGGCCAATTGCCCGCACACAATAGGTGTAGAGTTCGGCACGAGGATAATTGAGGTGGCGGGTCAGAAGATTAAGCTTCAGATCTGGGACACGGCTGGCCAGGAGCGATTTCGTGCTGTGACCAGATCGTACTATCGCGGAGCCGCTGGTGCTCTGATGGTGTACGACATCACGAGGCGATCGACCTACAATCATTTGAGCAGTTGGCTGACAGACACGCGAAACCTGACAAACCCCAGCACTGTGATCTTCCTCATTGGCAACAAATCCGATCTCGAGAGCACACGGGAAGTCACCTATGAGGAGGCCAAACAGTTTGCCGATGAGAATGGCTTGATGTTCGTGGAAGCGAGTGCAATGACGTAAGATTTGATTTGGGAAAAATTGATTAATCTATCAGCTGAATATCATAGATAATTTGTTCCAGTATCACTATCTCATATTTACTCACGAAAACCAATGTTAAGAGGTCATAAAAGTCAGAAAGAAAAGGGAAAGAGTGCAAATATTGACTGGCCAAGCAGTGGAGATTTTCTCAAAAAAAATCCACTCCTCTAATCAAAACTTAGAAATACAAGGCAAAATGCAAATGAAAGAAACCGATAAACGCTAGAGCAGTGGAAATACTTGCGATAACACTTATTGTGGTTGTGAGAAAACAATGGATGAAAAATGTATTTTTGCATGGAATATTGGGGGATTTTAATCGAGAAATTGTCGTGCATTTACTTTTGCATGAGCAAATTTATTTGAAATGCAAAATGAGGTCACTAACCATTGAATGCATGGGAAAGAAGATTTTTATCGTAGTTTTTCACGAAGTATCTGTATATTTTGCAGTGGCCAGAACGTGGAGGAGGCTTTTCTGGAGACAGCCAAGAGGATTTACCAGAATATTCAGGACGGTCGTCTGGATCTGAACGCTTCGGAGTCGGGTGTGCAGCACAAACCGTCCCAGCCGAGCCGAACCACCCTCAATAACGATACTCAAGCGCAGAAGGATAATTGCGCCTGCTAATTCAGTTGTATGTACATTTTCCTTAGTTTCCCAAATCGTATCCCCTTCAATGTCCAGTTTTCCTCAATATATCTACAGATTAACATGAAGAGAATCACCAAAAAAAATCTGCGCGTTTGATTGTATCTTAGAGCTACAATATCTTTCCTCATTGTGAACGTCTTTGCCTCTTATCCATCTCTCTGGGTTTAGAGAGATGAGGAAGAGGGAATTTCTGATGAGGTTCATTAATAGAGAATTTTTGTAAATAAAATAATCGATAACATTTTATCTATAGAAGAGAAAATTAGAAGTGCAAAAAATAGTTCATGAGCACCTTTTGGGAGTCTCTTGTTATCCAATGGAAAGAAACACAGAAACAAAACCACGTAAACATGTCAGAGAAAGAAGTGAAAGACTCTCATTGAGGAGGCAAATATGAAATGTGTATATGTAATGTTAGAAAATGTGTGTCCTCATTGTTTTTTCTTTTTCGTAAGGATTGAATAGGAAAAAGTGTATTAAGAGGAGCCCTAAATATTTGAAATTAATTAAAACAAAAAGAAGAGAATAATCAAATTACCGTTTCATCATCTGAGAAATCCGTAAAAATTTGTCCTAGTGTTGAAAAAGATGGAAAAACAATTTATAAGGAAAAAAAATGCAGTGAAAATGTACCAATAATTGGTGCTCTTTGACATTAAAAATAAAAAGTATTTTAAGACATTCCAAAATATTTTCTTTTCTTGCAATGGCAAAAGATGTCTTCCGAAAAAATCTGTTTCTTTTTCTCATTAACAGCAATTTATTTATTGAATTGTCAACATTGGAATAGAAGCTTAATCCTCTTTGGTAGCCCTCGCCTGACTCTCTTGGCATGCTTCAGGAACAATAGTAGTGGTAAAGCGATTAGCGGGTGCGTCAGCGGGCGCATTTGCCACCACGCCTTGGCTGATGGTTCTGCGAAAGAGATCACTGTTCTGGGAGAATTGCGTCTTGCCGTGGAAGCTGTTGGCCACCCTCTTTGGTGGCGCTATGAACTTCTCCTTCACCACAAGAGCGCCCGGAGCATTGGAAAAAATCTTCAGGTTAGCACATGACTTGGTTTTGGCTTCTTTGTTGATCTTCTTCTGCCTCGGAACTTCGCTCTCGGCCACGGAGCGATTGATATCGTCCGCAGAGATGCAATAGTGAGGCTGATTTTCACCTGGAAGTGGTTCTCTGGCAATCATCTTACGAGACTCCCTCTCGTACGCACTGATTTGCTTCTGGATGCGCGGACTTCGCCCGCAGGGCTTTGGCATGGCGCCTGTTAGATACATGCCGTCCTCTGACGAGCACTTCTCGCTCAGCTTCCTCTTGATATTCATCACGGAGGTTTGATAGGTCTCCAGAGACTTCTTAAAGGGCTCATTGGCCACATTGAAGCTCTTCAGGTTGTCCATTGAGAGGAATCCATCAGTGGGGAAAGAAACATCTGCAGTGGCTGACACTGTGGTCTCCTCATCAGAATCCTCAGTGCCCTGTGACAAATAACATCGCATAAATGGTAAGATTCTGCAATTTCCCTCAAGCAACTCAACTATTTCATTCGTGGAAGAACCCTTAGTGGCGTCATTGGTGTTAAAATCAAAGTCCGATCCGGTACTGATGGGCGTCAATTCGCCACTGGCGCCCTGAGAGATATCCGTGCAGCTCAATGGAAGGCTTTCTAGAGTCAATTGATGACTCACAGCGCAGAGATCGGCGTCGAGAGTTGGGAACATCTGACACAGTTCAGCAGTGGCGCCCAGTATTCCCAATCTGATGGAAAAATGATGCTATCAGTGTTGCCTTCGCAAATTTCTTACAAGCTGAATACACTTACTCATCTGTGCTGTTGATGCTCGCCGACATATCCGTACTAGAATATCCTCCTCTGGAGAAGGACTCGGATATGTTGGGACTTGGAGGACCTCCACTGGACAAGGCGCTCAGGCTGCTCGTCATGCTGGACTGACCGCTCCAATCTAGCACAATCCCGTGCAATGAGAAACACCATTAATTCAAGAGAATACAGGAAAGTCTGCTGAAAGACGGTAGAAAGGATAGCGTTAATTTCAATACAGGTCACATTAGGTGATTATTGGGAGACAAATCGCCAAAAACTACACTTGGTTAGACTGAAATGTAGCGCAGATAGAGAGTAATCAAATTGTTTAAAATAAAGAGACCAACAGATGTCCGTCAGCAACAGATTTATTTCATCATATCTCATCTTTCAGGTTACGCTGTGGCTCAATATAAATCATCATCAAAGATGGTAGAGTATATGAATACAGAGAAAATAAGATTAAACTTAGAGAGATAGAAAAAAAACCAAAATAATAAATACAATTCTCATTCAATTTATCTATAAATTCAATTCTAGTACAGAAGGTATATATTATGTTTCAGAGAAAAGAACCAGAAGAAGTCTGTCTTCTTATTTCATGAAGAACAACCTATTCATGCTTGCATCGCCACCTTACTTACTTATAAACTTCTCCGGGATGGAGTTCTGTGGCGTCTGCACAGGCGTAGGCAGCGGCGTCGACGGATATTTGGGCGGTGAGGATGCTGGAGTCTTAAACATCGGAGCCGCCGTCATCGTCTCAAGGAAGGAGTCCAGCTGCCTGAGCGAGAGCGCATTATGGAGCGTCTCGAGAGGTCTGATGGACGGAACACCTCCAATTCCTTCAAGTACTGTGAACATAGTGAATATTCTCTTTCGACTATTTCTTTGCTAATCATTAGAAATTATTATACACATACAGAATTAGTTCAAAAACAGCGATACCTAAACGTTAATTTTCTAGTAACATGCATTGATTTAGGAAGAAAGTGACTAGCCACCAAAATAAGACAATAATTATTGTTAGTTGTTAGGGAAATAAACTACAAGATTATCTTGCGTGTACTTTAATTGCGATTCTCCATCATACCGAAATTATCCTAAGCATTAACATTATTGGTTCAAGCTAAAATTAGAGCCAATATTCTATTGAAAATAATGTGACTGTGAATATGTGATTTTATGGAATAATGAAATAATTAATAATTTATAAGCACCTGTAAGCAATATTCTGGTTAGAACATATTTTAGCAAAGATCGATGATACAAAAATATTGGGCAAGGATGTTTACATATTTTGGAATACACGCAGTCACAGGTAAAACCTTAAGTCAAATTGCCCAGTTCTAATGGAAATCTATCCTATAATAAGCAAAAATTTTGGTGTCTCATATTCATTTTCTGACCACTATTCCTCTTTCGAAGTACGAAATCTAATCCCATTGATCTGTGAATTTAAACAACCTCCGTACCGCTTCCTTCAGAAATCTCTACACCTTGCAGAAAAAAGACCAATCGAGCAAACAACCTAAACACATCATTTCTACTGTTAGTGAATTAAGAGTTCAGACGAGGATCGCTACACTGAGCCAGCATGAACTGGAGAAAACAACAGATACATAAAGAAAAAGGGAAAAAAACAACAGGGATGTTTTTCACCTAAGCTAGAGAATGCAAAACAAATTTACCTGATGGTGACGCCGTGCTGGGTATCATGTCCCTCAAATTGGGCGCCGACGAGCTGCCACTGATCACCGCTGTGCTAAATAGACTATTGGTGCTGGCCATTTTCTTGCTAAATCCGCCAAAACCGAACATTTTGAAATAGCTCATCTGGCCGGCAATGCTGTGTCGTTGACGCCTCACGGTGTTTGTCGATGATGATGTCTGAACGGATGAGGCGGCTGTCGTTGTCGCCGTGATATCTGAATTGTGTTGTTGGGTTTTGGTTGATGCATGAGCATGGGAACATGTTGGTGTGGTTGAAAGAGAGGTGGACACATTTGTTATGACACCATGATGGGACTTGGCATTAGTATCATTGCACCTCTTTCGCATCACATCAACACACTGTGTCGCTGTCTCATCGACAATGTTGCTATCATCGTACGCAATTAGTGTGGTGTTAATGAGACCATCTGATATGGACTTTGTTAGATGACTCGACACGGGATCACCGTCATTATTGGTCATATGTAATTCATGATAAAGTTTCTCAGCTGTGCTGTGTCTCTCGTGTGTTGGTGAATCAACCAAGATGCGTGGTAAGTTAACAATAGCACTGCTAGCCGCTGTATCACGCATGCACAGGCACAGAGTGGCCGGTGCTGAATTTGCACGCCTCTTCTCCTCCTCGCACGCCTCGTCAGTATCAACCGCCGCCACCGCAGCGCCCACCTCACTGCCCCCATCGAGCTCCAGCATCGACGCCACGGGATTGTGGAGCGTGCTCCGCCGGTGCGCACCGCCCTCGGCCTCCGGCGACGACTCCACACCATCCGTGACCGACAGACGCAGGAGACACGTGCAGGACAGCGGGCGCTCATTGGTCGCCATCAGCGAAATCCGACTGCCGCTGAGCGGCCGGACGCTGTACAGGCAGGGCTCGTTGTCACACGCGCCCGCCACGTCCGGACTCGCGGGATTGGATTTGAAACTGATTGCCGACAGGGGCAGCTCGTTAGTGGCCGAATTGATATCGTACAGCGGAGTCGATACTGACGACTTCTTCCTCCGCTCTCTACCATGCACAGGAGACACAGGAGGCAAAGCAGCACCGAGCATGGCATCTAGCATGTCTTCTATACAGACAACAGAGGGTCAATTCAAAAACCAAAAAGATCGGAAGTACACAGGTTATATTGGATCACACGAGATTGATAAATGGGATTTTCAGAAAATCATAAGTTTTAAATTGTTTGCAGATGGCACAAAAAACATTAGTAATTTTGATAAAAAGTATTGTACAAAATCAAAAAGATAAAAACACCACAATATAGACAATATAGGATCAATCCACAGAGATAGAACAAGGATATCAAAATATCAAGCGGTGAATGATGATATTTTTTAAACGTTATGTTTTTTTTTTAATCCAATCATATTATTTTCATGTGGCATTAATCAATTAACAGAATTACCACGAGTAATTTGGGTGGTGATTTTTTTGGAACATGAAAGAAATTTTTTAAAAGAAAAATAAAGAGAAATATTAGAAAATTAAAGTATAGACAACCATTTTGAGTGATTTCTCAACTATAAATAATTCATTATTTTTTTCCACTTTTGTATCTTTCAATTTTCGCCAAACCAACCAACGCTTTGTTACAGAAGCATCAAATCATCAACTCAGCAAATTCCTTTTATCATGAATTAATTGACACAACAACACGTCTCTTATTAGTATCCATGACATGCAGTTAGTGGGTTTTATTTTCCCGAACGTCATCTTTCTTTTTTGGGAAATCTTACACTTGAAACTGTCTGTTCTCCTTTTTATTTAAATCATTTTGTCTTGTTGTCTGAGACTTTGAGAAAGTATCTCACAGAAGATTTGTGGGAAAGAACTCAAGGAAATCTCATTAGTTGTTCAAGAAAACACAGACACAAATAAAGGCTTTCGTGCCTTTATTCTCGATACAGGAAAATGTATCACTTTGTGCCTTCTCAACCATCTAATGAGGATGATTGTTGGGTGGAGGCGCTCTCCAACTCCCCCAATTTTGATCTGTTGGGTCAAAGACACGGTTCAAAAGTCGGCCAGATGTGCAATTTCAAATTGATTTTTCAATGTTCTTTTGTCATTAGTCGTCTTCTCACTCTCTCCCTCTTCACTTTCCCTCAAAAAACAATTCAGAAAAAAACATCCTTAAATTAGTGGATTCTTTAGTTTAGTTGTAAAGACAATAGATATTTAGAGAAAGAAGAAGAAAAAATAATACTGAGTACAGAGTTCTAGATAAATAAAATACTGAGAAAAAATGTCTCTAACTAAAAGACACAGTTGAAAAGATAAAAAGTCTGCCAATTGTGATAGGATGATACATAAGACAATGGATTTGATTGAGTGAGAAAAGTATTAAGCAAAATATTTTCTAAATATTGAGAGAAAATTTGCAAATAGCGAAAGAATAATTTTCAATATTTGAAAAGTGAAAAATTTACAATCGCCACTCAGAGAAAAGGTCGCAACAACACGCCTAAGTATCTGAGTAATGATTGTATTATAAGATTCATGCCACAACTTTCAGCCTCCAGCATTTTAAAATAAATAATAAAGTATTCTTCAATGATTCTTCGTTTTCCTGACAGTATTGAGCAAAATATCAGCAAAATGTCAAATTAACAAGAAAATGCACCATCGAATGGATGATTTGTCACGATTTACCTTCGTCATTAACCGCTTGGAGACTTTGGTATCGTGGATAGTGCTCGGCTAAGAGGGAATTTCAACATTAATGATCATGAAGGGATTCACCGTCCCTCTTTACTGTTTTAGAAAAGAAATCTAATGGTTTGTGACTCCCCAATGCATTAGGTGAGATGTTTTCTACACACCCAAGTAAATGAGATAGAAATCTAACAAGTACAGTAAAGGTAGCTCTACTTCTCAACTAGCGAATATCAAAAAGTAAAACGATTAAGAGAAAACTTAAAGGAATGATTTGTGAAAGAGCACTGTCAAGTTACAAATGATATACATACATGCAACTCATTAATCCATAATAGTTCATTATCTATCCATTACATCTCTCTGGCAAAATGTCAATATTTCTCTTTTTATCTTTATCCTTTTTTCTTCTTCCACGATATAAGAAAAAGACCATTATGTCAGTAATTTCTAGATAAATAATAGTGAAATCATCAAGCAAGGAAATCATGTTATTTCCGTTAAGGGAAACCCCCGACTGAGGATGATTGAGTTAAGTTTCCTCATCGTTGCGACAGATATCAAAGAGATGAAAGTTAGAGTCAATTCTACGAAAACCCTACCTTTAGCCTTGGACTGTGTTGTTTCGTAGGATCGAGATCTTGGCTCAGTGTCTGGACTCATAGATCTCGTTGCACCCAGAGATCCTCCCTGTAATTGCTGCTGTGAAGCCAATTCCTTACTCAATCTCTTTGCCAAATCCATCGCTTCGTGACCAGAAACCGTGTGACATGATCCAATGGGAATTGGCTCAGATGACTTGATTTTTGGCGAGTTGAACTGATGAAGAGGAGCAATTTCCGACGGTGAATTCTCACCTTTCGATCCTTTGGCGCTCTGCAAAGACATTATTAAATTTTCAATTTAATACCTAAAGCTATTTTCGTCACTTTCGTGCTCAAATAATCCATTAATATCCTCCACATGCCGTGTAAACAATTAAAATTATTCAGAGGCATTTGGACATTTTCCAAAAATTTTAGACTCTATTTATATTCCCACAAATATGCCAGCAATTATAATTGCTAATTGAGAATTATTGCATTTTTGACAAACCTTCATCGCTTCAATGAATAACTCACCGAATCTGTAGCATCGGCATTCTGTGGAGTGTTTTGGGCGCTCTCCTCCTCATTCCCAACATCTCCCTCCTCGTCAATCCTTGTTGTCATGGAGTCCTCTTCTCCACTGGTGCTCTTCGAAGTCACAGAATCGTTGCGACTGTGCGGCCGAAATCCCGGGCCAGGTGGCAAATTCTTCTGGACACAGCAATTCACACCAGGCGAGAAGTGAAGCTCCACATGAAAACGCTCTTCTGAGCAGGGATCCTTTGTTGGATCCTCATACAACATGATCACAATTTGAGACATATAATTCAGCTCAGAAACCATCGAGACATACTCCATGGCTCTTCGCCACTGTTCATCCGACAGCGTGTTGAGCAATCCGCCATAACGCAGCACCGTAAGGAGGGAATGAACGTGACTCTCACTGGTGAAGTACAAGCGAGTCCTCACGTGCCTTCCTGGACTAGACACTCCATGGCTATAGCGCGGATTGAGTCGATTGACACTCTCATCGCCCGCTTCTTCGATATTCCTCTGCAGATCCGACTTGATCTTCTTTAGCAAAGGCGTGCAAATGCCCTGACCAATGGCAATCTTCTCCTGCACTGTCAATCCGTACTCCTGAGGTATGACAATGTCTGCCAGATACTTAGCATTGATGTACAATTCCTCAGCTTGCTCAAACTGGAGTGTGTGCTGATTGTGTTGCAAATCATACTTGATACAATCATAGATATCTGGGATCTTCGAGATGTCAAATGTCTTAGTTTTCGTAGAGAAATCCTTCTCAATCTTCCCCCAGCGTCTGCCCATGAGTTCCCAAGTTTCCCCATGATACAGAATTGCGTCTCTTGTTTTGGGATCATCTCTCTTCACAGCAATCACCGCCATCAAAGACTGAATCAAACTACAAACATGCGTGCAGCATTTCACCGGATTCCTCACAAAATCCAACGCTTGATTTATGCTCACACTGTTTCCAGGATTGATAGCCTCGCGATCAGCTTGAGTAAAATCTCTATCAATCTGCATCAACTCATGAAGGCGATTCTTGGCCCTGAAATTACACATATTCCAATTGAAGAACAAACAGCTTTACATGCAATGAAGCAACCTTACATATTTTGATATTTGCTAGAATCACAGTCATTGTCCAAGAGTCCATTTGTGTTAGCACTCTTCACCATTTGTACCAGAATGGGTGTCAATTCACCCTCGAGTGCGAGAAGACCTTTGGCAAACGCCGCCGCCGTCATCTGCACTCGGCCCTCATCGCTGGCGTAGATCTTCAAATCGTGCCGAAAGGTGGAATGCAATCTGGAAATACTAGAAATTTGTAATGCCACCCGCCACAACCACTCCATTTCCCATGGATTCACCTCAGTAGTCCTAAACCCTGTGTTCCCGAATAGTCATGCCTTCCCTGCCCTCCAGGATACATGCACCGAAAGATTCTGCCTAGTTCCTCGGCCTGCACCCGACCCGCCGGTGTCAGCTCGCCGCCCCACTTGAGTATGAGCACAAGAGAAGGCTCCTTTGGCGCATCTGCTAGTGACATGCCTTGAAATTAAAGACTCTTCCGTCAAATGGAAATCCGGGACAGAAGGAAAGAACTCACCATCGTCGGAACTCGAGCCACGAGGACGTCCTTTTGGCTGATACTTCATTTGCACCTTTCGATTAATCCCTGAAAAGTGGCCATACATCTCCAGGACGGACTTCAGTTGCTCCAGTTTACCCTGTTTCTCCTCCACCTCAGACTCAGCCGATTTTGTCTGGATCTCCGTGAGAAGGTATCGCGCAATGTCCAAGATCTCCTGCAGTTGCTTCGGACGTTTCAATTTCACATGACCGTGCTTGTAGCCATCGTACTTCTCGAAGATCTCAAAAAACTTGGGGTGTCGCACTTCCACCTTCATCTTCTGCTTTGGTGTCCTATCACCGTGCCTTATTACAGCCACGACACACCTCAGCTCCATCATTTTGCCGAAAGTCGTGGGCACAATTGGCGGATCGTCCAATTGAAATGGCACAGACCAGGGAATGTGGAGGGTTGGCGTCAACTCCCTCAGTATCATATTGCCGAGTATTTTAGCACAATCATCGTAATACTTGTTTGAATTCTTAACAAAGCTGAAACCATTCACGTCGCAAACGTAAGACTTTCCATTGGCCCTGTGATGTTCCAGAGAAATTGCGGGTAAATCATTAAAATGAAGTACATGCATGTCAAAGTCATATGGACTCACCTTAGTAAATCGAAACCACAGACGGTCTGCTTGAAAGCAAGACAGACTTTGCGCGATATCAACTTTTCTCCATTGCTCAGTATCACAGGATATCGAATCTCCTTCCCTTCTCGATCACGCTCAACCTTCCCATCGAGAGCCGGGCTTTTTCTCGCCTCCGCATGAGCATAATCCGGTCCCACTGTGTACACCTTCACATCCGTCCCATCCGTTGGCATAAAGTCCTCATAGATGAAAGACCCCGTCTTCCTCACCCGAGACTCTGGCGAGTAAACACTGCTCCTGCTGCCAATCTTGCGAAAAAGCCGCTGACTACCGCCTCCAGCAGATGTTGGATAGTAAATATAGATGTTGTGATCTTCAGCTGAGACGGGCTTCTCCACAAAAGGCTTGTTGAAGATCACCCCATTGACCTCCACATGATCCTCGCTCTCTAAAAGTTCGTGATCTATTTGTCAGTGAAAGAAATCTCGTGAGATCTTCAGAGAAATTCTAGTGAATTGACAGTCATTTACGTTTTGGATCAGGAGAATCACGATCAAGTACAGCATATCGAGGAATCTCGATGCCTTCACTCTCCAAGATTGAATAAACTTTCCGACGATCCTATTTTAGAGAAGATCAAAGGAAATCTTAATTATTCTCATGATCAAAATTGATTGATTGCCATGTGATTGATCTAATACCTGAATATCATACTGCGTGTGAAGATTATTGATCACGTACGGCTTTCTCAGCTGAGCATAGTTGACAGCCTTCTCCAGAGGGAAGCCCTTCGAGTGGAAGGATATCAGGCAATCACAGACTGGCCACTTCTCCACAGGATCTTTGAGGATCACTTCTTCAGGAAACACCACGATCTTGATGTACTCAAACTCCTGGAGACGCGTTAGAATCTCCTTCATTGGCTTCGACTGTGACTTCTTCGCCATGGCGCAAACGCCAACGACCACTTGCTTCCCGGAACATGATGACACACTCCCATCAGAATCAATCTCCGTGCCATCGCAGAGATCAATATCACCCTAGCAAAGAGGGAAGAGCACAATTATTACTTATCACACTAATGGAATTAGTTCGATCTTGTGATCGGGAGTGACTAGAGATCACGCAAGATCGATAGAGATCATACGGGAAAACGCACGAATGAAGATAAATTGAGAAAATTCAATTCACATGATGACTTATTACTCAAAGATTGCCATCAAAGCTAATAAAGTAATGGACGAGAAATGAAATTTAATGATACAATTTTGTCACGAGACTTGGAAAGAAGAAATAGAGAAACAAGACAATTTACATTCATGCATTCGTCACAGTAGCAGAATTCATTGTAGTTTTCTTCATCGTCATCATTGTCATTACTCAGATATCCATCGTGACATTTCTGCCTCCGTCTCAGTCTCTTCAATCTCCACCAATCTTTCAACCACGACCACTCCATCGCCGAACTCTCCACTTAATGTTCTCGTCACAATTTTCCACCCAAAAGTCACATGAAAAATCGCAAATCATCTGCAAATTTTCATATTTTCTCACACATCATTATAAAAGCACTCTTCAATTACTGGAATGTTTCCATTTCAACTTTTTACACACTCCAGATCAACAAAAATGTAGTTGATTGTTCTGTTTTCCGTCTCGCGATGAAAACTATGCTCGATAATATTTGTTTGCCTTCCTCTCAAAACATACTTTTGCGATTAATTTTTCACTAGAAGCCAATTGAGAATTTATGATCCATTGAAAGAGAGAAGCAGAAAGAAAACTCTCAGACTGATTTTTATTAATGCTGAACGCGACGACTCAATTGATTTTTCGATAATCCTTCTTCCCTCTTCTTTGGCCTCTTGAATGCAAATAAAGCGTCTTTCATAGGGTTTCAAGAGGCCCACAAAACACGCAATGATGATGAAACTCTCCAAGTACTAGAGAATAGTTTTAGGTCTATTTATACGTGATCTTCTCTATAACAATATTTACTTCTCGAAGCAACGATCATTTGCCAATGACAGACGCGAGCTAACTGGAAGGTATAGCGAGAGAATGCGTCAATTAGACACAGAGAAACGATTTTGTTGACAATGGATTGATAATGTGATGATAAGGTTACGTGTGATATCTCTCTTTCTGTCGCCTCCACCTTTATATACCTTATTAGATACGTGCTGAAGAAATCTAACCTTCACCCGCTAATACTCTTAACCACCACAATTTTCTATTCATCTTGAAAATTACGGAGATTCTCAGCACGTTCTTATCCCACGGTTTTCCCGTTGCGCGTGGAGGTAATTGTATTGAAAAATTGCACATTTCGACCTCTTATTCGCAAGAAAATACACTGAAGCACTGCCTCGTCAAATATTGACCTCAGATTTCCCAATATTTACTCGATAAAATTACTCATGAGTCGCTTTTTTTCATTCGTCACTCGCGAAAGAGAATAAAATTAGCAGCGATTGTGTTATCGCATTAAATGGAAATCAGAAAAATGCATTTTCACTTTACAATGAAATCACCATTCGCATATCGCACTCTAGCGTGTGCAATGTTCCACTTAAGACGCTTTAATTCCTGAACTCTATCTTTCAAGTGACCAATTAATTCAAATTAAATTGATTGATTTGAAGGAGATGCAAAAAATCCAGCACTTCAATTTGTCCTCACGCGATTGAGTTAGAAGAATAAAAAAAATCACGGCATTCCGCTGTGGACGTTGCGTGAAATCTCTCGATAACTTTGTGTATCACTGAAAATATCCACGGCTTTTGTGCTTCTCTAAAGTGCACTTTCGGCTAATATCCTCAGAGGCTTTCATCGTAATAAATTTCAACTCAAATGGATCTATATTGACGAATACAATTCGCTCTAGTGAACATTGTGTGTGACTCCCAAGCCGTTGAAATATAGGTCATGTATTTTAATATATTTCACTCATGTACTTGATCTTTATACGAAAGAAGAAGTCACAAAAATTCCCTCTTGTTTCATCACACTCTTTAGCCGCCACCCGCGAGTTAATCCGACCAACGAGTGACGCGAGGAATAAGGAAAATTTTCACCGAAAAATCAATTTACGTGCCCACCATTGAGAATTGTACTGTTCGAGGGCAAAAACTCATCAATATTTGACTAACTTTTTTACTACTCTAAACATTTATTACACAATCAACCTCACTGTCCTGTTCTTTCTCTCTCTCTCGCTCTCGTCTCCCCTTCACATTTACTTTTCTTCACTCTTTATCACGATAAAAACACGATACTTCAGCATATTCGTGTGTGCTGAAATTATCGAATTTTTCCAGTGCCATTCCACTCTTTCAACCACAAAACGAATGCGACTTATCTACTCATTTGATAATTTTTGTCACTCAAACTACCAAAAAAACAAGGCACAAAGATAGGGAAAAAGCATCGACTTTGTCGTGAATGTAAATCTACAACACACGCGCCAGCAGATGCGAAGAAAACACGGAAAATGTAAGCCCGAAGAAGTACCAGAAAGACTTCTTAGTGACAACAAAGCTCAATACTGACTAAATAAAAGTCTCTCTTTCGGTGGGATATAAATCTATGCTGGTGTCGCTGCGAGACTCAGCATTTTATTGTGAGCAAAAATGTTGAGGCATACACAATAATTTTGTATACAAGAGTCCGATCGTCTTACGATACTCTACGATGGAATTTTCATCGCACTTCTGCCTGAAGAGATACAACCACATTCTGCTCATCTCACTCTACACCCATCAAACGCGAAGGAAAATACTAAATGACCCTCTTCGGATTTTCCGCCGCACTGACAGGAAAATTCAAATAAACATTTTAGAAGTGTGACTCTTATTGATTTGAGAGTCATTAATGCGGAAAATCGTTGAAATAAAACCCTTTTGAATCGTCAGGCAAGTTCATTTGAACTCATTAAATTATCCTTTCCATTATGCAAACACTCATTACGACTTATTGGAATTAGATCATTTCCATTTTTGACTCTTGCATTGTAATATGAAATTGCAACAATAAACAAGTGTTATCTTTAATTAAAATATTACAGCAAATATTTGCCACATAGCACAGAAACTCTTTATCCATATTTGCTTAACATGTTGTCAAAGAGTGATATTAAAACTTGTTTGCTTCTCTCCATGAGAAAATATTTAAATTTTTATCAAACCCCAATAAACAATGAATGTTTCCTTTCCTGAAATTGCACCTCTAAGCGCATTAAACCAACTAACCTGATAAAACATTGAAATAGTGGCAAAATGCAGCATAGAAAATGCGGCCAAATAGTAAAATTCTCGTACAGCGATTTGAAATAATTAATATTCAAAATGAGAGGTCTCTAAATATCGCGCAGGTGTTTTAGCATAAGGCCCTGAATATTGCGCGTCTCTCTGGCTCTCATTGATACTATTCTATGATAACGTGAATATTTAGTCGACCAATTTACACTAATTTAAATCGCGAAGCACTCTCTTAATTTTGCCAACAAAGCTGCCTTGTGAGATATTTTGAAGCGGATTTTAATGAAGATAAAAAAAATGCACTGACAGAATGCGTCAATTAGCACATTTGGGCATTTGCTGACTCAACTGACATCCCATCTAGAGAAAAACTGACTATCAACACTTACTTCCAGCTCACCAAAATACATCTCGTGCCACCACAGGCTATTTTCCCTCATTTTCACTGTTGAATCCATAATGAGATGCCATCAATATTCAAAGACGAATTCTCAAGAGATACCAATTTAACTAATGTTTCGACGCACTTTTCCACCTTTCCAAGCACTCCACACCAACTAGTCTGGTGCTTCCCTCGCGGAGGCACGATTATTTATCCAATGAGACTTTCTCATATTGGTTTAAAAATAATATTCTCACGCAAAAAGAAAATATATATAGAGATGGCTTTTAAATGTATCACACACACTTTGTCGCTCTTTCAACTGAGCCAACAAACCGCCTCTGTGAGCATTTTTCCCCTCGCGGAAATGCTAGAACGGGTTTTTCTGTCTCAGGTAGGCGCACTAGGAAAAAGCAGAGCGACCGCGGGATGGGTGAGAATGTTTTTAAAGCTCAATGGACTGCGAAATTAAATAATAAAATCACAAAGCTCACATATGCGAGGTGGTGTACAATTTGCACTTTAAATTACTAAATTAGAGCGATAAAAGTTATAGCATGGAAGAACCGAGATAGAGTGAATTTCTTTATGGACGTCACCATTTGTTAATTAAAGTGATAGATTGTAAATGAATCAAATTGATAAAATGACTACAAGATTGTTATACTCATTGCAATAATATCTGGACTTCATATTCACATTACAATTTCACATTACAATTTCACATTATATTCTCGTAATCTTCAATGATTTATGAACTATGACCACACTTTCAAGACGAACATGACTTATCAAGTTGGCAATAAAGATTTGATAACAAGTTTATCCTTGAATTTCTAGATAATAACCTGCAAACTACTCAACTCTGGCTGGAATATTTCTCAGGTCATCCATTCTATAAATCATTAGCCTTTGGTTTGCAAATAAATATGGAATTGAGGTCATTGCCATTGCTGCCTTTTGCGTCACACATCATAGCTAAGATGCAGTGTATTTCATCAAAATTTAGGACTTTTAGACTTTTAAGGTATTCTTGAGTTGAAAATCTATTACAACAGCCCAGAACAATATTTACACACTTTGCAATGGTCTTAGGTCTTATCACTAAATTGATACTCTTATAAACAATCTTGTTTACTCAGGCGAAATGGTGTGTGTTTGTAATCTTATCTCAGTTGTCCACTGTAAACCACATCTTAGTGGAACATTTTAGCACGTTCTCGGATTAGCGAAGAGTGTCTGGCATTTAATTCCTGCAATTTTGTAAAACTTTTTCCGGTCGTCTTCTTACCTGCAAAATCATAACAAAACATGCAAACATTAGATTCTTCTTCAACAAATCGATCTTCTCTGTAGACTCACCTCACCGACATAAAACCCTGGCCGATTGTTGGCTTGCTGAAGGCCTTGATAGCCCGTCTCGAGCTCAGTATACGACATTCTCAATGCAGTTGTGTGGCGGATCGATAAAATTGCAAACTTCCGGATGACGCAGAATACGGGAGGCGTCGAAACTAGCCCACCTGTCTCACACTCTCACTCACTCCACCAAAAAGCTCCTGTACCAATTACCAGATAGATGTGTACCGCGTATTTTTGGTACATGAGTACTCGATATTATCACTTGGCAGAGAAATTTTAAATGTATATTTAGCGTTGATGAACTCTCCTGCAAACTCGGTCGCACGCCATTGATTTTTTCTCATCATCATTTTATCCACTACCGCACACCAAACTGACCAAACTTTACTCAACACCTAAAGCATGCACTCCCAATACGGAGTTGTCACACTTTACACTAAATTTCCACACAGATTTACAGGCTTTTTGGCGATTTTCTGTGGCCTCGCAGAGTTTTCACTGCACACAATGATGGCCGTAACAAATAATTCGCCCTATGGAGAACGGATTCCACGATCCGAAATCGTCCATGGAATATCTTCCACTTTTCTTCCTATAATAGGAATAAAATCCTCGGAATTCCAAGCTATCCTCCATGGATAAATTCCACTTTATTCCAAGCAAGATACCATGGAATAATTCCATATATATTCCTTTTGGCCATCCATGGATATTAGAATGGAATATTTTCCATGGTGATAAATCCGCGGAATATCCATGGGTTTTCCACGGAATAATTCGCTCTTTGCGCGTCCCCACGCGATTACGTCAGTCTTGTGAAATTCTTCTCATAGGAAAGAACGCGTAAGTATTTTTCTGTACTTTTCAGTACTAAAACGTTAAGTTTTAATGGTAAACACTCTAAGTTTGGTGATATTTTCAGGAAAAGTGCTGAATGTATGCGATGGAGACGGCACAGGGACCCCACAGTCAGAGAAGACTCGAGGTTTCCGGACAACGTCAAAGTAGGAGAAACAATCAATGTAAGTATGGAATTACCGAAACATAAGAGATATATCCTGTTTTCTATACTGAACATGTCTTTTTTACAGGAAAATAGGATGCGGAAAAGCGGTTACCGGAGGATCTACTTATCCGACAGAGTGTGACTCATGACAAGGTAAAAAATGTTCTTCATGTTCTCGAATTCTTATGGCGAAAATCCATGGAACATCCTATAAATAACCATGGAAGATTTCCATGCTGGAATTTCATCCATGGTGAATCCCTCGGAACTCCGTGGATCAGCAAGGAAAACCCTTGGAATTCAGCATGGAAGATTCCATGCTGAATTCCATAGGAATTTAGCAAGGATGATTTTCCATGGATTATTTCCCACATTGCTTCCAAATTTTCCATGGTGACTTTTCCCATATATGGAAGATTTCCATTGCAATTCCATTGGCCAATCCAAGGACGATTACAAGGAATACCATGGAGGGAATACCATGCAAATATACGATCAGTAATTAGTGTATTTTATTTTCCAGCTTTTTTCAAACATATCCGGACCGGTGCGAGAAGACATCAAAGAGCATCTCGACTTCCGGCGACCGCGGTAGCAGTCGTCTAGAAAAGTAGCAGTCCCTGGGAAGCGGCATAGCAGCCACCAAGGCAACGCGTAATCACAATCAGAATCACATTTGTAAGATTGATTGGTTATATTTAATAAATACAAATCCAAATATAAATGAGTCTTTTTTTGGATATTTTGGGGCGGAGCGCCGGGAATTTCTGGGAGAAATTTCACACATTGGAATTTCCTCCATGGTATTCCTTGTAATCGTCCTTGGATTGGTCAATGGAATCGCAATGGAAATCTTCCATATATGGGAAAAGTCACCATGGAAAATTTGGAAGCAATGTGGGAAATAATCCATGGAAAATCATCCTTGCTAAATTCCTATGGAATTCAGCATGGAATCTTCCATGCTGAATTCCAAGGATTTTCCTTGTTGATCCACGGAGTTCCGAGGAATTTTCCATGGATGCTGTTACGCGGATAGCATGGAAATCGTCCATGGTTATCCATTGGATATTCCACGGATTTTCGCCATAGGGCGGAGCTGCGGCGATTTTGACAAGCAACACTCCGACCACTGAGCTGCCGCAGCGCCACCACGCGGCAGACTTCCGGAGTGTCAGTGTGTGTCATTTTCTGGGAGAAAAAAGACGTGCAAATTGCTTTTCTTAGCTTTTTCATTGTCTGAAAATGCTTTTCAATCTAGTCAAGCAGCGTGAGTGAGTTGGAAGACTTGTTCAAAGTGAGTCGGCATGGCGGGCGTGCTTGGATATAGTCGCGAGGCTGTGCGGGTGCGAGTAAAGGTGAGATGTCTGGGATGTTATTTCCCAAAAATTTCCTTGCTTTCACCACATTTTCCACTCCAATTCACACACTTTCCCTCTCTTCGCAGAAGTATGAGATGAATCTGCCGCCCGAGTGGCGGAAGTTCTCGGTGGATCCACAAATAACTTCCCTTGAGGTGCTGTACAGTCTCCTAGCGAAGGCGTTCGACCTCAAGACAGACTTCACGATAAGCTACAAGGCGATCGATCCTAATGGCCAGGAAATCTACCTGTCGGTGCTGTCGGACTGGGATCTGGACGCTGCCTTCCTCAGAGCGCACAATTACTCAATAGCTAACGCCTCGGAACCATGTCTCAACCTCCGTGTGGATATCAAGCCGTTCTCCGAGGCGCCAGATTGGGATTCCACGAGCAATTCGAGCAACATGAGCGCCCCCAAGGAGAACATGTTGGGCGCCGGACAGCGATACGTTCAGAATGTGCAGAATCGTCTCCCTGGAATCCTCATGAATCAAATGGAGAGGACTTTCTCCATGGTTCAGCGGGCTTTCAATTTCATAGATGAGCAGACAATTTTGCAGCCCCCGAGACACCCATTAACAGACGCAGAGTTCCGTGGGATGCTGGACTCTGTGGGTCAGATTGTGCAACCGTTCAACCTGCGACAGGTGATTTACATGGGTGGCATTGACCCGAGCTTGAGAAGAGTAGTGTGGAAGCACATTCTGAACGTCTATCCGGACGGGATGACTGGAAGAGAGAGAATGGACTACATCAAGAGGAAGTCCACGGAGTACTTCAAGCTCCGCGAGACGTGGAGAATAGCTGTCCAGCGGGGGAACGTTGCCGGGGAGTTGGCCTATGTGACCAGCATGGTGAGGAAGGATGTCCTTCGCACCGACAGGTTGCATCCCTTCTACGCAGGCAGTGATGATAATCAAAATATTGCTGCTCTCTTCAATATTCTCACCACGTTCGCTCTCAATCATCCATCTGTAAGCTATTGTCAGGGCATGTCGGACATCGCTTCGCCTCTCCTGGTCACGATGGGCGGCGATGAGGCTCAGGCTTACATTTGCTTTTGTGCCGTCATGAGGCGTCTCTGCGGGAACTTCATGCTCGATGGACTGGCCATGACACAGAAATTCACCCACTTAACCATCTCTCTCCAGCACTACGATCCGGAATTCTATGAGTATCTCAAAGCACAGCAGGCGGACGACCTTCTCTTCTGCTACCGTTGGCTTTTGCTCGAGATGAAGCGGGAGTTTGCCTTTGAAGACAGCTTGCGGATGCTGGAGGTGCTGTGGAGTTCTCTTCCTTCGGACCCGCCTGAGCAAGAGTTAAAGCTGCACGAGAGGGAGTTCGAGGTGACTCCGGAGATTGTGGCGCCGAACATGTCATCAATCCTCAGAACACCCAGGGAAAATCCTTATACAAAAATCTGCGCATTGCGTCGGCAAAACTCAGCCGCATCACTACAGAGTCATCACATCAGCTACCCAACGAGTCCAGCTCCGCTGGGCACCACTAAGCGCCTGAATCATAGCCTTGACGAGACCTTGGCGTGTCTCAGTCCTGATATGAACAACAGTAAGAGTCCTCAGAGTCTGGACGAGACAAAGTTTAGGTTCCCTGAGTGTTCGACAAAACAGGAGGAGATTCTGGAGGAAAAGCCTGTGGAGATTTGCGCGGACAGTGCTGAAATGGAGCCCCAGCGGCCCTCAACGCCTGACGAAGCTCCACGGAGACAACCTCTAGTTAAGGGTGGTTCTCTGAATCGTCATGTGACAGGGAAGAAATCGTCAGGAGGGCACTTTAGGGAACTGAAAGAGCGTCTAGCGGCTAGCAAAAAGGGCATTCTAGCTTCCTTCGACAGTGTTCAGACGAATGATCAGGGCCAGAAACTTGTGAAGAACTTCAATGAATTCCTCAATTTTGCCGCAATGAACAAGCAGGCGGAAAAAGGAAAGGCGGAAGAGAGATCAACCAATCCCTTTGATGACAGTCCAGATGATTCGCAAGAGTACTTCCCCATGACCACGTCCATGACGAGGGAATTGCGGTTGGAATTGGAGAATCTGGATAGGCAGCTCTTTGGGCCAGACTTTCAGAAGAAGCACTTTAACTCGCTGCTGGATTGTGACACACCAGGAAGTGGGGATTCTGTGAACAGTGGGGATAAGAACAAGTCGCCAGGAATTGCGTACACAAAGTTGGAGCACAACTCAATTGAGGTGTGCGAGAGTCTCTTCAATGGGCACCAGAAAGAGGTGGGATCGGGAGAAGAGACGCCGGCAAAGGTGACGAGTGGCACGACGGATGTCTTCGTCTGGGAGAATCCTCTACACCAGCTGAATTCTGGGACAGAGGAGGAGCGTCGAGTGGCGGGAGTGAATCTCACCACGCCCGATGAGCAGACTGATCTAGAATATGATGGGGAAATTGTCGATGAGACGAACGGCGGTAAATCCATCACTCCAATTCGCCTGTTGATTCGGCGAAATGACTCAAAGCCCAGCAGCAGGAATTCGGTTGTGTACGGCGAGGAGTCAGACTCTGACCGATCGGACAGCTGGAATGAGTCGCGAAAGCTACTGGAGCCACCCAGAAGTACACTAGATGTGGATCAGAGAATCACCGCCGCCGTCACGATGACCAATTCGTGTGAAGAGGCGTCTGAGGCGAGTAACTCAGCCCCACCACCAAAGATTCCTGGCGATCTGCCGCCGCCAAGTGAGTTTGGCGGCGGCAATCCCTTCCTCATCTTCCTGGCGCTGTCGCTGCTCCTGCAGAGCAGAGATTTTGTGATAAAGAGCGGAATGGACTACAATGAGATGGCCATGCACTTCGACAAGATGGTCCGGAAGCACAACGTCACGCGAACACTGAATCACGCGCGCCGGATGTACGCGGACTACCTGCGATCTCAGAGCTCCTCAGGGGCCAGCCGAACGACTGCGGGGCCCATCGGCACGGCCAGGAAGCATTCCAATAGACTTTAGGATGCCACTGCGATAGGTTCTCGATGGGGATTTCGAATGATATTCATACAGTAGAGAGTATTTTGCATTTTTTATATGATATCCAGAGCTTTTTTACATAACTTATCGTTCCTAATTGCAGCATTTTGATTAGTATGAAAGGAAAATGTGGCTATTTGAGAGATTTATTTAATGTGAAGTAATATTTCCGTGTGATTCACGCAGAGCATTTCGAAATCTCCACCGCGATTTAGGATCATTCCGGTAGATGTGATTTCAGATAGGTTTATTCCCAAACTATTATATCCCAGATCGCATGCTTTGATCTTATTATAAACTGATCTTGATCGCGAGCGAGAATAAAATCTGGCGAGAATGCAAAGACTTTTACTTCCTAAGAAGATTGTTGGTCATCCGATGTAATGCGTACGCAATAGTGCACTCGCACCTTGTAAGCAATTTATTAATTTTCATTAATAAACATGGCTTGTCTTTCGATCCAAATAGTTGTCTTTTGAATGTTTGAAGGAAATTTTGCAATATAAATTTGGAAATTGAGGCAATTTGAAAGTTTCTCGCGTTCAAGTCAAGTGCAATTTCGACAATGATTTCTTGAATATTCTGAACAATTTGGTAACTGTGAATGAATTATTTCATTATTGCAGTCATGAAATGCTCCAAATTGAGCGAATATTTACATATGTATCTTCAAAATTAATAATTTCATGGAAAAGATTACAAAATCACTTGTGATTTCAAAACTCCCGCTGGAGCGCCTCATGCGGCCAACTTCAGTTTGCTCAACCAAGATGTCAAAGGAAAAGGCTGCTGCTCCTGCTAAAACTAAAACACCGAAAGTAATACTGAAAAGAGAGATAAATCCACAAATATGCCGAATCTGTGAGGAAAAGGATGCGCTAGTGGACTTGACGGAGACCGTAAATTATCACCTACTCGTGAAACTGCAGCAGATCGAGGGTCCAAGAGTATGGGCATGTTTCATAACGTACATTTTTTCACCTTTTCACAATATTTTTCCACAATTCCAGCAAAGTACGGATGCTAAGAACTTCGATGAGATCTTCAAGTATATTTGCTACAGGTGTGAGAATGCCCTACAAGGATACTATGCATTCAGGAGTAAAATCCGTATAATGCGCCTGAGACTCATGAACTTTGCGATCACCGGGAGAATCAGTGTTGAAAGGCTCAGAGAGCCTAAAAATGCAGATAAGAAACCCGAGAAGGCTATTGATGACTATCTGGAAGAAGTACTTCAACCAGATCCTGGTCAAAGAGAGGAGTCCAATGTTATCGCTGAGCCAGAGTTTATAGAGGTTGACATTGATGCAATTAAGATAGAACAATTTATGGAAGAATCCGCAGTTGACGTTCCTGAAGACACAAGTTGGAAAGAAATTTACCGACCGAAGACATCGCCAAAGCCCAAAAACGAGAAATTGATTCTGAAGACCGTGGAAGAAACCAAGATCAAGTGTTCACAGTGCAAAGAGAAGTTCAAGGATCAAAGATCTCTGGCTAACCATCTCATGAGAACGCATCGTCCTGAATCTCAAAAAAAGCCAGTGCAAAAGACACAAAAGAACAGGAAGTGTCCTTTTTGTGGCCAAATATTTGACCGCATGTTCACATATTTGGAACATTTAAGACTCCACGATGCTTCCCTTTTCAAGTGCAAGTACTGCGCTGAAGAATACAAATCGAGGCTGAATTGTAGAATCCATGAAATGGGCCATCGCGAGAGAGATTTCAATACTGAACAGCATCTAAAGCAGCTTAAGGTTCAAAGAGCGAACGTTTTGGTGCAATGTGTTCCGCCACTGCGACTCGAAAATACCAAAGGCACCACAACTCCAAGCAATCCCACAACCTCCACAGCTCGAACTTGTATGAAGATCCTGCATCTGAGAAAAAAGCGAATTCTTCTCAAGAACTTTAAAAGTGAAAAAAATGTGAAGAATGCGGCGAACTATTTAGATACATAAACATTCACGGCGCCTACACACGCTCTCAGTGCAAACAGTCTGTCAAGACGAAGGGACTCTTGAGATTTCACATAGGAGAGGAACATCTGAAACCACTTTCAATAACGAAAAGGAAAAGAAATGAAATAAAAGATTTATTGAGAATACAAAAATTTTCTGGCGGGAGAAAAACCGCACAGTGAGTACAGCGCTCCTTGCGATTGGTTGCGCAAATGCGTTTTCCGGAAAAATGAGAAGCTATTTTTGACGTTTAACTTGGTCACAAATTTTTGTTGATGGTCTGGGAAAATGAGTGAAAAAGACTTCTCTCTCAGTATTCCTGTGGATGAAAAGCGTGGCAAACCAGCATCGGAACTACATATTTGTCGAATATGTGAGACACAAGATGATCTGCTGGATATTCTCACCGAAAGACACACTCACATCTATGAGAAACTCCAGAAGATTGCCACCTTCAAGGTATGCACTTCCTGTGTAAACAAACGGGTTTCCTGGGAAAATAGACTGGGTGTGCCGAGTCAGGAGGGATACTACTGCTGATTTGTGTCTGTTTTTCAGGAGGAAGACAGCAGCAATACCTTCAAATATGTGTGTTATGACTGCAGAGATAAAGTAGATGAATTCTACGAGTTCAAGCGCAAGTGTGAAGACACGTATGAGAAACTGTGCAAGGAATTGCTTGAGGACTCGGATGAGAACAGAAAGGGGGACAGATCCTCTCCGGGCAGCGATGTTTTTCACATTGAAGATGTATTCGTGAAGACTGAATATCCAGTGGATGAGATCTTCTGTCGCGACGACACTGATGACGAGTCTGATAATGATTTTGACGAGAATTGCATGGATTTCCTGCAAGTGAAGGTGGAGGACAGGAATCCCGAGGTGAAGGACGAGGATGGCGAGGAGAGGCGAACAAGAAGGAAGAATAGAAAGTCAGTGGACAGGAGTTATCAGTGCAGTGAGTGCGATGAGACTTTCCAGAATCACTACTATTACACAAAGCATAAGGCCACCCATCAAGAAGCTAAGGACACCATCTGCTCTATTTGTAACCATGAATTCTCGACAAAACAGAATCTAAAGCGCCACATTGAGGACATTCATGAGAAGGTGGAGAAGCCGAGAGACGACAAAGAATACCAGTGCACACAGTGTGAGTTGACATTCAAGAATCACTACTATCTCACAAAGCACCAGGGCGTGCACACGACCCAGAAGAAGAACATCTGTCCCATATGTGGCCAGGAGTATTCAACGAAGCAGAACCTGCGGCGCCACATTGAGGACATCCATGAGAAGATCAAGAAAGCCAAGGGAAAAGACTCATACCAGTGCAATCAGTGCGACAAATCCTTCAAGAATCACTACTTCCTCACCAAGCATCGCATGATCCACACCAACTCCAAGAAGAACGTCTGTCCGCACTGCAATCAGATGTATTCCACGAAGCAGAACCTCCGGCGCCACATTGAGGACATCCACGAGAAATTGCGCAATCACCTGTGCACAATCTGTGGCAAGGGATTCGCCCAGATCACCACTCTGAAGTCCCACTACAACGTCCATTCGAAGATCAAGTTCCAGTGCGACGTGTGCGGGAAGCGCTTCAAGACGGAGATGTACCTGAAGCTGCACAAGCTGCGCCATATCCCGCCCGAGGAGCGCACGGACAAGATCAAGAAGCGGTTGAAGAGTGACGGCTCCAAGGCCAAGAAGGTCATCTGCATCTGCTCCTTCTGCGGCAAGATCTCCAACACGGCGGCCATCCATCAAAACCACCTTCGCACGCATACGGGCGAGAAGCCCTTCGAGTGCGACATCTGCAAGAAGTGTTTCTCCTTCAAGTTCGTCCTGGAGACACACATGAGGGTGCACACGGGCGAGAAGCCCTATAAGTGTGACACCTGCGGAATGGCCTTCCGCCAGAGTGCCCATCTCAAGACGCACAAGAGAGTGCACACGGGCGAGAAGCCCTACAAATGCGTCGTCTGCGAGAAGGCCTTCGCGGAGAGACGGAGCCTCAAGGTGCACATGAGACTCCACACTGGGGAGTCCACATGACTGTAAGTGGTTCTATCGTCCGCTGCGATTGACAAATTAGTCAATCTGGGATTGAAAGTATAGACAGCCACGCTGATGAATCCCTGCCTTTTGAGTTGCTACTTTTTATCCTTTTCACTCAATGGTTTTATAGTGAAAACCAGAGCCTCAAGATTTTATATAAACTCAAACAGTTCTTTTATGGATTTTTTAATCTCAAGTACGGTATGAAAAACTTACATATTCTAGAATAGAATAATTATAAAAATATATCATGAAAACTAAGTGCAATGATTTAGTTCGCACAATAGAGACTCTTTTATTCTACACACACAAGAGGAAAATTGCCAATGCAAAACACAGAGGCTCAGAAATCGAATAAATCAGATTATTTTGCAAATTTTAGAATCACAAAATTGTTTAAATGATCAAGAGAGTATTGCATTCATGTATGTAGAATCAAAATATGAATAAGATTAGATTGATAGTACAATGTCTTATAAGATGTATCTCGCAAAAGACAGTATATATTATACTTTTGTCGAAATATCAGTAAATGTTAGGTAAGAGCTAAGCTTAAAGGAAGTATCTCTTATCAAGACAGAGTCCTAGAGAGTTAGAACTACAGTAGGTATTGTGTTTAGGTTTAGAATCAAACTCAAAGCTAGTCAAAATTTTATTTAAGCATAAAAGTGCTCCATTTTTTCATCGAATTTCCTTTCCTATATTTTACAATTTGACCTAGTTTAGAGCATAAACATTTATAAAAGCTGAATTTGTCAATCTTATGTCGTACATTTCTAAAGAATGGTATAATAAAAATAAACTTTGGAATTCATAAAATGCTACAATTAAACACTATCAACGGTTTCATGGTTTCATTTAAATCTTTCACCATTTCGATCGAAGCGCCTCTTGCGGATTGCTCCGGTCTTAGAAAAGTAAACAAGTCATCTGTAAAGTGGGTTGCTTTTTAGGAAAACACAAAACCTCCTCTTTTAGCCTGAAATATCCGTCTGAGAAGGTGAATTTATGATTAATATGACTTCTAAGGGAACCGATTTGTTGGAAAAGTGCCAAATATGTGAGAAATCACAGAAACTTTGGAAACCCAATGAAGAAGAATTGAGACATCTTCAAGACAAGCTGGAATCATTGACCAATTCTGGGGTAAATTTTTGAAATAGCATATTTGTAGAATGTGTGCTTGTATGTTGTATAATATTGTGCTTTATTTAGAATCAACATAGCAATTGGTTGCAATCACTGTGCACGGATTGCAAGAAGAGACTCGATGATTTGTGGGAGTTCAAAATCCTCTGCAAGAATGCGTACAGGAAGTATCTGGATATCCAAGAGGCTCAGGAAATGCCGGATGACTATGATATGTCTTCTTACGATGTGAAGGATGATTACGAAGACAGCGAAAAAGATCGCAAGATCTTCCCCACTGAGAAAATGGACGAAGAGGAAGAAGAGAAGAAGTACTTCCAATCATTTGAAATGGTCATGCTTGCAGAAGAGACCACCATCGATATGGATTTACAGCGGAAGCGCAAGAAGCCGAAGAGCAGCGAAAAGGCACCGGAAAGACCCAAAAAGAAGAGGAAAAGGCCAGAGAACAAGGTGGGGAAGATACACAAGGAAAGCAGACAGAAGCTAAGTTTGCCCGGACCGTACACATGTGCTATTTGTGACAAGCAGTTCATCGCGAAGCAGAACATAAGGCAGCACGTTGTTGTTGTGCACAAGAAGACGCGAAACTTCCTATGCAACTTCTGTGGCAGGAAATGCGTGAATCGCCAGAGCTTGATTGTTCACGAGCAGACGCACAATGAGAACAGACCTCGAGTGCCTTGTGAATTCTGCAAAGAGACCTTCAGCACGAAGCACACCCTCAACAAGCACTTGAAGTTGGTGCACGCAGAGCTAAAACAGGAGGAGAGATTCTGGATCTGTCAACAGTGCAGCACAATCACAGAGGGCAGATATGAGTACTACGAGCACCTCAAGACTCACACGGATCTCGATAGGTTCCGATGCCGCTATTGCAGAAGAGAGTTCAGCAGCATTGACATCCTGGCGCAGCACGAGAGCATTCATGTGGATGAGAGGCCATTTACGTGTAAGATTTGCTCGAAAACCTTCAAGCAGAACGCCCATTTGACGCGACACATGAACATTCACACCAGAGCAAGGAAGTTCCCATGTAATTTCTGCGATAAGGTATTCTCCCAGGCCAGCAATCGCAAGGTACACATAAGACTTCACACCGGAGAGACGCCTTACGAATGCTCAAACTGCCGAAAGAGATTCAGCGACAGGAAGCTGTTCAAGAATCACTGCGTGAAATGCTCAGGATCGACGTAAGATCAACATTGATTCTATGACAATATCTATTATTTATTTGATGTGTGGTTTTTTGAATCTTCTGAATAAAAGCCAATTAATTCATTCATCAACCCGGCGCATTTTACCGTTCCGCCGCTTTGCTCCAATCAGCGACGCGTAGCGGATTTATTGATAACTGCAAAGGTAAACAAATAGCGTGGAGTAAATTTCCTGGAATTTCTAGTTTTCTGCGAAAAATGAGTGCAATAGCTAGTAAAATGTGCCAAATTTGTGAAAATGCACAGTCTCTGCTGGACCTGTCGAATGAGGAGTTTAAATATCTCCGAGATAAACTGCAATCAGTCACAAATAAGGAGGTGAAAAATGATTGATGTAGTCAAACAATTCAGTATGAGCAAATTAATTACATTTCAGTATCAGAACATCAACTGGCTGAGATTCATCTGCACTTATTGCAAAGAGAGACTCGATGATCTCTGGGACTTCAAGATTCTCTGCAAGAATGCGTACAGGAAATATTTGGACAGTTTGGACGGATTTGAGGAAGTCAAGGAGGATTGTGAAGTGCCCGCTTTATTCCAAGTCACAACGCTTCCTACATTGAACATAGAAGAGAGTTCCAAGGAGAAAGAAGAGCAATTAGTTCTGATGGAGAAGGAGAAGCGTAGAAAAAACAAATGGAATCCAGTGCATGTCACGTGTTCGCTATGCGACAAAACCTATCTGAAGAGCAACTTGAAGCAGCACATGAATACGGTTCATCTGAAAATCACTCCTTACTTGTGCAATGTTTGCGGAAAGAGATTCGCAACGCGCTATCGAATGGAACAACATGAGTCTGTTCATGTCAAGGATCGACCCAGATTTCCGTGCGATTTATGCAGTAAAACATTCTCTAAGCCCACAAATCTAAAGCGCCACATCACTGAGGTGCATAACGATCCACTGAAGAGGAAACCGCCAAAGCCACGATGCAAGTATTGCTGCATCGCCTTCGAGAACAAGGAGGAGTATCAGGAACACATGAGCAGCCATCCTGGAGTGAGAATTCGTAGGTCAGGATTGGATCTCAAGTGCAAGTTCTGCTCTAAGCAATTCAAAGCTTATGCAATGCTAAAGATCCACGAAAGGATTCACACAGGCGAGAAACCGTATAAATGCGAAATTTGCTCAAAGACCTTCAGGCAGGATCAACATTTAAAGACTCACGAGCGTGTTCACACTGGGCAAAAGAAGTACCCGTGCAAATATTGCGAAAAAGTGTTCACACAGGAAGGCAGTCGCAAGATTCATACGAGAATTCATACAGGAGAAACTCCTTTTCAGTGTTCCAACTGCCCCAAGAGATTCTACGAGAGGAAAATGTGGAAAAACCACAATATTAAGTGTTCTGAGGCATCTCATAATCAACCAACGACGTGAGTTATTCAATTTGCCCTTTTCAAAAGATCTCATGAAAACACAATATGGAAAGTAAATTTAATTCTTAGAAGAAAATGCTATTTCTATCTTATAATAGAGATCGTCTCAAGAATTGAAAAACCCGCGGTTTTCGGATTCTCCTCTTATGCTGCAGCTGCGCTCCCTATTGTAAACTGAAGTAACTAAGAAACGTCAAACATGGCTCACACATTTTCGGAAAGGTGAAATAAAGATTGGCGAAATAATGTCTTCAGTTGAAATTAGCTTTAAGGTTCGGTGTCAGATATGCCAGAATATTACATCCCTCTCAGATGCATGCGCGGATGAAATCAAACTCACTCAAGTTCGTCAGAGAATGGAAGAAGTCACCAATTCTGTGGTATGATGAACAATGTTTTGACGATTGTTTTGATATCAAACTTTTTTATTCTCTCTGCTTTTCTTCCAATTAGGTTGACTGGTTGAGTTTAATTTGTAAATCTTGTAATGAGAGACTGGATGATCTGTGGCACTTCAAAATCACCTGTAAGAATGCATACGCAAAATACTTGGAAGATTTGGAAATCGCCAAATGTCAGGAAATCGAGGAGATTGAGTATGTGGAAGATGCCGAAAATGATATATTGGCAAGAGCAGTGGTGGAAAGTACAATTAGTAAGGAAGAACCAGAGGATAAGGAGAATATTGAGGTGATTGAGATACTTGTAGAAAAACGAACTCAGCCCGAATCTGTTGGCATCGATGGCGATCCTATAGACTATGTGGACTTCTTGGGCAGTTCTGAGGCTGTCCTGGAGCCGGGAGAAGTGTTTTCTGATAAGGCAGAAGTGGTCAGAGTTCGGAAAAAGGAGCAGAGTGGAACCATCAGTGAGGGCAATGAAAGATTCCTATGCTCAACTTGCGGGAAATCCTATACGTCCAAAGCCAATCTAATGCAGCACATAAACATAATTCATTTGAAAATCAAGCCCTACGAGTGTCTTTTTTGCGGCAAAGAATTGGCCACGCGCTACAGGTTGGAGCAACATTTGGAAGTTCATTCAGAAAAGAGAACCAAAATCCCATGCAATACTTGCGACAGATCATTCACCTCGGTGTCAAATTTGCGAAGGCACGTGAATGAAGTGCACAAAGAATTGTGGAAGCGAAGTAACGGCACGAGAAAGCTAGCGAGAAAGTGTACAATTTGCAACATTTCATTCAAAAACAAGATTGAATACCACAAACACATGGATTTGCATCCAGAAGTGAGGATGAAAAAGAAAGGATTGAACAAGAAGTGCGGATTCTGTGATCTGGAGTTTAAGAGCTACCATTCAATGAAGGTCCATGAGAGAGTGCACACAGGCGAAAAGCCATTCGCATGCGAAGTTTGCTCAAAGCAATTTCGGCGGGAACACCACCTGAACGCCCACAGGAATGTGCACAGGAGCAAAAGAACATATCCTTGTGACTTGTGAAATGAAATAAACTCTAAATATTGTTGGTCGAAATGCAAAGGTTCATGTCACAAAGTGTTTTATCAAAACACAATATTGAAAACACTTAGAAATAATAAAAAAGGATCTTCAGGATGAAAAAGCATAACGAATAAAAATTCTAAACACCGCGCGTCCAGAAATATCATCATAGCGTGGGCAGCGCCTCTAGTGTGAGAAGTGGAATCTGTCAGTGGCAAAATGGTGTCCTTGTTGTTTTATCTGGAATTCTGGCTTTTCTTTCAAATTTCTCATGTGTTCTCGGCAAAAAGTGATGCTAATCAGCACACAAACATTCGCTGTGAGGAACTGTGCGGTGAGGCGACACTGAAACTGTCCACGGTAATTGGGGGAAAAATCGATATCTCAGGGACACTTTGGGTTCCACGGCAACAACTCTATCAATTTCACCTGTTTTCCTGCAGAATCTCAAGCTGGATTGCCAGCGGGGATGTCGCTACTTCAACATTGAGTTTCTATCCAGCGCCGGGAATCTCAATAAAGTCACTGATCTGAACACCACGCAGGATCTCTGCAAGTCATGTGAGTGATCAATGAAGGGATTCTGATTGGAGGTCTGACGACATCACTTGCCTCTTTCAGCTTGCACGGAGGCCTACTATGAGAAGACGAAGAAGGAGGCGTGCCAAATGGGTTGCGCCAAAATGTTCGAACTGCAATCCCGCTCGCCGTACATCCACGGATGGCTGGTGTACATGGGCGCTCCGTCGGAGCGGGATCACAGCGGCGGCCTGATGTTCCTGCAGCCAGACCTCGACATTCCTCCGTCTGACGACGACTGGCTGGTGTTCGACTCCGCCCTCCGTCCCCATGACTACGATGGCATCCACCCGTACAAGCTTACCGAGACTCGCATCCAGACAATGCCGATTTACCCAGTGCGGAAGCACATCTCCACACAATTCTGCATCCCTACGTGGCTATGGATGATCCCTATCATGCTGGTATTCGCCATTGTGTGGATCCAGTACGGCAACACCATCCGCAACGTATTCATCTACGAGGATGTCGAGGAGGAGGACGACGACACGGAGGAAGACACTCCGGGAGTGACGAAGAAGCTGGAGGAGGACTTCATCGTGGCGCTGGACTCCTACTTCTATCCCAGTCCGGCCATCCCGCCGCCACCAAAGTACTCGGCCAAGGAGGAGTCCATCCTCATGAGCAGCGATGATGAGGAGAATCTCCTGCGCGAGAATGCAGACAACTCGAATCGACAGAGTAACACTAAAGCCTAATCTCGAATGCGATATCATTGCCACGCGCTACTCTTAAGTTTCTATGACGCATAGGAAATCTCCACCACGAATTTCGTTTGTGATAATTTATCAGAAAATGCATTTTCTTTCGTTTTTTTTTGTTGTTAAGGACACACTTCATAACATTCTCCTAATTGCAGTACAAAAACCACCGGCGAAATTTTATGATTTCTCTCTTACATCTAGTATTATTTATATGTATTTGTTGCAAGTATTAGGAAAGTTAGATATTCCGTTGGCGTGTACATCATTTGATAAAACACCGAAAGACGCTAGCGATAGAACACAAAGAGAATTGACGTAGGATTTTTAAGGATCAGAATAACCCTTGAAAGGTATTTAATCACATTTTAATCCTTAAATAGCATATAAAATAGGTATATGATATATATTTGGGTAAAATTAATAGTCGATGTGAATAGTTTGTGAATTCAAATGTAAAATTCGATCCCAAGAAGCGATGAAATTGTGCTTTTCAACCAAAGACATGTCATCTAGTTAAGTCCCAATCAAATGCTATTCATAATTTCCCCCTCACAAATACTCTACACGTCGTATAGGATATAATGATAAGGTTGAAGATTATTGATTTAGTTCTCCCTTTGTTATTTTTCTCTAGAGTTTATTGGAGGTACTTGAAAATGGCAGATTTCTTATTAGAATATCCATTTATTTCAACGTTTAATTTCAGAATAATCCAAATTCCAAATGATGGGAAATATATGAAAATTCCATTCAACGTCTAAGTAGCGCTGAAATTTTTGTGAAAAAGTGATTTCCGGAATTACACAATAATGTGAGAATAAAAGCGATTTGGAGCAATGATGTGTATAGAAATGGTTTCTGCAAATCTCTGGCTCCATTGTTGGCTAGGATTTGAAGAGGTATGAATCCTTGTACGGCTTCGAACTTGTCTTCTGTAGTATTATCACGTGTTCCCAGATCTTGACGGCCGGACCGAACTTCAATTGCATTTTGGTCAACACATCGCTGCGCTCCAAGAACATCAGAGAAGCGCCATCGATCTCTTGCTCATAGAACACCGCTGCTTGGTTGGGAAAGTAATTCAAGAAGTAGTTGTACACTTCAAAAATTGACCACGTTGACACATCAGGAGCAGGTTTATCGGCAAATGGCGTAACAATGCACGAGACATCCGGTTTCTCGTCTTCTTCATTCATCTCAGAATGATCCTCGTCGATCGACGTGTCCGTTGCGTTCTGCTGCGCTTCCAAGGTCTTGCTTGCTTCCTCGTCGTCTGGTGACGCCTCCTTATCTTCTTCCTGCGCTGAACAAGAATTCTTAGTTTCCTCACACGTGAAATACTCGTTCAAACTTTCGTCCGCACTGCTGTTGGAGGATTCTGAAAGTTCCTCTTCAAGCATGATTTTCTTCAGCTGCTGGCAGGTCCTAAAATAGCTCATACGACGCTTTCGCGAATACATTTTGTAACAAGACTAGAAATCAAGAATAGACTTGCGGATTCCGACACGGAGCTGGGATATTTTGTAGAGGGCGCAGGTATCACCAAGATCATCATGGCCGATCGTTCATGACGCGGGCGAAATTATTAAATCCTAAATCTAAGAGCATCAAAAGAGAGTGTTAAATTTTTAGGGTAGATTGGACAGATGAAAATAGAAAGATATTTTATTTTGCATATAATTTCAGAATAAATCAATTGCCGAGAAATATAAAGTCTATATTCAGCAGACTTGAAATTCTGTAGAAAAAACATGTCTGATTTTCCAACATACACAATAATAGAGTACGAAAAAATACAATTATTTTTGAAATAAAAGCGACGAAAAGCGGTGGTTTCTGCAAGGCAGCTGACCTCCTTCACACACCACTATCAGTTAAAACCAGGAGAGTCGCGGATCTGAGCTTCGCTTCTGTAGCATCAGCACGTGCCGGTAGATGCGGATGGCTGGGCCGAGCTTCAGTTTTAGGCCAGACACCACGTCGTCTCGCTTCATGAGCACCAGGGAAGCGCCATCGATCTCCTGCTCACGGAACACTTCAGCCTCGTTGGGAAAGTGGTGCGAGAAGTAGCCGTACACCTCAGAGGCGCTCCAAGTGGCCGCGTCAGGTACAGGCTCGCCAGCAAATGGTATGACAATGTTTGGAACGTTCTCCAGGTTCTCACTTTTAGCCTTCGTTTCGGGTTTCTCCTCGTCAATCGATGTGCTCGATGTGTTCTCTTGCCCATCCGATATATTGGCTGTTTTCGCATCTTCTGGCGTGTACTTTGCCTCTTCCTGCGTCGGGGAGTTACTTTGGGCGGGAGACGCCTCGCCAGATGACACGGACTCCTCCACACCACTCTCGGAAGACTCAGAAAGTGCTTCTCCACCGCAATTGCGGCAGTTCCACTTCCTCCGCTGGTTGCCCTTTGTAATTATCCTGGGACGATGGCATGTATTGTGGTAGAAGTCAAAGCACAGCATGCACTGTGTCAGCACCCCGAAATCCGCGGTCTTTTGGCAAACAACGCACATCTTGCATTGTGGACAGTGCCAATTGTGCTCGAGGTCCTCAAATGTCATTCCCGGACGCTTGTCCAGGCACTCAAAGTGCGCTTTGTAGGAACAGGTCTTGCACGTGATGAGCTTCGGGTGATTCTTCAGGCAAATCAGACACCATCCTTGATAGAAGGAGAGCGGCTTTCGTTCAGGCAGCGTGCCAGAGTCATCGCCATTACTTATCAGCATCTTGCTGCTATTGTGTGAGTCCTTCCTCTTCCTTCCCGGCGTCAATCCAGGCTTTTTCGACTGCCCGGCAGCCTGGAGAATATTCATGCGACGCTTCCTCGGGTATAGACTGTCTGAAGGGTCAAAGATTGTCTTGGCCTTCTTAATCCTTCCACCAATGCGTACAGGCTGCTGGCTGCCATCCTTGTCTCCTCGGCTGGGATTTCTGCCGTGAATCTGCTTCCTCTTAGATGACATTACTATTAGATGTAGCTGGAAACATTTATTCAATATGAGTTATCTGGACATGACCTCCTGTCCGGAAATACATCACTACATCTCTCCCATATTAGTAACACCCTGCACCAGCCCAGAAAAGCCGAAATCAACAAAAATCTGATAAATTCTGTATCAAAACAAAACACTCTTGAAGCCAAGATTGAATCATGACATGTGTTTGAGAAACCAAATTTTCTCTATAAATTCGAAGAAGCCATCGCTCCCAACAACACCAATCTACGAATTACTTCATCATCTGCTTACCTAAAGTAGAACAGAACGTAAAAATACGTCCAATCGTAGGATTTCACAGAGAATGTAAGTCTAAACAAATTTGCCGTACACTTTCCAAATATTGAAAAATGTCATGCAACCGCCAAGAGCGCCTCTGGTGATTGGGCCGTGAATTGTAGCGTCGTGAAAGTTCGCAAACGATTTCGGAATTTTCATAATGCTAACGACTTGGCTCCTCACAAGGGGTAAATATATTTTTTAATAAGGACAAAATGTAATGAAACGCAATTTTTTGTGGATTTCTTCTAGGGTTTTTATTTTCATGTGTATTCCCTATGGATTCCAAGCCTCTTTGATTCAATTGATTTCTTAGTAGAATATAGTAGTTTTTATCATTATTACATAGGTATGAACAAGTGTGTCTCTTCACAATTCCTTAAGTGTCAACTAATCAACCGGCCTAAAAATTGATTCTTTGACAATCTCTTGGTTTTGTAAAAAACCAAACGTGTTCACTCCCTGCAATTGTCACGTCCAGGAGAAAAGAACATATTCTAATATTAAAATAGTTCGTGAAAACAGTTTCTAAATCATCTTATTATTCTAATGCAAAATTGTCAACAATATTCACCTAAGAAATAAACGCTAAATAACATATTTTCAACGGCAAAATACTAATAAGAAATTATAAAAAAGAGGCAAAATTTGCATACACAGGCTATTCGAAAAACTTAGAATAGAATTAATGAAGAAAATAGACGAAAAAATGTAATGAACCAATGTAATCTTGAATGTAATTGTCACAATTCGGGCTATAATTTCAACCGCCACAACAATAGTGCTGTGGAGGTTTTTTGTGTCTCCGTGAATGTCAATCTTTTGCCGATTACATGAGATTAGTATGGTAATGTGTTAATCAAACAATGTTTTGCTGTTGTACTGCTTTAAATAGTTTAGAAAAGGTAATACATCAACAACGCAAAGATTAATTAACGCAGTGACTCAGAACCAATACTAACTCTTAATATTTTCGCATGGTCAAGTGTTTTGATCTTTAGGCACTCTAAAATCTTTTTGAAAACCATTTTAAGGTTCTTATGTCATTTCAAAACTGAGATTTTAAGAAAGTGCTTTTGTAGTTTCTGAAACTGTCTATTGATGTACAAATCAATGGTTGAGAAGTTTTTTGGAGTACACCATAATTGTTGATTATTTTTGAATAATACGAAATGTACACAGAGCAAATTTGATAGAGAACTTGCGCCTGTTCCTTTTATATACAATATGTACATTAAAAAGCGCAAGTTCTTTTTCCTAGTCTCGCTTTGTATACATTATTTCTCTGATAAAGTATCGGAAAGTACTTTTGATACAAAAATACACGTTGATCTCATTATCAGATGGTATTAATCAACGCCTGTAATTCTCTAAATTTCACAACACTGATACGAACGAGACGAACGAGACGCACGAGACGAACGAGACGAACAACAGCTGTACCTTTTGTATTATTTAATAGTCCTTACTCATGTTAATTATATACAGATAATTACACTAGAAGAATCTGAGGACTTCAAGATGTACCGCTTGCCATAAGTACATATCGAAATTCCCAGATCCTCCCAAGGAGCCCTCTTAGCAAAAAAAAAAAGAATTCAATTTATAAACTGGAATTCAGTTACATTGGTTCTTTCACGAGGTGAGTGGCAACTTGACCTCAGATGATTTTTACCAAAAACAAAAAATATGTTTGGCAAAAATCACCAGAATTCTAGGCCATGTCTGCACTCTGTAACCCAAGTATCTCATATAAAATGTTTCAAAATTACCTTTTCAGAGCATAGTTAAAGTCGAAATACTTCATGTAAAATAACTGGGTAAGTCTGATGGTATTTCTAGGTCAGAACCAAGGTCTTAAGTTCGAGCCATAGATAAAAAAAAAAGATTTGAGTTTTTGCCCATAATGAAAAGTATGAGTTTAAAAAAATGCAAGAAATCAAAATTTACAATTTACTAAAATTGCACTTTTTGTCTAATTGCTTAAATTTTTGTTGGTTTCCTATAAAAGAGATTTTTTTTTAATAACTATATCAGGATTTCAAAACTAATGCCAACTACAATTTTGGAATATACTAACTGTTTGTAAGAAACGTTTTAGGTAAAATGGTTATGAATACTTTGGCTATATCATTGACTACATAATTTGTTGTTATCAAAGTTAATAAGAAAGTGTTGACTGTTATCCTAGGCGCCCTACAAACAAACCTACTCCCACCACTTATCGACTCTCACAAGCGTGTTGTTCGATTGTAGCAGCTAGAATGGTTCAAGTCTATTAGCTATATGAGAGATCATGCAGAGAGCTACACATCAGTTGTACCTTTCGAGCAGTCGACGCTTCAACTCTGGCGGATACGTCACGTAGATGTAGTGCTCATTCTGTCCCAGATCGCCTATCTCCGTTGCAGCGGAATAGATCTCTTCTGAGAAGCCACCACTGTTTGTGCCAACCGCCAAGCTCGCATCTGCCATGTTGCCAACAAGCCCGCCCGCATGAGAATACAGGATTTGCTGTGAAGGCTGAGACGCCAGATGGTGTCGCGCATGCAGGGGACTGGATCGCGCTGTCGCCTGGGCACTTGCCATGGTCAGGTCATCGGAGCTGTTAAGGTCAAAAAAATTAATGAATAAACATATGAATATGGAAACACTGTGCTAGGCGTCCAGCTAGACTAACTCAAAAAGAACCCAAATGATGTAGTAGCAGAAGCACACTCCCAACGAGAGCACCATCACGAGGACAAACACCAAACCCCAAGGGAAGGGCTTAGGTTCTGTCGGACTGTCCTCCCAGTATCTCTCACACGTTAGGTACCAGCAAACTGCGCGGTTGAGTTCCTCTGCAATGAAAAGACATCCTTAAATTCGCATACATTGGATTTTCCTTTAATCAACTCACCTTCCATCTCCTTAAAGTCCTGCTGCGACAAGTTCACCAGGAGACCAGCGATACAATCGCGAATCAGCACCTCGCACTTTTTCTTCAGCAGATCCAGATCCTCAGACTTGCAATTGGCTTTCAGCCGTTGCAACTCGGACAACTTTTGCTGCTTCTTATCTATCGCCGGGAGAGCAGAATCCACGAGATTCTTATCACAAGCTGAAGTGTTGTTCCCATCGTCCGACTCATCATCCTCATCAGCTGCACCGAGAGTCTCGCTGGATTCACCATCGTCTTCGCTCCTGTCCTGCGGCTCTCTGCAAGTTCTCTTCCGTCTAACCACCCTTCCTGCTCCACTGCCGCTGGACTCCTTCACTCCCGGGATGAACACTGACAGGGGTGGGAAAAATTTGGATCTCTGAGGCACCCTGGCCAGATCTCTCGGTCCGGACGGTGTGATGGCAGTCCTGTAGGCTGTCGCTTCGTTCCACACTTCAATGTCCGTGGATACGGTGCCGGCGTCCCCGAACGACAGCGTTGAATCGTGACTGAGGAGCACCTCACAACGCATAATGTCGCAATAGTCCGCCAAGCAGACAGCGTCTTCCGCCTGGAGGTTCAAGATTAATGTTCAAATTAAATTTTCATATGCTATGTAGACAGCTAAGGGGATTAATCTTGAACTTCACCTTTGTCCCACACCAAGAGACCTTAGAAACAACTTATCACTTCGTGTAAAAATTGAGGTAGAAAATCTGGGCAACTCTATCACAGCACTGATGGTTTTTTAATTGATAATAAAGAATATACTGGAAGCTAAGAAATTACAGTAAATAAAGATTCGCAGTTTTAAAATTATTAGGGAAATTTTGCACAATAGCTTGAAAACTCTGCCAATTATCCTGCTAATGTGCAATGGCAATGATGAAAAAATTATGATACAGTAGAAGCTTCAGAATATCACGTCCACTCCTTGCAACGAAAGGACTGCGAATGACGAAATGCAAGTCATAAATTGCGCACCAATGCTTCGAGCTCCTGGCTTTCCCGGAATTCCCAGGTAAGTTGTGAAATTTGTTGCGTAGGATCACAAGGACTCTATCAACTTTAAATTAAAAATAGAATTCCTGCATGAATGAATAATTACACCGGTATTTATTACACAAGGGATTTCAGGAACAATTGGTTATGGAATATGAGTTTGCGCTTTTTTGGTTGAGCATGGCTGCATTGGTTAATAACAAGAGGATTGTAAGAGATTTCCCCGAGGATTTTCTCGTAGGAATGTTTTTGCTGAGGGCCTAATTATATTGATCTTCAGATTGTTCAATAATAAGGTTTCAATAATATCGGGTTCTTGGAAATTGCAATAAAATACTACAACTCTTCCAAAGTTACGTGATTTCTCGGCGCTAATGGTGTTCGTCAAAATAATATATTCAAGTATTTAACTTTGTGCTCTCAATCATCACAAATTGTCTCACATGTACTCATGGCCATATGGTTGAATTTTGTGATGTGTTCAAGCCGTACAAGCTAAAACATTGATAAGATCGATGAGAGTTTTGTAACTATTTACATAGGACAGCAATTAACATCTAACGATGTATCTATGGCGAAGCTGTGAAGGAATGTCCAAACAAAACTATTGAGTGCTATCGATCTCGTGTCGTCACTGATTGAACATGATTGAGTCTTGAAGTCCTGAATCAATATGTAGATTGCCGTTGTAAAGGCTCAAGTTAAAATTAGCACCCGAAATTTCACAGTTCACGAGTTCAATGAAACAAATACCAAAGTGTACTGATTGAACACATATATCCTCAAACACTGCATATATATTTCTACTTCCCAGCCGCCAATCATTGTGCCGTGTAATTTAATATCAACGCATCCCTGGCATCCTCTAACTCTTACTGCACAAATTTCCGGTGCTGTAAATTGAATTGGTTCACATCACTTGCGTCGTCAAGGAAATCACCCGGGACAAAGGGCCTGAGGGATGAGTAGTCACGTCCCGGGAATCAGCTCGCCACTCCCCTCCCCCACTATACAATGCGTAATGCAATAACTGCTCACCATATTTATGTTGCTCTTGTGGCGATTGTCGAAGTGCAGATCCAAGAATTTCTCCTCGTAAAAGCTCTTACCGCAGAAGCCGCAAGTCCACTGGCTCGGTCGGTTCTGCTTCTTGACGGCATTCTGGGGCCCGAAGATGTCTCGTAGTGGATGAAATGGACACTCCAGAGGCATCTTCACCTGGTACTTGTCCAGGATCGGCAGCCACTTGGACTGCACGATCTTCCGGACGACACGGGCGCTCTCGCGGGAACATTGAATCTTGAAGACACTGGGCCCTGGCCAGGGGATGAGCGACAGGAAGCATATCACTATCACCTGCGGAGAGCGGAAAATTTTCTCACACCAGCCGAGTGATTTGGCCTCATCCATAAATAATCCCTGTGAGGCCGCTTCACCCATTTTTGTTCCCCCATTTATTGATTTTTGTGCGCAATTCTTGCACCTTACCTCGAAATTAAACGATTTGGTCCACATTCATTCACCATAAATGACGATTTTGTTCTTGGTTTTTCGAGGGCTCAATGTGTTGTCTTGATGCCCCCTAAATCTTATATTCAAACTTCCGGTACAAAAAGCTGAGCTTCGTAGGAAAAAAAACCTTAGAAAAAATCCCCTGATTTTAGGCAAACTACCACACAACAATCTTATCCTGACATGTATCCTGACAGAGAGGGGGAATTATCTTGATGAGGATAATGATTTCCCCTCTCTGAGATTTGTTTCATGTTTCATGTTTCATGTTTCATTGATGTTTAGTTGAAATATATTGCTAGGAAATTACGGAGAATTAATCTTACTTATTGTACTGATTCTCAGAATTATTGAGATAAATTACAATTTCAATTATTTAATGTTTCCTTCAATAAATCTCATAATCTTGAATTTCATAAAAATGCTTTGGCCACAAGCACATTGAACTCCTGAAACACAGCTTAGCGATTGCAGCGCCACAGAAAACACTGTGAATGACAATGGAAATGATGCATGTTTTTTGACTGCTCTGGAAAAGGAAAACATTGTGAGCAATGCGTGAAAAACATTCAAAATTGTAGATATATTGTGTTGAGAGACAGTGTTTTGTAGTGATAAAGTGGGCACAGTTGCGCGAAAGCCATGAAAATGCCGTGCTGGTACTACGAGAAGAAGGACTTGAAGAGCACGCCTTCAGTGAAGGATGGGATCGACTTCGAAACGGAGCGACGGTACCGGAAGGAGGGGGCGCGTTTTATCATGGAGTGTGGCACAGCTATGGGACTGGGGCACAACACCATGGCCACAGGGATTGTATATTTCCACCGGTTCTACATGTTTCACTCCTTCCGGACATTTCCGCGCTACGTCACCGCGAGTTGCTGCTTGCTGCTTGCCGGGAAGGTGGAGGAGACGCCCAAGAAGTGTAAGGACATCATTAAGACAGCCAAGACGCTGCTGTCGGACCAGAAGTTCCTCTCCTTCGGTGACGATCCCAAGGAGGAGGTTATGACACTCGAGAGAATTCTGCTGCAGACCATCAAGTTCGACCTGCAAGTGGACCATCCGTACGGGTTTCTGGTGAAGTACGCCAAGTGCTTCAAGGGAGACAGTACGAAGCTGCAGAAGATGGTGCAGATGGCGTGGAACTTTGTCAATGACTCCCTCAGTACAACTGTGTGCCTCCAGTGGGAGCCCGAAATCATTGCCGTGGCTCTGATTCACCTGGCCAGCAAACTTAGCAAGTTCACCGTAACCGACTGGACGGGAAAGCAACCCAATCATCTGCGATGGTGGGACATGTTCGTGGCGGACGTCACAATGGAGATCCTAGAGGATATATGCCATCAAGTGTTGGATCTCTATCAGCAGGCCAACAGCGCCTCCACACCTGACAGTCCACCCCAATTGCCACCCAGCAAAGCCAGTCCACCTATGAAGCGAGCTCACATCGCATCGCCGGCCACTAAGGCAGACTCCAGCCTGGGAAAGACTGGTGATGACAAACTGGACGCCGGGGCACCGATTCCCAAGATAATCTCTACGGACAATGTGCACTACAACTACCCGACCGGTTACTCCTCCATGTACTCCCATCCGCCGCCCTACGGCACAGCAGCACCCGCGCTGCCCGGGGCTCTGCCCCCGGCCGCGTCCACTTACCCGCCTTCGCTGTATCCGCAGTCGTCAACGGCGCCTCAGCACTACTCCTCAATCCCGCCACTGGTGCATCCCTCGGCGCACGCCTCCAATTACTACCAGGGAGCGCACGGCCGGCAGTCCTACTACCCGCCACCCACGTAGCACATCAATAAAGGGCCTTCTGGAAAAGCACTTTCGCTTATTTCATTTTATCGCTCGCTCTGTATATTTTTAAGGCACACGGAAAACAGCTGCCCGGAGTCTATCCACGGATATCACAAATACCAATAAATCTCCAAGCCACGTGCTAAATTCGGTAGATGCCACGGAGGCTCCTTTGGAAGATCATATGAGTCGTGTCCGCTTCAGGTAGTGAATGAGGACGGCGTAGATGAATTTATATTGTGTGAGTGAAGGCACAATGTTGTCCCTCTGATGTCGCATCTGTCCAACAACGCGAGGAATATCGAGGTCCTGCAGAGGCAAACAGTTAATGATATTGCATCTCTCGAGGAAGCTTAAACGCTTACTTGATTGTGATCAAGAGTGAAGAGGAGCAAATCTGCGGCTAAAGTCACACCTGAACGTCCTCCGCCTTCTGAACAGTGAATCAGCACTGGTGGATTTGTATTGTGACCAGGAGGAATCTCATTTACGGATGCCATCCGAACTGAGTTCAGTTCTTCCAGGAAATCTGTAAAACATCCCAAAAATTTGTAAGTAAGAGTTTTCTTGACCTCTCACTTAATTTGTTAGTTTATTGTCAAGAAAAATGCCAGACAGACGATCATAAAGATAAGCGAGACGGTTTATGAACTCCAATATCTCTTGAAATAACAATAATTGGCCTGTTATTGACTCAATGGCCAACAAATTTGCAATGTAAATAACTCCGGTCTTACCTAAAAAGTGTCCCACCGACTTGGGCGTATTGAGTTCATTCCAATCTGAGTAGTAAATGTGCCACACGGAGCGATATCTCTTGTTCTGCGTGTGATATATTCTCAATTTGCTGGTGATACACCGATCAGTCTCTTGTGAGAATTCTCGCCACACTTGGTACTGCAAAACAACAAGACTCTCTCTCTCATCAACTCTGATCACCCACAAATGGCAATAACGCGACTCTCACCTGTCCATATTCGAGGCATTTTTCCGAACACGACGGCACGTATTGAATTTCTGCTGAAAGCTGAACCAGCAGATAGACATCGGCCTCCCACACGCACTTCCAAAAGATGTTCGCCGTGGTGTTGTCGAAGGGGCTCTGCGCCACAATGTAGAAGCGCTGTTTCGAGCCCACGGTGGCCTTGAAAGAGATCGTCATACAATTATTATATTTGTGAAATTCACACGCTTCGGATGCTTCAATCTCCCTTTCCAACTCACCGTAACGTGAGACGCGTTCACGTAACCCATTCGATTGTTCATTGATGGCACCAGACGAACCCTATTGTCGTCATGAGGCAAAAAATTGGGATCCAAATTCTTCATCTTGTTCTCATCATGCAGCGCACAATCATACTTGGCATTGTCCTTCCGCTTTGGGATACGCTCAAACTCAATGAACAACTCCTCGTCATTCAGTTTATCCTCAAGAATTTGGCACTATAACAGCAAAAAGACGTTAAACAATGATGAGAAAATGAAGATCGAGCCAATCCCGTCTTCCCACTCACCAACTTCTCTTTGCTGATGTTCGCCGACAGCGGCTGAAGACGTGGCAATCCCGTAGACCAACGATGCTTTATGTTGTCCTCCTCATCTTTCGACAGAGTGTTCTTGCTCTTGCTCTTCTCTCTGCCCAGTGTGGCGCTCTTCTGTTTGTCCAGGGAGTTCTTGCTGCGACTGAGAATGCCCCATCGCTTCTTGCGCTTCTCCTTACTCCCAGCACTGATGCCCGAATCCGTCGTGGCCACCGTGTAGTTTGAACTTTGTGACGAATCCAGAAGATTTGTAGAGTGTGATCGATTGAGTGACGCCTTGGGAGATGATTCAACACTCTCCCTCTTGTTGCTCTCCTGCACGTGATCCTGATGAGGATTGCTGGTGTAAACCGAGGCACTCGAGATGGGGTTTGACGTTGTTTTGCTGAGCATCTTGTGAGATTCAACCACATTATTGAGTATTGCGTCAATTGGGGGCGGATTGTCCACTGGCTTCACACCAGATGTCACACTGGACGCTCTCTCGCGCTGTGGAGTCACTTCTTTGTGCCACGGCAGCGGCACATTCTCATAGATTGGCTCCACGGATCCACCGCCGTTCATCTGATGCGCCAGTGTCGGTGGATTGTGCAGGATCTGCTTCGTGCCGTTCTGCTGCTTCAGCAACTGCTCCATTTCGTGTTGCTGCAGACAGTAGAAGATATTGTTGGACTGAATTGTAGGCGGAGGCGGAGGTTTGGCCGCCCCATTGGCCTCCAGATAATTCAGATTCTCATAAGTGCCGTGTGGTAAGTAACTTTGTGAGTGTCTCAATCGAACTGTTCCCCCACCAGTCATGTGATAGTATCCAGGATTGATTACAGCCGCATTGGACTTTAGGTACGTGGCCTGGTTATAAGGATTGCTTAGGAATGTCCTCGATGACACAAGATCAGGACTTGATCCTGATACATAAGCCCCTCGATAGCCCATTAGGGCGCGATGCGATGCCACAGCGAGATCGGGTGTGGAGGTGGAGCTCAGTCTATTGGCCGGATATGGCGGTGGTGGCTTGTTCAACTTCATCATGCGGAATCGCTGAGTCATGCTGTCCATCCCATAGACGCCACTCGAGTCCACCATGTGTGCTCCTCCGCCATACATCGGATTTGTGGTTTGTGTTACATCAGGATAGTGTTGCTGCAGTTGAGCACCAAAGATCATGTCCGCTGTAAGGGCGGCTCGATGAACATCAGGCTGACTGCCACTGTACAGTGGTCCAGCACCACTCACATGCCCGTCAGCTAGAAGTCCCGAAGGCACTTGAATAACACTGCTGTTGAGACGCACCTGGAAGGGAAATGAGCACTGCTTTACAAGTTCTTGTGAATTTATCAGGCTGACATCTTACCTCACTGGAACTGGGACGATACTTCTGTTGAATAGCTGTCTCGTAGTCCGGCGCTTGGCGATATGTGGGCAGGAGTTGCCTATAGGCCGCCAGTTTGTCATCCTGCCGCTCCGGCGGAGCCCCGCTGAGTCCGTTGGTGTTGTTGTTAGTGAGATCGAGGCACGATGAGCTGTGCGCGCGATTGCTGAGTGAGGCATTAGAGCCGGCGAATGGTGCCAAGCCCCAGTTGCTGTTCTGTGTCGATGGCATCTGCGTGGATGTGGCCCAGCTGGAGTCAATTGTCTGCTGAGACGTTGTCAGTGGCACATTGTTCACAACAAAATCCGACGACTGCCACTTGCTGCCGCCACTCAGTTGCTGATCCGAGGCACGCCAGTTATTGGTCGCCTGCTCAATTAGCAAATTCTCCCTACTGTCCATCACACTCTCCGCCCTGGACGACTGAAAGAGACTCACACTGCTCGCGGTTGGGACACTTTGCCCACTCGACACCATATTCTTCTCATTAGACGCATAGAAGAGATGCTGAAGGACGCAAAGGCGCCAAAAATATCGTCCCATTTCACCGTCTGGCATCGTGAAGCCTACACTGTTCTCCGGCACTGTGCACTCAATGTTGAAATTTCTCTTGAGATTCACCACATTCGTGATGTCTCGCCACCGATAAACCTTTGTTTGATTGGCAGCACACACCGTTATTCCCCAGACAGATAACACGAGGAACACCTCACTCCCGGCATCGTCCTTGGCGGGAAACCTCTCCTGTCCATATCCCTCCAGCTGCTGGCACGTGAGGATGTAGAGCTCCTCAGCGCCCGACTGTGTGAGATTGTTGAGTTCTGAGTTCTGCTGCAGCACCTCTTCGGTGAGCTTCTCAGATAATCCCTCCTCAATCAGGCGCTTCGGGAATGGCAACATGGTCTTCAGATAGTCAATGGTGTGCTTATCCTTCTGGTGGATGTCCGATTCAGCCTGACGCGCGTAGATGGCCAGAATAACCGCTTGTTGAGGATCACACAGGATCCGTCCCTCCACCACGTCACTCTTCACTTGCAGAAAGTAGTAGTATCGCGTCACCTCGTCCCGGATCATCGACACTCCGCACTCCACGTAGTACATGACTCGCAGAGAAAGTCTCTGTGACGCCGCATACTTCTCCAGTTGACGATTCAGCGGTCGCTCCATGTCTATCCACCGCGATTCCGTTGTATTTTCCTTCATGATGTACCTCAGCCCGAAGAATTCGGGCTGATTTATCGATAATCGTTGGCACACATTCGCCAAGCACTCCTTTCCCGTGCTCTCCGAGTCCAACGTGCAGTCCACCAAGCTCGAGGAGTCTGTAAAGGACAAGCAGCGTCAGCCGGTCATTCACACTCGAAATTCAATTCCACCGCATATAAATTTCTCTGATTCAACGCTTCGGGCATGGCATGAGGGCACATGAAAAGCCAAACGCTCTCTTGTCGCACGACCAGGGAATATTGATGGGAAGTTTTCTGAGACAATTCCCTCCGCAACTTATTACAAGTCTTTCAATCGTGAACTCAAATTCCATTTTCAACCATTTAGAAAAACAGTGAAACAATTGTATAGCAATTTTTAAGTTTGGGGGACAGAGAAAAGAAATAAAAGTGATGAAAAAAAGAGCGTGTGATGTGTGTCATCAATTTAATATTGTTTACAGAGAATAATTTGCACTTTATGACAAATGATATGGATTTAATGTCTTATCGAGTGCCTCTATTCTCTCCTCTGTTTATTGTTCGAACTAAGAATTTGCTCTGGATCTCAAATTTCGTATTGAACAGCAAGAAAACACTCACACATTCACCCTAATTTGCCAAAAGGCAAAAAGAAGTACACTTTTCCCACCTCCAGCGCCGTTCCTACGAATCACACAATTCTCAATGTGTGATAGCATTGATAAGATGATAAGACGAGAGGCAAAATATCTGGAATTCTTGAGCTATTGCACACACTTCGTGCTATTTATCTTCACCCACTGATAAACTCTCCTGCTCAAATTGTTCCGAGACCCAAATCACATTTCCACCGTTTCACATAGCGCTGTTGATAGAGTTGAAAGTGATTATGGAGATTTGATGTAAGATTAGATGGAAAAGGTTTCGTACGTGGAAGAATGTTGAGCAAAAATATTTATCTCTTTGCGAAAGTCAACTTGTATTATTGCACTGTATACTTTTGGATATTTTCTTGCTTGCAGAAATTCACCTTCTCACTCTCGTATTGTTGCCCAAAACATGAATTTTTTCGGCTGTGCTTTGAAACGAGGTCTTTATGGAAATAATGTGAAATTATGAGTTAAAATTTTTTGTGGATTCTAAAAGTGCATGAGGTACAAATATCCAATTAAAACTCCGCCCAGTTGAATGTCCCGCCCATTGGCAAATACGGCAGGAATAGTAGGAAATGTATTGTGACTATTCAGATCTGTCGCATTGCGAATCAACAACAGTGTGTAGAAATAATAATCGCTGATGCGATTGAGGTGAGTTGTGTAAATGGGGGAATTATGAATCGGCCGGAATGTCTCGAATTCCCATGTGTGCACCAAACTAAAGCCACTATAGTTGATGACGCAGCGGCGGAAAGAATTTTTCACTACGCTATTGCTTCAATACCTCAATAAATAAGCGATATTATTAAAAAGTGAAAAAATATTTGCAGCATGAAATCATTCATTGAGACACAGAGTCAAGCACGCAGAACGAAAAATGTGCAGGCCGCCGCTTTATTGCTCTTCTGGCTCTGATCCTCTGCGCCGTGATCACAGCTATTGTCTCTGCGACGAGTATTTCCCATAGATCAAGTTCTTGATGGACATAAGCTCTTCGGATTTCCATATAAATTGAGCATCAATTCAAAACACCTTTCCACGAAGATTTTAGCTGTCTCAGCTCTCAGAGGGCATCCACGAGCCACAGATTTTACAGTGGTTTCGTGAAGAATCACAGAAACTTAGCGACGATCGGCGTTTACAGTGGACTTTTTCTCTCAGTTGGCTATGACGTGAATACAAAGTCGCCTTCGCTTTTTATCTCACTCAACAAATTCATTGTGGAGTTTGTTTTTTCTGTTCGCGGGCCCCAATTTTGATTGGAAGCACCTCACAGTCCCCACTCCACTTCCCAGACGCCGAACTGTGTGTCCGGAAGTGGCGATATGCCCCATCCAAACACTCCGCAACTCACCTAACAAGTGTTCCACAGAAATAACAAATAGATTCTTTGATGTGACGTTGTACTGGCGAGAGCGCTTCTTCAGCTTCAGCTTGAATGGCATCTTTGGGCCTCCACGCACTTTCTCGCACACTGTATACCGCTCAGGTTTTTCCTTATGATTAGAGAGAGTGAATTTTATCACTCGAGTGGGCACTTTTTTCCGCGTCAAAGAAATTCCTCTGACAGAGAACACAAATATAAAACAACCACTTTTATGCACGCATCAAAAGACTAATATCCCGCGCATAGTCCAATGAACACAATCAAATTACGTTTGCATTTTCCCTAAACTACACTTTGTGCACTAATTTTGAACAATTTTCCGAGGATATTCTCGGGTTTGTGCAAATTTCTCGAATTACTCAGCTGCACTGCTGAAAGTTTTTCCTCGCACTGACATTGTGACAGCAGCGCCAGGAATTCCTCGCGTGGCAGAGATCATGACTATGGGATTTTCTATGAGTCATTTGAATAGTAACGATCGGTATGTTCTCTTATCATTTATTGTTATTTATTACGAAATTACACATAATCCACATTAACCACATAAAGGAGACAGCAAAGAGTGAGATTTCTGTGTGTGTGCAGAATGACAATCAAATAAAGATTGGAATTCAGTAGCGTAAACAAGAAAAGCAAACAAGAAGATTTATGAACTTTACCAAATCCGTAAGACTCTTGTGTGATCCCCAACAATTTCTTATCATTGTTTACACAGAAAACATGCAAATAGGGCAATATATTAGTGAATTTTTGAGCGATATCAGGGAGAGTAAAAGCATTTCAGTGTGGAACAAATCATCGCATATTCCGTGGCGCCACTATCGCAGAGGAGATATGCAATAAAAGTGTCAGCGCGACCCAAACAATTTTGATGGTTCCAGAAAAATACCTGAGTTTTTCACCCCCGAAATAAACAATGTGGGCTCTTTTAGTGATAAAATTACTAGCCTTTTTTCTCCTTTGTGACGGAAAAAATGCGCACAATGGTAATACTATTCGCTTAGGCATCTACGGGAGATATTACAGTATGATTTGTTTGCTTAGTGAACTACCTGGAACCCGGAAGCGCGCTTGAGGTTTCTTCGGCACCCAATAGTCTGGGATTTACGTCTCCCCGGATGAATATATTCTGCTACAGAGGACGACCCAAGTATGCTCCTCATCTTTTCCACACAGTGAATTTCCTTCTAGATATTACGACAGAGGATTTCGTTCAGTATGTTGGATCGACGCCGGAAGAAGTTCAGAGTCATCGAGAGAGTCAAAAGTCTATCTTCTCCTTCAACTTTGGCTTCTCTAGGAAGCGCAATCTCGAGCTTCATCCCTTCAATCAAACGTGTGTGGGCGTGGAGTCGTCGGAATCGTACAAAGTCCATCTGCATCTCATTCGATTTGATCTCTACAAAGTCTCTTTGCTGTGCTTGGGAGCGTTCCTGCTGTTCTCAGCCTCTCGACTGAGTGAGAATTCTCTATTTTACTACCTCTGTGGCGTCTCACTGGGCATCTGCGCGTCCTTTCTGCTTCTGGTGTACTTTGTCAGCAAACTCCTGCCCAGGAAGCCGCTAATGTACGGAATGATGATCGGCGGATGGGGTCTGGGCCTCTATTTCGGACAACTTCTCTGGGATAACATTCAGGTGAGAGAGCTTGGGCTGAAACTGGTGGATAACTGATGGTTAATACTGTGTTACTATTGCAGATGATACTCGTTTCTTACCAAACATACGCCTTGTGGTACGTGATGATTATGGGCTTCCTGAGCTTCGTCATCTGCTATCGCTACGGTCCGCCGAAGGATCAGAGGAGCAAGGACCTCATCAAGTGGGGCCTCCAGATGCTCGCCATATGCATCGTGTACCAATGCAGTCACTACACGGAGCTGGTGCTGGCCATCAACATGCTCCTTGTTCTCATCTACTATTTCCCCAAGAGTTGGATGGATCGGAGTCGCTCATACTACCAGCGCAAGTTCCCGAAGAAGCGCCGTCTGCTCACGACTGAGGAGTACAATGAGGAGGGCGTCCGTGAGACCACGCGGGCCCTTGAGGAGCTTCGTCGATACTGCAGCAGTCCCGAGTGCAAGCAGTGGAACACGATGCTACGCCTGAGGGATCCATCGCGTTTCGCGTCCTTCATGGAGGGCTCCTCGCATATCCTGGACAGTGAAACACTCGAATACGACACAACTCAGGCAGACATTTCAGAGGACGAGAATTCTGATAATGATAACAATGAGATCAGCGAAGATGACTCAGAGGGTGAGGAGATTCCCAATGTGCCGAATGGAACGAACCGATGGAACAGGTCTCGAGGAATTAATTCCAGTGCAGTAAGTAATAATGGAAGCTTCCGAACGAGAGGAGCCAATAGGCATTTTCATGATAATTGATCATGTGAAAATGCACGGAAATGAGAGATTAAAGAGTGTTAAACTTTACATGAATAATAATGTTTGTAATAAATTGAACAGTGAAATAAATTATTAAAGCGAACAATAATATTTTGCAAAAAAAATAATCACGTGCCTTCGGCCGTTGCATTCCACAGTATTTGAAAGGCCTTCGAAGAAGTTCCAAAGGGGATGGAGAATTCTCCGGAGGGCGCCACCCTCTCGAAGAGAAGCCATTTTTGCAAAAAGCACCAAAGGAAAGCACACATTCTCATCCCCTGTTCATTGTGTGAGAAACTGCACAAAGAAAAAGCGTACCTCGGAGAGCACTGCAGCTGCAATTTGTGTACAAACTTCCCGTCTACTGCCTGAGTAGTACAAAATTATGAAACGAGTGTTGCAGAAGGTGAAAAATGTGGAAAAGCGAGAAAAGCTCAAGGAGCAGATATTATGTATGGGACCAGACAAGAAATTGCCTACAAGGTGAGAAATTTGACGACAATAAATACTGCAGCCTTTGTTTTCATGGCCTTATGAATAATCTTTGTTGCTTTACTGTATTTTCAGATTGGGTTTAAGCCACCCAAGTGATGAGGTTCAGCGCCAAAGTCCCGAGAGTAAGAGTTCACCATCGACGAGCTCGGGATTGCTGCAGAATCCGGGACCGTCAAAGCAGAAGGATGACAGTGATCCTCAGGAGACATTTGAAGATGCCGTGGAGTGCATAAAATCTTTATCCGACTCCACCAGTTCTGACGACACTGACAAGCTGACGAAGGACTTTGAAGTGTTGCAGCTTTCATCTCAGGACGAAAGTGAGAAGTCCTCTCAATCGTGGCAGAAGTGCGAAGCGGACGAGTTGCAAGAGTCCACTTGTTCTAAGGAGCCTGAGCCTAAGGCGGGCCCATCGAGAATCGTAGAACAATTGCAGGTGGAGAGCAAGCCTACTAAGACATCGCTGTTGGCTCAACAGGAAGCGATGTTGACGCTCAAGAAGCTCCTGAGCAACTTGAAGAAACAGTATGTTTTTCCAGACAATGAGGAAGCTTGTGTCTCCAACAGCGAAGCGTCTTATTCGCCGTCTTTGGATCCTGATGAAGAATACAAGCACATGGGAAATCTGCAGGGCAGCGACGTCATTGATATGATAAACAATATGATGGGAACTAAAGTCGTGTACAAGAAACCTCTCAGTGAAGTTAAGAAGAGGATCTATCGAGCCTTCTCCGTGGCTATCTATATCAAGACTCTGAGCGATGAAAAGCACAGTTCTGAAGTTATCGAGTGGCTCATGCCACTCCTGGATGACAACACGAGGACATTGTGGCATAGGGAGTTGTGTAACAACGAGAATTTGGACATTAATGATGTCATCAAGTTCCTCTTCTGGCGTTGTCAAATCGCGGACAATCACAAATACCTACACAAGGGCGAGCGCAGGTCCGAGTGCTACGTTTGCAAGATGGACCATCGCATGGTGAAATGTGACGTTTTCCGGGACAGCACCGTGGACACTCGCTGGCAGATGACGAAGGAGAACCGACTGTGCGAGAATTGTCTCAGAGGGCGCCATCCCGTCTGGAATTGCCTCAGCAACTTCAGCTGCAGAGTCTGCGACGATCGACACAACACGTTCCTGCACAGCCGTGCTGTCCAGAAAAAGCAGAAGGGCAGACGACAGCCGCCCAACTGGCTGATGCCAGATCCCATAGGGATGATTCCGCCGCAAGTTCTGCGGAACAACCCAAACATGAAGACATACTTCAATCCCTGGTATCCAGTACCGAATCCTTTTTCCTACGAGCCAACATATTCGTCCAGATTTAGCCACTTGGACCTCCTGTTGGCCGACCTATTCCCGGGCGTCCGTCCTTTACCCTTCTAAGAAATCATTGTGTTCAACGGGCTCAACGGCAAGTAACTAAAGTACGAATTTTTCTATAAAAGATGGATCTACATATTTATACATGGTCTATTTGGTGTATATTGTGTGAACTCGGCGACGTCAGTCTTGTATTGTTCCTAATATCAGAATATTATCTGTTCAACTCTGTCGTGCGTGTTGTTTGTGGAGTTTGTGGAATAAAAAAGAAATGGATCTAATAAAAATTACCACCAAAATCACCGCAGCATTCAATCAAAATCCTTCTCGTCCGCTCAGAATTCGCAATCGGCCAATGAGGCAAGTCCCTGAAATCGAGTGGGGCTCGCAGTTGTGCTAATTGAAATGCACAGCAGCTGAATTTATTGGTCAAATGAAAGATTTCGGGGTTGGATTTGAATTCGCGCAACTCTTTCGTATACATCAAGAGGCGGACCCTTGCGAATTCTCAAATCCCTTCCCTCCTTGCGAACAATAATTTGCAATGGCGAAGTAAAGCTCCTGATTGCACTTTTCGCAGAAAACACTTTCAAATCAGAGAGTTAAAATCATTTTTGAGCAAAAATTTATCTCAATCACCAGATAAAGAACCAGATTGCACAATAAATTTTTGGAAATAGTCAAATTCAGCTTATTTGATAATGTTTTTTATTCAAAAGGGACAATTTTGTAAAAAAAAATATATATATATATTTTACGAAATCTTTCAGGCTAAGCCGAGCTGGTAAATGTTTTGTAAACTTTATTAATAAGCTCAAGAATAAGTTAATTTCCTGTTGAACAGCGTTTATTCAGGACAAATACTTCAAGTCTTTTGGCTTTAGCGCTTCAATAAACACTCACCTTTGGCATTGACTGGTGGATAATATGATGGCAACTCACCGAAAATCTCCTGAGATGGCGAGCAAGACAAATCGGTGAGAGATCAAAGACAGGTCCAAATGAGTGTGATGCGATATAAATAACCGACAGGCGAGAGACGCTGCATGCAAATACGACAAACAAGGTGTGAAGGATTCTAGCAACTCACACGTGTAATTCGAAGCGATCTTGAACCTCTCAATCAACTTTGGAGCAAAACTACTTCAGTTATAAATATCCACTCTTGTCATGAGGAGCCTATTTTCGCCACTTCCGCGCTGCTCATCTGCGTTTTGGGGGTCGGGCGTGTGAGAACGAAGGCGCGCGGCTCTTGGATGTGTTAATGTATTTCTGTATATTTCTTCATGAGGTAACAATTGACAAAAAATGATTATAGATGCACTTATTTTATACCATTCTCTCGTTCATCGCTTCTTTGTCCAATTTAAATTATTCTCTCAAATACACAAAAAAATAAGTACAAATTACTCTACTTCGGTACTTCACTTGTATATCAAATGAGATTAAAATTAATACAGTTTCTAACATTGGTGCAAATGGAAGATTTAGCCATCTTACAGGATAGTTCATATAATATTTTGTCAGCGAAGAAAAGCTAAATAATGGTGCTCTGAGTCCCATACAAAGGGGCTAAAATTCGAGTTTAAAGCAATTTTCCAGTGGTTTTCACATAATGCCTCGAGTACATTGATTTCCTCTCTCTCTCTCTCTCTCTCTTTCTGCACAACAGCAAAGGAAAAAAGGGAAGAGCACAAAAATTCGCGCTACAGTTTGTCCTGTACCGCGCATCCGGTGAAATGCTGAATTTGTAAGAAGGACACGCGGAACAGGACACACTGTCTCACCTTGAGGGAATTGAATTCTCAATAGACTCTACAATTGATATACTTCTACGTGAGTGTATTCCTCCTGTTGAGCATCATTCCGTCCTGCGGTCGGAATTTTCATCTTTTATGTACAGAACACTGAAAAAGGTTCTCCTTAGCGGAGTGTCACATTTTCAAAATTCAATATTTACCATATAAAATATCTCTTTTTCAGTATATATTTTCATATCCCGCCACACAGAATGTCGACATTTTGAGATTTATAACAAGTATTCAGAGCTTTTTGTTGCTTGAGTAAGAAAATACTCTTGTGTGTCGTATTTCAACTTGCTTTCCACTCAATTCTTCTCCCCTTTTCATCAGCCCGTCACGCTTTCAATTTATCCCTCCGCATTCCATAATAGGAAGGGGGAGAAATTGCACGCCCCTATCTTTCTAGGGTGTAAAAAACAAAGTAAAAAGAGGTGTAAAAAATAGCACCAGATTAAAAGAAGTTAGCACTAAATTGAAGATTAAAAAAAACACTACCTTTCGCCAATTCTACTCCTAATGCCATCGCTTGGTTTCCCTTTCATTTCTCACTCGCTATGCAAAAACCAGCAAATGTTTATAAATATTCCTCCATTACATGCTACTTAAGTCGCTTTTAAAGCGAACAGAGAATATAATATAAACAGAACCGCACTATTACTCTCAATTTATTAATTTAGCCATATTAACAATTCTGCTTGCTTCTTATACTGGTATTACCACTCTAATAATAGATTCTCTCATGCTACCGATATAATTTTCACTCCTGCTGAGCTACAATTAGACGCATTTACTCGCTTATCAGTCAGAACTAATCGAAAAAATAAAGATACACTTCAGAGGAACTCCTCGCAAGAATAAAAAAGGGTGTATAATTTGTAAATGTAAAGAAAAAAAATAGCAATACACGATTCTACAAACTCTTTCTCTTTCATAAATACTTGTCACGTTTCATTACTTTGTTTAGACACTAGAATAAGTTATAAATTTCATTAGTCATTTTTTTTACGAGATTGTGATTTTCAATTTCAGGATCGGGACTCAAAAGGAGTCCAACTCACCATATATTGCGCGATGTGACATTCAAACCTGCGGTCCAAACTTACTTGTAATCTTGTGTGATGCACTCACAATGGCCATTTCGTGCTTGGCATCCAGCTCACAGTCGTACAGCCCACTGAGTGAGTCCAGACTCAAGAGTCGAGAGCTGGCGCGACTGGAGATGGATGTGTCATCCACATCAGGAGCGTTGTACAGTGAGTTCACGTCCGACAGAGCGCCCTCGGCGTCCGTGAGTCCAGCCTCGTTGAGCAGGGACACGTTCTCCAATCCCGGCTCATCTGTGATGTATCCAGCACTCTCTGCTCCACCTGAAAACCACTAAATTCACTCAAAAGGCCCACAATTGCAGATGAAGCACAAACCTGTAGCTTCCTCTCGACACTCCTCGTCGCTCCACTCAGATTGACTCTCCATTTCACAGTGATTAGAGTCCATTGACTGATGATTCGCTGCACCATAGTTCTCGTCGTCGTGATAGATCATCTCCCCATCATCGTCCAGATTCTCCTCTGACCCATTCATCTTTTCCTTCTCGGCCGCACTCATCGCAGCTTTGCTTTGGCGAGGGTTGTCGTGCAAAATCTCACACGATTCCGTGTCGGATGTTTGCCTGCCAAAAGAGAGAGGAAGAAAGAGAAACAGAATCAGTCGGAATTCAATTTATAGCACAAAAATATTGGCACTCACATTTGGCTCGATTCCGACGGATTCTTGTTCCGGGTAATCTCCTTGATGGCCTCCAGTCCGACTGGATGCTTGCTGAACAATAAGCTGTGATTAGACTTGGGATCGACTCCCTCGAGTTCGTACTTGGACTTGTCGGATTGCTGGTGATTTTGGCGACTGCTCGAGTAATTTATGGGCATCACGTTTCGCCCATTGTTCAAATTGTTCGCCTTCGCCGACGACTCCTGCAGCAGCCGCTGAATCTCACGCTCGAAGGGGCTCTTGTTCTTCCCCCATGTGTCCACGTGATACTCAAACGAGTTGCACGACTCCCCCTTGTTGTGCGCCGTGGACGCCGCCTGACTCTCCGTGGTGGAGCTCACCTCGAAGTCCTTGAGCTGGCTCAAGTCGATGGGACTGAGTTTGGGGCTGCTCGTGGGATCAGCCTGAATATCACAGGGATAGAGCCACTGCAGAGGGTTCAGGGCCTTGGCGAATTGCGCCTGGTGCGGTGAGTTCTCCTCCTCTCCCTCATTCTCCGTCGTCTTGGAGTAGCTCTCATCCGAGGACGATACACTCGGCGAGTGCGGCCTCGAACTCAAGTCATCCGTGGACGACATCTCACGGTTGTCCTCCGTTTCGGGCGGTGACTTGGGCAGGGGTTTCATGTAGCCCAGCGAAGCCACGTGAGGCTGCGGCGGCGGCATCTGCTGGATGTGATGGTGGTGATTGATGAGATTTGCCGGACTAGCGTACCGCGGTGGCTCATACTTTGGCGTGCTGTGCACCTGATGCTGCCTCGGAACCACTTTCGCCACCGGCGCCTGTTGCAGCAACAAATCACTCTCACGCGACGAAGAGTAGTTCATGTTGTTGAGGTGATTCTTCACATTCAGATGATCCTTCCTCATGCCATTCTGATACTGTCCCACCTGATGATACCCGTGGTGATGATTGTTGAAGTTCTCCTTGCCAATCTGATTGTTGAATCCATCGCGAATGGTGAAGTTCTCCCGGGCGCAATTTGTATACTCGTAATTGTTAATGTTCGGATTCTCTGTGATGTTGAAATTGTGATGATATGGCTGTTCGCGTGGCTTCTCATAGTTGTGCATATTGAAATTCTGCTTGTACTCCGAATGCTGTAGCAAATTTGGACTCTCTACAAAATTATACGCCTCCTTCTTCACATAATTCTCACTTATCACATTCGGATGGTAGTTCTTCTCCACATTCAAGTCCGACCGCTTCTGATAGTATTCGTGGTGATTCCCTGCATTCGAGTGACTCCCTTGACTCATTCCGTTCACCTGCTGCTGATGCACATTCGATCGGGCGCCGGGCATTGTGCTCCGGAACTCCCGCTCACCATTCAGCATATTCGTGTGAGATTGCTCGCACAGGAAGTACGTGATCATGTCACCCTTCCCCTTTACCTTGATCTGTCCACGGCACTTAAACTCAAAATGTGATCCCTGTAGACTGTCGACAACCTCCTGTGTCACCTGTGTAAACCCTGGTATGCCCGTCGAGTCCATCCGACTCGACACATTCACCGTGTTGCCCCAAATGTCGTACTGCGGCTTCCTGGCGCCAATCACACCCGCCACCACAGGTCCCACATTCACTCCCACGCGCAGCATGAAGTTGTTATAGGAGTTCTCATTGATATTCTGGAGTGTCACTCGCATCGCCTTGACGAACTCCAGCAGAGCAGTCATGTGACGCCTCGTGGAATTGGGATCCGTGGAGACCATCTTGTAGTCGGGAATCAAGCCAACAGCTGCCATGTAAGTGCTGCCCACCGTCTTGATCTTGTCGATGGCATGGAAGCGTTCCTGGCACAGCAACTCATCGAAGTCCGCTATGATCTCATTCAGCAACCGCAAGCACTCCACACCCTGATTCGAACCATCCAGCTCAGTGTAGAACTCATGGAAATTGGGCACGCTGCAGAATATCACGCCAACCTTGGCGTAGCTCTGGTGGTACAGCTCTTGACCCATGGTGGACATGTTGTTCCTGAACTGATTGTCCAGGAAGTGAGACGCCACATGAGCCGGCAGCAAGTTGTAGAGGATTCTCTTGTTGGACTGCTGCAGCACTGCCATCTCCTTTTTCTCCTGCGACGCCTGCAGCTGCCAGATAAAGTCCAGCCTGGCCGTCCACTCCACCTGCCTGCCGTGAGCCAGTATCGTCACCATGAAGATGACTATTCGCGCCAGTGAAATAGTGTGTAGCGGAATGCCAGTCAACAAGCGATCATCGTAGCATTCGAAAACGTGCGGATGCGAGACTTCGATGAACAGAGCGTAGACAATTGTCATGAGAATCACCACGGTGCTCTTTATCAGGATGGGCAATCGCAGAAAGACAGACACAGAGAGGAAAGCAAATGCCGCCGACAGCGAAATGTACTGCGGCAGCACACACTTCCTGTGACTGTGGATGACTTTGTCCAGCTCCATTGATCCACCATCCGACATGAAAGCGTGATGTGGTCGTGCCGTTGTCACGTTCGGCTGGCACGGCGTTTCATCGACGCAGGTGAACTGAAAGAGAGAGAGATGATAGATTGCCATCTTGTACATAATTCACAGCATCATTACATTACAGTCCATTCATCATGCATCTTCTGAATTTATCTCCTCTTCCTCACTACATCGCATTATGTGTTCTCGCACACACTTTTCGCTCCCCTGAGACATTACTCAACAACCAGAAATGTTTTCATCATACAAATTTACCACTTTCTAAGGTCGATGAGTGGAGTGCACAGCTCCAAACTCCCCAGACAACATTGCAAGTGTGTGACACACAAATTCAGGAATAATGAAACGGATATGTGGAATAAATAAACATCACTCTAGTTGATGAATTGAATCATCTGAAAATCAGCACAAATCGCCAATCAAATTACCAATTTCATGTTGACAGAAACTTATTGATTTATCAGAAAGCAATTCAACTTCCCAATCTCAAACAGAGTTAATTAATTAGATTCTGAACGAGTAATTTTGATGAAAACTTTCTCCAGTGCGTCTTTTGGTGGTTTGTTAAAGTTTCTTGAGAGGAATTTTAAACACTTTCCCTCACCCTTGAATGTCTTCATTCGCATAGGCCAGAATTGCGTTGATGGCTTATTAAATCTTACTCAAACAAGATGAATAAAGTAAAGTGGTTTCATTTTCCTCGAAATGCCGAGAATTGCGGGAATCCTGTTGGCATATTGAGACAGTGAAACAACTCAATATTTAATAGTCTGCCAAGAGAAGGGCCAATGAAGTTACGGGCTTTGAGGTAACTTGAGATGCTCTCTTACCACATTGACTTGACCCACGGAGTACAGGAGGATGATGGTGAAGACGGTGATTGCCAATCGAAGAGCGAAACTCTGTGACAAATCCCAGTAAATCCACTTCAGTCTGACGGCCAGCAGGAGCATGAGAATGGCACTAATCCAGATGAAGGCGGTGAGAAAGAGCAGCAGCAGGATGAGAGTTCGTGGAAGGGCTGACACCTGTATTGGAGGATAAATGGCAAGGAATTTCTCTCACATCACAACCGCAACGCTATATATAGTGCAGACTTACCTGAAGTGCTGCGCTGAGAATCAATAGCAAAATACTACAGCCCATCGCTGTGGTGAACCCCAAGTCGAGATCCTGCCGATATTGGCGCTCTTTGTCCTTGTCGCGAAATTGCAAGGTGATTCGTTTCACATGAACCGACTTGTCTCGATCCACGCTGCGTGCCTCAATGGCCTGTGATAAATATTTGTTTACACGATTTGTTGGCTGGTGATAAACACTTGAGTGGCGCTTTTTAAAGGGCCGTTTAAACTTCTCGGTAACTTTATTCTGTAACGGGATTCCACGGGAAAAGAAAAGAAAAAAAAGACACAAATAATTAGACAAAACACTGACACACACACACAACTGAAAAAAAACTTGTGAGAAGAAGCATAAAAAGGTAAATGATACGCGATGTGAAAAAAGTGCACATGCCCAAAAGAAAGAGAATGGCAAAGAAAAAAAGCAATTGAAGACATTTTCACTTAAATAAATATGTAATTCAACACTGCCCGGCGAATGCAGGTGATTCTTCATCCCACTGTGACCCTTTTTTGCACACTGCGCGAAGAGTTCTCATAGTGTGGAGATCTACTTTGGCTCATTTACCCTCTTCATTGCTGCGCCGTGTATCAGCAACACAGCCATCGGTGGAATGATAGAGAGCAAAATAAAGAAGGTAAATGGCTCATTTATTCTCTCTCTCCATGCGAAAGTCCTTCTCTTGTACTCCAATTTAATTTACAACATTACCCTCTCGCCTTCATTAAGCATTCCTGTGTAATTTCAAGCTGGGATTGCAATCTTGAAGGAGAGCACACTAATAAGGTGTTGCGATACTTAAGACCTTCTAAATTCCACATCCCCGTCATTAATACAATGCTCCCTGTTTTATTTCAATTGCAATTTTGCCCTTTTGTAAATTCTTCGCACAGTCTGTCTCATTCGCAGCGCAAGAAATATAATTTTTATTTATCAAATCAGAATCAAAGACGCATTATTAATCCCATCGTCAGACTATTTTCAGAGCTTCAACATCTTCTTATTTTGGATATTGAAAAACAGTTGGACTCTGAAACCTTTTCCACTCAATTTATCACCACCCTAGTTATTATTTTAGGATACTGCGTGGAGATTGGGAGTGTAACAGGTGCTGGTATTATGATTTGTGGTGCTTTTCTGCTGGAGTCGCACTCGCAATTGAGTTGAGAGGTGAAAATCATGTGCAAAAATGTTTATAGCAAAGGCGGAAAACTGTATAGAAAACAGAGGCTTAAATTGTGCATCACACTCGATAGAGAGGTAGACAAACAACACGCAGGATAAAAGCGGTCCTCATCCTTTTTCAGCATTTTTGTGGTGTGTCAGGTGGAAATAAAAGAAAAGCAAAAACAATTCTCACTTTTTTCAACAAATCATTCAGCTGGTCAGATCCCTCTGAATCCAAGGGCGCATGAAGCGCTCTCTGCAACTGTAACACCTGATTGTAATTTTGAATAGTGAAAGAAAAAGTGAATTCCAAGAAAAACTATGTGTCTTATTGCGGTTTCTGAGTGACCAAAATGAGACACTGAAGAGCGTAAATAAAAATTAGGAGAAAAAAGAGACACAAAAAGCAAAATCACTTTCACCTTACCACAGAAAAGCACAACGATTTTTTCTCAATTACACAATTTCATCTCTTTCTCTTCGTCTCAATTTTGAGGAAAATAATTTTCTAACAACAAAGTCTCTCTTACCGTATCCTAGAAATAAAAAATCAACGATAAAAACACCAGTCATCAAACTAACATACCAATAAAACCATATGATTAAATATATCAAAGAATTCGTTTCAGAAAACTCTCGCGAGATTCCGTGAAAGAATGCAATAGATGTATGTGTGTTGAACTTTTGAGTGAACTGTTAGAGCGTCAGTTGGAATTACCTTTCGTGATCCCTTGTCATTGAAATTTCCCGTGGAATTGGCGCTGGTGGCCGGATAGGCGCCCGTGGCCATGTGTGAGAATGGAACAGGAACTGAATACTTGATGGTGTGAAGCAATTGGACGACAACATTTGATACGTTGCGGAAGGACAACTTTCGTCGATTCGCTGCACCAAGAGCCGATCGGACGCCCAGCGTATTCAGCATCAGCGGCTTCCGACGATGCGGTGGCGGCACAATAAAGTACGTATCGACGGCGTTGTCACGCAAATACGAGTCTCGTGTGCCTCCATGACCCGCTTCCACTTCGTATTCACCACCGAGCGCATCCAGTGTCTCTCTATTTTTGCACAACGTGCGCGCCGGACAATGTGTGGAAAAGACAAATTAATACTGTGATTAGTATTTTTAGAATGCGCCCACTCCATGCACACCAAACACACACGTAAACTCTGTCCCACAATTACAGAAGCACCTGTGAACTCCTATCAGACTCTCTTTCCTCGCTTACATCACAAGTGCAGCCTGCAAGTGATGCGGACAGTGTTGTGCGAATGCAAATAAATGGGATACTTTACCGTGTGACATGAACGCGTCCGGGCTCCCCACCGGATTCCATGTGATTGGCCAGGGTGACATCATTGGACCACACATCGAATTGCCACTTCCGCAAACCCAGAACGCCGCAAAGCACCCGGCCAGAGTGTATTCCAACACGCATGTTGAGAATCACATCTGTCGCCTCCACGACCGACGCAATGGCATCAATCATGTCCAGTCCCATCTCCACGGCGCACCTCGCATGATCCGTCCTTGGCTCGGGCAATCCAGACACGCAGTAGTAGCAATCACCGAGTATCTTAATCCTCAGACAGTGGTTGTCATTGGCCAGCTGATCAAAGCGCCCAAATAGCTCATTCAGCAGCCTCACTAGCTCCTGTGCGCTGCACTGAGACGCCAGCACAGTGAAGCCCACGATATCGGCAAACAGGATGCTCACATTCTCGTGCTTCTGTATGTAGATCTTGTGGAATTGTCCCTCCACCGGCGACAGTATGTCATTCTTCATCTCCATCGCCACGTGCTGTGGCAGCACAGACAGCAACAGGCGCTCCAGCTTTTCATTCTCATCCTCCATCTCGAGGCGGGCAGCAATGCAGTTGCGCGTGTCGAGAAATGCCCTCCTCTGGGCTCTCTCCATCATCACATTCACCACCAGGCCCGTCACATTCACGCCAATAAACATGACAATATTGGCCGCCAGGTGATTGTATTCCATATATTGGAATGTGCCCGTGTAGATTTTATAGCCCGTCAAACCGACATGGATTGTCGGCAGGATAATGCCAAATATCACCGCTTCCCAAATCTGCAGGGGCATCATAGCGTACGCCAAGAAGGTGACAAACACTATTTGCCACACGCCCTCTGCCATTACCTGCCAAGCCATACAGTCACGTATTTAATTTTCATTCTAATCCCCTAGCAAATTGAACACACCAGAGATGAATATTCCACCCCTCTAGTTATCCTCGTAAGACGCAATTTCTATGAAATCCCACTTAAGATTGTAAATGTCAATGCAATTAATTCCTGCTAATATGCCCAAAACCTCGTACAATCCAATTCTGCAGCACCCTAATATCGTTATCAATCTGATAAAATGATAGCGATTTATGGGAGCTTTCCATCAATATACGGTTTGTTTTCACAATAGAATATTTTTCACATGTTGAAAATTCAAAAATAACTCGCAAATTGCCCAAGAAACAATACACTTTTAATATCAATCGATATTACTTATTTTTTCATTGCATTCTCCGCATATTTATTCACATTCCCACATGATGTATCGCTTACAATGAGGACAATTATTACAACTCTGTGTTGTTGAAGCAAGAATCTAATTGAAATCTATTAAACAATTATTCCATGTGTTGGCGCTCTGCTTCGGCACAGACAGAGGCCCTTTCATTGAACTCGTGGAAGTCGTGAAAACAGAGAATGCATTATTAAATCCAATCAACAAATTTTATTTTATACTCTTAAATACCGGAATGGAAATAACTTCTCAAGTGCTCTATTTTATTACCAAACGTTGAAAGACCGTGTTTATGATGGAATTACGATTAGTGCAGTGTTTATTTTCGGATGTATTTTAATGAATCATATTGGCAATATCTTCTAAGCATAATAGTGTCACTGTGAAACTATCATCTCTGTTGCTTCGCTCAATATCATTTGACGGAAACTTGTACAACTTCATCATTAACTCACCTCTTTTGTGTCCACTGGAAAAATGTTTCCCACTGTTGGCATGGAGATAAAGCAGAACGCCGCCGTGAAGAACAGGAGAGAGTAGCAGAGATATGGAAGATGTGAGTCGCGAATAATGCGAAATTGCAGTAATGCTAGCACAATAGAGAACACCAAGCATAGCAGCGAGTTGAAAACATTCTGCAAAATATAATATCAAATATGACATATCAAATATTCAATGGAATTGCAATAAAATCAATACTGAACTCGCACAATACATCTTGCAAATATGAGAACTCATTATATGAAACTCACATGAACGGTTGGCGTTTGAGTGTACCCCAGACTCAGAGCTGCCATCACACCGCACAGCATCACCACAAGGGCCACCACCCCCATCACAGAGAATCTCTGCAATTTGAGAGTGTATCGCTGGTAGAGGCATTCGAGTTCGTCATTCTCGAAGCGCAGCTTGTTCCACGGCCGCCCGCGGGCCGCCTTAACCGCGTGATCCATTTTCAGGTCCTCTGCAGTCAGTCAGTCAGCAAAGATCTGCAAAGGCGATTGCAATTAGTGGGAATCTCAAGAGCAATTTCATCCATTTCAACAACAGACAGTCTATCACTCTCAACTGAGGCGTAAAAATAATTCTCCCCATCGAGAGAGGTAGACAAACCAGAGAATTAGCTAATCAACATCCTCAGCGAGACTGAAGACATCACAGTGTGAATAAATCGCCTCTCAATCAACACAGGCACACTCTCTCAACAGCTGAGTTCAAACGCAAATCAACTGTGGGGATCACAAAAGTAAACTGAGAAAATTGACGATCATTGAGGCATATTATGCATATAGATAGCCATGCTTTGTGTACATCTACAGAATGTGTAGACTTTCAATTAAATACGAACTTGAACCTAACATTATGAGAGGGAAGATATCAAAGCGAAAATTTTTTTTAACACTTTTTCTTCGGCATAATAGGAATTATTTCTCAGTCGAAGGAAAATCTTTCACTCTTCCGAATAATTAAAACACATATATAGTGTTCCCATTCAATTTTATATCCCTCACGTTTAGATTGTAGAACTTGTACTGTAAATAGACAAAACGCAAACTTCAATTAATTTATCTTGATTACATAGAGTGGAAAAAGCTGTAAAAGTGTACCTATTTTCCAACTTCTCCCTCCTTTTTACAGTGTGTGTGTGTAACTCGGAATGTTTTTCAACCCAAATATTGGTTCACATCGTTTTCAGAATACTAAATGCTTGTTCATTTTATTAGCCTTCATGAATTTTCAATTTTAACTAATTTCCTGGCACTGAATTCTCAAAATTCAGATTGACTTCACTTATTCTCTTCCAGAAACCTCACATTTTGTTGTGTGACATTGAATTTGTTTAAGCATTACACCTTTAAATATTACTTTTGCCAATTACTGACCTCTGAAAAGGACAAAAATACTTAACATTCCAAAAGATTGTGAAGCTCTCTATAGAACACTCTTTATTTATTATATTTTAAACACGTTATTTGCATTGTGAGACATGTTTTCAATAATTACACTCCACAAATGTTGCCCAAGCGACAATATCCGGCCACTACAGTCACCCGTTCTTTATTGATCATTAAATATCCCGAAATGGATGCTTTTAAAACTCAATTCATCTCTTGTCGTTTCGGATACAAATTCCCTGTTTGAGCCTCCCCACGCTTTCATACATGGACTGTGCAAAAGATGCTATGTATCGCTCGAAAATTTATTTTTGGCACTTATTAACCACAATTAGTACGGCATAAAATATATCAGACATGAGTTTCACTTTGCTCTCAACCTTGGTTCAAGAATACACCATCGCAGCCCTGTGTATTGATTGAAAATCACTCAATGGAGAGCATTTTCATGATCGATGCTTTTGCTACACTTTGACAAAAAAGAAACAGTTCACTGCAGAAATGAAATAAGTGGTTTCAATTTCGTTACACTTCGAGACAATCTAGAGTTGAATAAATCATCGAATAGCTCGCAAGAGTTTCCCACTGGGAAACCACAAACCAGAGCAAGGAGCAAAGTTTCATCGATATAATAGCATATACCATCTGCCACTTAAAACTTGACAAAGCAGTGTCTAATGAAATATACCATAATAAGTTCCAACCCACTTATGAAATAACAGACTTCAGTTATCAGAATCTAAAATCAATTAAGATCATTGATTACAAACTACGAGCTCCTAGTGATTTTCTTGCAAATCATCACTAATGATAATTGAGACTTCCAATTAAATCACTAGCTTATCGTCTATCTTTGATAAAGACAACGAGGATTTGCCCAGAGCGGAAAAGTTTGGAATATTCCCAGAGATAAAAACGGCACAACTTGTAAAATGTTGCCCGTTTTTTTTGCCGGAATATGTATTCAATGTGTGCTGTAAAAAAATCACATTGTTTTTATGAGTCAGTTGTATATCTTCACCGTCGAAACGTCGACACCAATACATTACGGCACCGTCTAATTATAATTCTGAGCATGTGCCTATGTTGGATTTTATTTCTCTAAATGCAAACACTATGGAATTAGTAAAGGTAAACCCAGGTAAACAATGGAGCCACTTTCATGCTCACATTTGAATTAAATCAATAACATTAGCACTCTCGCTGGTCATCAAAAATCTCATCATCAATAATAATGTGGCATTTCACACCAGAGTGCAATCAAAAAGCACTTCAGCTGTCTTCATTGTTACATAGGAAGTGCAATTGAGTGAACAAATCCCTCGGATATTTTATTTCTCCAGCTATAAAATTCTTATCCAGGTATTCCGGTGAAACGGCACGTTTCGTGGGAAAAGCTCAATTGTCTTTATCTAGTGTGTTTATATTCAATTTGTGTTAAATTGTGTGCATCAATTTGGAATTAAACTTGATCTAATTTGGTCAAGTGGAAGCTACTTTCGGGGATGAAAAATGACTTGAGGCACAAAAGAAATGGGTTTCACTGACAGTGTTGACCTTTTGGAGCAGCGAAAAGGTATATTCATTAATCCCACATCACTCAGAAGCCTCAGATGGCTTTTTATTTATTAACAAGTCACATAAAATTCAGTGTAGCCCTAATTCTTGGAAATGCTATCTACTCCACGGGCTGTGTATCTGAAATTGAATTAGAAAGTCTCCCTGTTCTCTGTTTTTTCTGCGTCTCCTCTGTTTTCTTCGCATGAAAATGAAAATGCCTTTCAGGAGGGATAACAAGAGCTACATCCTTAACCATTCTTCCTGTCACTCTCAATTTTTTTGCACGCTAAAGAAAGCAACAATATTTGCACGCGCCTCTTTAATTCACTTGGTGAAATAAGCAAAACCGTATTGTGTGACCCAAAATATATCGCCTTGTTGTTTAATCGAATTTTCACATATTAGATCCAGACTGTGTGAATAACCGCATTTGAAGATGCGAATATAAAGAAACACGTGTTGATAAAATCGCTGTAAAATTCTTCAATGCTCCATCATTCATGGCGCAGGGATACTTTTCTCAGAAGTTTACTGATGGTTAAACATTGAGAAGAGCAGCGTTTGTGCCTTATAAATTTATCTTTCCGAGGCTATTTATTATTAATCAATCTTGAACCTACAGCGTGGATATTTTATGTACTCAAGAGAGTGTGATTGATTGATAGGGTGGATTCTTGTATTATTCACAAGCCTGGAATTTATAATAAATATTGCTTAATGTCTCTTCCATCGCAAACTAGGTCACTGTACTGACAAATTACCCCAAACAACACCACACATGACGATCACTGTTTTCGCTTTTTTCTCCCTCATCAGTAACAGTCTTAACTTCACTTCCTGTGCAATTTGCGATGCAGCAGGAGTTGAAAAAGTGAATTACTTTTCAAGGAATGGTCATAAAAAGCCATGGATTGCATACAAGAATGGAGATAATGAATGCGGATTGCCTGAGACAAGTGTTGAATGTAATCCTGCATTATGTACTTGGTTAACACGTAAATCTAAACGTGACACGACTACACAAGGTATGTTGGATGACTTTACCAAGTGAAATTATATCAGTGTGCTATATTTTTTCCCCACAGAGCACATAATATATCGCCACTCAAAATACAGCCACACTTTATGTACATATCGACCGATAGACAGGCTGTACGCCAGTGATTTAAAAAGGGAATCTGTGTGACAATCAATTTTGCGCTCTAATAATAATGGTTTTGCTCACAGCATATGATAGACTTCGCTATATAATAGTGCCTCTCTTGTAGTTTCTGAGATACAACACTGAGTATAAGAAGTTTATGAATTTATTCATAAAACATGACTCTTTTTGCACTCTTTCTCTCCACCATGCAATTTTAAAAGTAATAACTATTCTCTTTCATCTCGTTCCATCTCAATGACCAGAAAAAATCCTCTCCAGAGAGTTCACTTGGCTCACATCTCATGCCAATAACTTCGAGGAGTTATTTCTATTGAATTCTTTGTCACAACTCACAGATGATTCTTTAAAAACTATTGATTTCACATCAATTAATTTCCTTTGTCACATTGACTTTTCCCAGCACAGTTTCATATTTCATCCCAAGCGAAGTAAGAAGACACTGAGCGTGATCAATTGATTGAATCAACCATTTGAGTACAAGAAACATCAATTCGATGTTGGGTGATAAATCAGACGAATAGAATTTCCTCTAATTGATTTTCTTTTATTCATTCCAGAAAGAAATTTAATACTTTTGTCTAAGGTCACAACATTCTATTGAATAATACGATTGCCATATTGTGTCTTTCATTTTTTTCCTATCAATTTCTGATAAATATAATAAGAAATATTGTATTTGTTGAGCAAACAACTTATTGAGTTCTCTTTCATGGAATACACATTATTTGCCTTCTTTTATATTTCAGGCCATGGAGAAGAAATGAAGTAAAATTCCAAAGATCTTACAAGGAGATAATTTAAATTGAAGTCTAACATCGATATTCCATACTAGAAAAGGTCCTTTTCAGTGGAACAAGTGTCCTGAGCACCTTCAACAACCTTCTTATTTTGCATAATACATTCCACAAATTGCTTGTAAAATCGCCTGTATGTGTCACATTAGGGATGAAAGAAATTGAAATTGATTTCTCAATTCCCATTTAGCATTCTTTTCACCTATAATAATCACTTTTACATCACTTTGTTGACCTCAAAATTATTATACGCATACAAATTGCTCAGTGTCAAAAAAAAATGTTGTACAGAAAATGTATTGAATATACAATCATATTTTAAGTCAATTGTGTATATGAGAAATATGTTATTATGGTGTAGAGGCACGAGACAGAGAATTTGCTCAAATTATTAGCATTAAACATGAGAAATTCTTTTTTGCCTTCTTTCTTCCCCATCAACACCAGGAATTATAATGTAATTTTCTCTACTTCTCTCTCTTTCACCTATCATTTGTACGAATCTTCAGCATTTTTCCACCCACAGTATAAAATTTAATTATTTTCGACGTGGAAAACATTTGTTCCTTTCCGAGACTCGTGGTGGCGAAAGGAAAAAGAAATATGATGAAAATATTATGAAGAATGTTTTTAAGACGACTTACAACGTGTACGATTGCACACGGAGAATCTAAATTAGACACAATCTTCATTAACAAAGTGTTAAATGTTTACATAATTTCTCCTACAACTGAACAAGACGCAGTGAAAAGAATAGCGTGAAAGAACGACGGAAATAAGAATGGAACTGTGAAAGAAGTCAAACAAATTGTGCGTACGACTGTGGATTCGAGATGAAAAGAGTTTAATATTTCATTGCATACTCGTGAATAAATGTTTTCTCCAGAAGAAAATACTCTCTTAGAATTCACTGGTCGTCCGTTGGGAAATGATAATAAATTTGCGTTAAAATATTCGGATTGTTTTTTTATTTGGTGCCCCCCAAATTCGATAGAATTCGCTTTGATTTGTAGTTTGCTCAGCAGAACATTATCATACTTGTCGCAGAGCCAATTTTCAATTTTTGCCACTGAACCATTTCACAGTTTGGTTAGGAAAAGTCTCACAAAAACCTAATTGCTTTGGCAAAGCGCAAAACATAAGCATAAATGTTATATCTGAAGAATAATTTTTTTTCACTCTCATTCATAAATCTGCCACATAATACAATTTATCCGCATTTTTAGAGATGCCGCAAAACTTTTATGGGATTTTGTAACTTGTACAAACTCAACTTAGAGTTATTGCACGTGTCAACAAACGAATAAACCATCAAAGTGACTATTGAGAGGCCAATAAAAATATATCAGCCTGCAATTGAATTCCTATGGATAAATCAAAACGTTTAAGATCTATTAAAACGGCAATTATTCCTTACCAAATGGATTAATAAAAATAGATTAAAATTTATGGATTTCAAGGAAATCAACTAATCTGGTTTTCACAACGCTTTTTTGAGTCACATAGAATTGTTACGCAAAATTATATCCTCTGGTAAAAAGATACGCCAATACGCTTAAAGACACGTTTAGTTTGGGATTTTGTGTCGTAGTAACAGTAAAATGAGAAAAACCAGAAAAACTTCGATTCTGTAAATAAATAAATCGTGATGAATGTTCACATCCTTTTCATCGACATTGCTCTAACTCAAATGCGATTTTCAGGTGATAATTTCACAGAAATTCTCTATTTTAGATGCATAAAACACTTGAGAGCTGTTAGTGTTGTTTGACTTAAAAGAGCTTCGCACGTACTAAGGTTTAATTCTAGTGTGAACTAGAATTCCCTGATTTATTGCGTTCCAGTTTCTGAGTGGAGTTAAAGAAGCGGAAAACCCCCAAAAAACATTCCTCAAATAAAATACAGCAAAAACTAGCAGGAAAAACAGAGTTACGGCCTTTGGGGAAAAAATGTATGAATTCTAATTGATTGGCGGACATGGAAAGCGCACGGCAATCTGGAAACTCACTTTTTTGCCCGCGACTTGAGTGATGGGACAATAATTTCTGAGATTGTGTGGAGGAGCATCGGGAAACATCAATTAAATTGCGTTTTACAATCACTCCGAATGTGTTGATAAGATAGCAATAGTGGGCAGAGAGGGTAAATACATTTCCTCCTCCCCAGCGAGTGTTAGTTTTGGGGACTCACCGTGAATTCCGGATGATTAGTGCTGGAACAGGCGAATCATGGCTGATGGTGTGGCTCGAAAACACTAACAGAACCCCAAAACTTCACTGGAAAAGCTGCCCCACTGCCGGATTTTCCACTTCACATAGCACACAGACGAGCAGGCAAATCACTCGGAAATGCAGGGGCGAAACTCGGAGGGCGAGGAAAAGCAGGCGAAATAATCGCAGTCTCGCCCACAAAACTGTCTTTCTCAGCACGTAAAAACAAGTTTTCCGTGAGTTCACGTCAGTTTTGGGATGGCTGCACTTGTCCAGCACAATTTCACTTGACGCCTCTCGCCATTCTGGGCATCCGGAGGGCCACGAAGAGTTCCTTTCTCGCCAAGTTACCCGATCGACTTCACTTCTTGTTGTCGTTTTCGGGAGGCGCAGCGACTAAAAGGGCGACAGTGGGAGCGAGACAGAGTGACGAGGATATCAAAGACTGGCCCACAGAAGCACTTTCAGTTCACATATTTGCTGGAAATTCTCACCATTCAATCTTGACAAGGACCATTACAACTTCTCAAGCGATTACAGAACGATAATCACAGCGATTGACCGGAGATGAGGTGTTTTTGAGTGCAACTTTTCCACTGAGGGAGCGAATAAAATAGAGCAGAGAGACGCCCTTCCACTCTCGCGAGCCCGCGATAGTCCACGAGGAACACCGATTGCGTTACGGCTACACAGATTCTGCGGTCACCACTATAGAAATAATTGGAAATATTTAACACTACATTTGATGTTTTATGCTCGCTCTGCACCCAAAAACTATTCTTGCTAATATTTTCTGCGCCTTCTTATCAATAGAGAATGACAATTCACCTCATCTACAACAAAGAGCCATGAACTATATATTATTTCTCTCAATCATTCGCAAGAGCTGGGATTTTTTATTAAAAACCGCCGTCGCTGAAATAGCATCACACTGTCGACAGCGCTCCGCGTGGCTGTGGGGAAACCTGACATTCTGCCCCCTATCGCCAGGGGCGCTCCCCAACGAAAAGTGAAATGCCCCCACACTGAGGGGAGCGCTTGGCAGAATCACAAACAACCGTCTGTTTATGTTTGGTTTGCGTTTGGGCGAGTGTTTTTTGGGCAAAACTTCTTAAATAATCGTATATTTTCAAAGAAATTAGGAAAAGACAATTGGATTTGTTATCTTGATATGTAAATTAGAAAACACATTTGGTAAATCGGGTGGAATCGAGAATAATTTCCAGATTGTCTATAAAAGACTTCCCTCCCTAAATTTAAATGATTCTGTTGAGTTATTGGACTGATTATAGTTAACTTTAGGGAATCAGATGGTCAATTGATTGATATTTGCGTGTCGAATTAAGGACAGACGAATATTCGTGCGGATTTCTGTAAATCAAGTTAAATATTAGTGTGTAAAAAGCGGCGACAAAATTGTGGCGGTCGCTAGTGACATAACCTTAATTTAGTTGACGTCTGGCCAGGTGGAGAATATTTGATTATTTGGGTGTTTTCCTCGTATTCCCAGGTAAATTCTCGCAAAACCGCAGTATTTCAATGTATGGTGGCAATGTGTAGACTTATTCTGTGTTTTCAGACATGTTTCGTGGCACTGTTTCTCCGATTGCGAGATTTCGGCACTTGGGAAGGAGTTTCTCTTCCTTACCGGAACAGAATGCCGCATTTGAGGAGTTCCGCACAAGTGAGGTACAACCATCACGGCAGTCTGCTTTGCAGGAGGGCAAATTCTACACCATAACGCCGGAAGTGAGGAAGCGATTGTTCACATTCGGAGGACTCACAAAAACATACGAAAAGCAAATGAAAACCTTTGCAGAAACCACCCTGATGGTGCGTCAGCCTGCTCTGGAAATCATGGATTACATCAAGAGAACAAACTTCAGCAAGCCAGTCAATCGATACGTGCTGTACGGGAAGAATGGTGTGGGGAAGTCACTGACACTGGCGCATTTGCTGCACTTTGGCATTGAGAATGATTTTGTGCTCGTTCACGTGCCGTGGGTGCCAAATTGGTTGAAGAAGCCCCGCGAATTGGTGACTCTCAATGAACCGGAGGGCTTTTTTGACTTGCCCCTGGACTCCGCGGCCTGGCTCATTCACTTCAAGACGCAGAATCTTCCTATACTTTCACGGCCGGAATTCGTCACCAGCAAGGATCACGTGTGGAGTCAGAGAGAAACGACACCAAAGGGGGCCACGCTGCTGGAACTTGTGGAGCACGGAATAAACCGTATGAAATTCGCCTCGGGGACAATCGCAGCACTCCTGAGTGAGCTGAAAATCCTCTCCACTGAGGGAAAGTGCAAGACGATGGTGGCCATTGATGGATTCAATGCATTTTTGGTGGAGAAAACTACTCTATTGGCGCGATACAAAGTTAGAATCCCACCTGAGAAGATCACCATTGTTAAGCCATTCCTAGACATGGTCAATTGCGATTGGCAGAACGGCGTGTGCATCCTAATTCTTGACCAAATAGCCTATGCGCGCGGTCACACGAACAACGAGATGCCTCTCAATCTTCTGGGCAGAGCGGGATTCGAAATGCTCGATCCATTTGTGCCCGTTCGAGTGAACGACTACACAGAGAAGGAGTACTACAGCTGCATAGAGTACTATGTCAACAGACGGTGGATCCAGAACCAAAAACAGGGATTCGACGAGGAGTTAAAGGCCCTGAGCGCGAAAAATCCCTACGACTTAATGCAATTGTGCTCATCTTTGTGAGTTCAACAGTTAAATACTAGAATATAATAGTGAAAAGAATTCTTATTCAGTGTGTCTTGAATCCGTCAATCATTACATCTCACTGCCCATCATCCGAAGCTTGCTGAGTTTTCCTTTTCCTGCAAAAGATACAAGGATTTATTGCACAATCAACTTTAGTCTGTGAAGTGACTTACATTCTCTGCACAGTCTTATTGTAGCGATCCTTGCATTGCCGCTTCTGGTGCAAAATATCGCCGCGAGAAACATACTCTGAAGGACGAAAAAATGATAAGCAAAATCACCTGCTAAATCTATTCGTTCAAACTCACTTTCAATGCATCGAATAATTTTCAGCTCAAGGAAATTGCCCTTATTCTTGGATCCATTTAGAGTGAATTCCTCCATCAGGTCATCGGCAAACATGTGTTTCAGCCAATTTTGGGGATGAGATTTAATCATAGATCTGATGTTCGCCTCCTAAGATAGACAAGAGTGATAAGAAAATGACGATTTTCTCCTTTCCTTAAGCACTGTTTACCAATTCATCATCTTCGCCTATTTTATCCTCGATCTGCATTAATTTCTCGATATTCTCGATCGGAAACAAGTTTATGAATGTACTTGCGAGCAAGTCACTTGATGAGTTACTATCCATCCTCCTTGCAGAGATTGCCTGCAGTTTGCACTCGATCCGGTTCAGGCATTTGGAGAGGAAGTTCAGCTTGAATTGCATCTTAGCCTCGATATTTTTGGCTTCCTCCGTCACGTAATCCAATACTTTGTTCATATGATCAATCTCTTCGTTGTCCGCAATGTCGGCGGTGTCCGCGATATCCGGCTCAAGGGTTTCCACAAGTTCCTCAGACTTCTTTGGGAGTTCAGCGTGTCCGTGCTGCTTGAGTATGCTGAGCAGCTTCTCGGCACATGAGCTCGATATGTTCTCCTCCGAGATCAACTTAGAAAGCTTCAATGTCAGGGAAGAATCCTCAGGGCTTTGGAGCATTTCTATGACTTCTCCGTCATCGGAATCGCTGGCTTCTTCCTGTCCGTAGAATTTGCTCGTGCTCGCAGAGTATTTGTACTCTTCTGCATTGCCGGTCAAAGGATCTTCTTCGATTAGATACTCTTCGATTACAGTCGTATTCGCATCGTCCGCCTGCTCTATATCTTCCTCTTCATAGCTGAAATCATTCTCGTTCTTTATGGGAATTGCTGTAAAGGACGCCTGTCGGGTTTTCATAGACGGCGCGGGAGCAGGAGCTTCTTCTGGAAACAAAAGCGAAATTTAGAATCTCCACAAGACTGTTGTAAGGCGGCAGAATGTACTTTGGAATATCGAAGGAACAGCTGTTTGTTTCAAAACATACTCCTTTGCGTTCTGGTTCAAGTAAAAATCATTTGGCTTGAAATGTTCACTGCAGATTCTGTTAAAGGCCAAGGGAATCCAGTTCTTGTGCACATGCTGAATAGCCTGAACCCACTGCTTCTTCCGCTTTGTCTCGCTCGGGAAGGGGAACGTCTTCCGGTTCTTATCCAATCGCTTCGGACAGGATGTAACGCAGCACAAACCCGACATTCCGAATCTGTGGAAAAACCAAGAGAAGAGCATTTCAATGGCACGGCAAATTTCGAGATTTCCATTTCGTGTCGGACGATTTAAAAATGAATGTCTCCCAAAATTCTCAAAAGTCAGCGAACTTTCGTTTACTTCAGTCGTGTGAAAATCTTTGGAACGAAATGAAAAAAAGGAGATTTCTTCTGTCTAATTGTCCGGGAAAGACAAACAAACAATCCTCGCTAGCGATGTGCCAAAATCGTCGTTTTCACGGTTCTCAGCGAGTCAGCGATGAAAATTTGAGTGCAATTCCCAAAGTAAACATCTATAAATCATATTGCAGTGAAAATGCATGAAAATTAAGTCCAAATTTATGAAGAATAAACATTTGGGGAAAAGTGCGCTCAAAATTCGTCGACGGAACTGTCACAACACAATGGCGTCCCGAAACCAAGCCGCAGAGAAACAGTGATTTGGGGGATATTCCGGGGACTTCTCCATAAAAATGCACTACAATACACAAATGCACATCGCGAAGATTATTTTAATATCAAAATCGTGGCTTACCTTCAGTAAATTTGCCTGAAATATGAGGAAGAATTTTCCACTGACAACCTTAGTGTTTATTAACGGACGAAGCTAAAGAGAAGTCTACGCTTGCCGTGGAATCGGAACAGAATGTCACATGAAATTCATAGAGAATTTCGAGAACATAGATATTATAGTGTGAATCTCTGCCGCTCGTGCGCTGTAATTTTTTGGCGGGAAAAGGATTAGCGGATGATTCGTATCACATTCGATATCGGTGCAAATTAATCCGAATGAATTAATTCATTCGGAACCACAATAAAAACCATTCATTCATTTACATTGAGTTTATTGTACAGTGAAAATCCTATATATTTTGCTTTGCTATGAATGCGTCCAATCCACCAATCCTCTCATTGCCCATCTTCTGCTGTCTGTAATGCGTCTTTGTCTTTCTTTTTCCTGCAATAAATAAGAATTGTTCTTGTTCAGCATGGTTGTGTGTAAATCAAACTAAAAGTTATAGCTTTTTCGGTTTTTGCCCAGTTGCAAATTATAATCAAATTCGACTCTCATTTAAATCAACTGCAGAATTTACTTACTGTCGTGATTTTGTCTTATTAAAGCGATCTTTACTCTGACGCTTCTGATGTAAAATGTCGCCGCGAGAAACATACTCTGAAAGTCGGAAATTATGAGTAAATAGACATGAAACATTAATTCAGTCAAACTCACTTTCAATACAGTTTATAATCTTAAGTTCCATGAAGTTGCCTTTGTTCCCTGATCCATTTAGAGTAAATTCATCCATCAGGTCATCGGCGAACATGTGCTTAAGCCAACTGCGCGGATGTGAATGAATCAAGGATCTAATTTTCACTTCCTGTAAATATGCAAGATTATTACCGAAATGCAGATTTATCACAAGTAGAAATGCTTACCAAGTCTTCATCCTCGCCGATTTTTTCTTCAACCTGCATCAGTTTATCGATATTCTCGATGGGAAACAGATTCATGTATGCAGTTGCATAGAGATCAGTGGACGGTCCAGAATCTATTGGTTGACTTGTCATTGCTTGAACCTTGCACTCAATGCGGTTCAGGCATTTGGAGAGGAAGTTCAGCTTGAATTGCATCTTAGCCTCGATGTCTCTGGCTTCCGCCGTGACGTAATCCAACACTTTGTTCATGTGTTCAATCTCTTCATTTTCCGGATCCTGAGCTTCCACAAGTTCCTCGGACTTCTTTGGGAGTTCAGCGTGTCCGTGCTGCTTAAGAATTCTGAGCAACTTCGCGGCACATGCATTCGACATGTTCTCCTCGGAGATCAGCTTGGAGAGCTTCGACGTCAAAGAATCATCAGGGCTTTGGAGCATTTCTATGACTTCCCCGTCATCGGAATCGCTGGCTTCTTCCTGTCCATAGAATTTGCTCGTGCTCGCAGAGTATTTAAACTCTGCATTGCCGGTCAAAGGATCTTCTTCGATTAGGTACTCTTCGATAACAGTCGTATTCACATCTTCCGGGTTTTCAATCATATTATCATCATCATTGTAATTCACATCGTTTTCGCTTTTGATAGGAATTGATGGGAATGGATTCAATCGTGTGCTTATGGATTTCACGACTACGGATGCGTCTTCTGAAGAAAGAAAGAAATTATATGAATTCTACGGAACTATTCCGAGATCAAAGAACCTACTGAGGAATATCGATGGAACAGCTGTCGTCTTCAGAGTGATTTCCTTGGTTTTCTCGTTTGCGTAGAAATCACTTGACTTGAAGTGTTCATTGCAGATTCTGTTGAATGTTGAAAAAGTCCAATTTTTCTGGACGTTCTGAACCGCCGCAATCCATATCTTCCTTCGCTTCGAATCATTTGGGAAGGGAAATGACTTAACATTCTTCCGGTTTCTCTCCAATCTCCTCCGGCAAGTTGACACACAGCAAATTCCAGACATCCTTGCGACCTGTAAGACGAAATCATATTTGTCTCAGCATTCATAAAAAGTTTCACTCCGGAATCTCAAAGAGACTTCCTACTGAATATCTTCGGAACAGAAGCGAAGTTTTCTATCTGACTCGTCCGGGAGAAGGTGACAAACAATCCTCAGAGGAAATATGTAAAAAATCTTCGCTTTTAGCAAGTCAGCAATGAAATTTTGAGTGCAATTCCCAAAGTAAACATCTATAAGTCATATTGTAGTGAAAATGAATGGAAATTATGCCCAAATTTATAAAGAATAAACATTTTGGGAAAAGTGCGCTCAAAATTTGTCGACGGAACTGTCACAACACAATGGCGTCCCGAAACCAAGCCGCAGAGAAACAGTGATTTGGGGGATATTTCGGGGACTTCTCCGTAAAAATGCACTACTATACGCAAATGCACATCGCGAGGATTATTTTAATATCAAAATCATGGCTTACCTTCAGTAAATTTGCCTGAAATATGAGGAAGAATTTTCCACTGACAACTGCTGTGGATACAAAGATAGGTCTCGTGGAATTGGAACAGAAATGTCAGGAGAAGGTTCGTGCGAAGGGGAAAAACATAGACATTAGTGCCAATCTTTGTCGCAGATGAAATTTTAGCGCTGCTGGTAGAGTAGTCAAATCTTGGCGGTAATTTCAACGTAAAATAACCGAATACCCTCAAAATAATTTTTCTTTGCAAAATGCTACATCATTTCATGTCAAAAGGATCAGTAAGGATAAATTGAGTTTCCTGTTGATGCCAGGAACTGACACCCACTGCAACTGTTCCTCCAACATATCTGCCAGAATACTTTATCCTTCTCGCCAACAAGTTCTCAAAGCGTGGCTTCACGAAAGTCCACGCTCCCATGTTCCTGTGCTCCTCCTGGGACCAGATGAAAGCTAAAGAACAGAAATGTGATGTTTAGAAGTAGATTTCTTTTAGCTGAAACGAAAATATCCTCACTTTTAGCACTCTTGTACTTGTCCAGTTCGTTGTTGAGTTCATGCACTGGGAAAGGGCAGAGAGATTCCACTCTAACTATGGCCACATCTCCCAAACCTCGGTTTTTGCGCTCTGCCTTGAGGTTGTAATAGTGTTTTCCCGTGCAAAGGATGACTTTCTTCACGTCTGAGGGGTTTACAGTTGAGTCTCCAATCACAGGCAAGAAGTGTGTGCCTGGCTTGAAGTCTTCAGGAGCTGAAGTGGCGTCTGAGAGACGCAGGAGAACTTTTGGTGCTACCATTATCAGGGGTTTCCGGAAGTCCCGCACAATCTGGCGCCGCAGCGCATGGAAATACTGGGCGGGAGTTGTGGGATTGATGATCTGGAAGTTGACATCATCGCCATCAGGCTGCGACTCACTCGAGTCAGTCATCTGCAGGAATCTCTCCAGCCGGCAAGAGCTGTGCTCAGAAGCTGCCCCATCAAAGCCATGCGGCAAGAGAACAACCAGGCCATTGGAGATCATCCATTTGGCTGATGAAGAAATATAGAAGTGAAACAGTTTTCTAAACACGAAGATGAAATACTCACTTTCTCCACTGCAGATGAAGGTGTCGAAGAGTATTTGAGCACCGTTGAAGAAGTCTCCGAACTGAGCTTCCCAGATGATCAGGTTGTAGGGATTATCGATGGCCATTCCGTATTCAAATCCGAGAACAGCTTCTTCCGACAGGATACTGTTGGCTATCTCAAGCTTCCCGCCCAATCCACCTTCCATGGAGTTCAGAGGAATGTGAATCTCGTTCGTTTTCTGATCTACGAGCATTGCATGGCGATGAGAGAAGGTTCCTCGGCCAACATCTTCGCCACTGAGACGGATATTGTGACCCTGGTACATGAGGCTTCCCAGTGCCATCGCCTCAGCGGTTGCCCAGTCGATGCGACCCTCTTTGATCTTCTTAATCCTGCCTGCCACATGAGTTTTCTCCAGGTGTTGATGAATTGCCTGGAAAAGAGTAGGGAATAGATTGCTTGCAAACACTTGAGTGAAGAAAACTCACGAAATTCTCAGGATATGTCACGCTTTTCACACCGATGAATCCAAGAAGAGAGTAATCCAGTCCAGTGTCCCAAACGGTGACTTCACTGCCAGCTTGTTTCATTCCTGACCATTGCTTCCTGAAGTACCACTTCTCAGGCTCATAAGAATCTAGATTGCTGAGTTCACTAGCGAGGAAATTTGTGTGGTCCTTTGCAATCTTGTTCACCTCCTCCTGAGTCATTTCATTCTCCGAGACCAGGAAATCTGTGTACTTATCTGGAACAGACCTGAAAACAGAACATTGATGAACAAAAGATTGAGAATTAATTAAAGGGCTTTCTCACTTTCTGTTGTGGATGATTTGGTACAATGCTGGATTGGTGAAGGTGGGATCGTCCACTTCGTTGTGACCCCATCGTCGGAAGCAGTTGAGATCGATGAACACATCAGATCGGAATTCACGCTGGTACTCGAAGGCCAATTCAGTGATCAAGGCAAGGGCTTCGGGATCGTCCACATTCACGTGAAAAACCGGGGCGTCGATGGACTTGGCCAGGTCTGTGCAGTAGTTACTTGATCGCCCTCGGTCGCCAGGTGTTGTAAATCCCACCTGGTTGTTCACGACCATGTGAATGGTTCCGCCGATATCAAAGTGCGGAGTTCCTGTCATGAAGAGGCACTCCTGATTGACACCCTGACCGGGAAAAGCTGCATCGCCGTGCAGCTGAATGTTGAGTGCAGCTGAGGAGAAATCCTTGGCCTCATCCTCTCCAAAGGCTCCATCCTTGAGTGACTGTTGCTGGGATCTGGTTTTTCCCATCGACACGGGATTCACAGCTTCCAAGTGAGAGGGATTGTGCAGCATGCAGAAGTGGATCGTCTTCCCGTCCACACTGAGGTCCTCAGTAACATCTGCAGATGAAGAGACGATAAAGACGAGGGTTCACCTCAGAAAGAGCATGTCAATTTACGGAAGTGACTAGCGATATCACACATTGCTTTGGCTTCCGCAGGAAACTCTGGCTGCCCCTTGAACTTCCGGAATACCTTGGCTGGCCGCGTCTTGAGCATAGTAGTGAGGAGATTCAGTCTTCCTCGATGTGGCATCCCGAGTACAATTGTCTTAATATCCTCTGGGAAAAGACAAAGATATGAATTTCGAAGAATGGATTGATGACTCTTGAATCCTACCTTGAGCGGATAACTTGAGTATCTGCCGGAAGAAGGCCATCATTGTTTCTGCTCCCTCTCCTCCGTATCTCTTCACCGTGGGAAACTTGGTGGCGAGGAAATTATCCCAGGCTTGAGACTTAATCATGAGTTCAGCGATTTCCCTCTTTTCACTATTGGGCAGACTTTTGCAGCGAATCCGCTCAAAATTCTCCTTAAGCCATTCTTTCTTCTGCTCGCACTGTAAATATGTATTATTGCCACTGAATTTCCCTACACTTTCCCAAGCTGCCATTCGTTCTTACCCCAATGTGATTTATTTCCGCACTGACTGTGCCGCAGTAAATCTTCTTCAGTGCATTTTCCAGCTCTTTCACAGTCGCTGATCCATTGAGACCGCTGATGATGCCCTGAGTTTCAACCTTTTGCGCCTCACTCAGACCATATCGGCTGAATTCTAATTCTGGAATTGTTCTTTGCAATGGAAATTGTGTGCGTTAATCACCGATAATTCATGTGTTAAATTTAGCATTGCGGTGCAAAAGCAACATAAACGAGAATATTAAAGTGACAAATTGATGTGCATTAGCATGATATAATTTTTTAATTACAATTGAAAGTGTTTTTCGCGGTGTCGCACTAAGTTGTGCACGCGCATAAACGCATCTCGTTATGCAAATTTTATGAAAACCAGTTAATAAATTGTGCCCTAGATTTGAGTCTTCTCAACTGCGTTTGCCGCGATGGCGAGAAATTTGAATAAACCCTCGTCAAAAGTTTCTTCTTGATGAGCAAACAAATGATGTGACTTACTGAAGTCGATTGGAGAAATCCACAGGATTAACTTGGGCCACATTGTGACCGTGACTGCGATACGCCTCAACCCATCGGTAAACATTGCTGTGGCGGTTCCTCGCGTGGAGCACCTCATCGGGAACTGGAGACAAACATCATCATCCATTAATGAGCTTCTGATACGAGGAGTATTCGCCCGAAGCCACATTATCACTCGAGGAGGGGGCTTATCTGACGCACAGCTCCAATTGAAATAATTCATCACCACGAGAATGAGCGGTGATAAGGGGCTCCAGTGGCACTACATTGGGAGTTGCATAATGGCACTTACCCGAGAAGGATTTCCTCTCCTTTCTCCTGTAGCCGTGCACGCCCCCCTCGCTCTGATACCATCTGCGACAGAGGCGGGAGATTCCGCCCTGGGGTCGCCCCTTCCACGCCACCGTAATTCCTCTCTGCATCCTCTGCGTTGATCTGGAAAAGCTCCCTGCCAAGCGGACTGCCAACCACCGACTGGCTCCCTTATCTCGCCCGGGGAGCCGCTGATAGTGCTATCAGGGAGCATGTGGAGGCATAAATGCACAAGTGTGCGATTGCAAATTTAATTGCTCAGTGAATCTGTCGACTTTCAGTTGTTGGATTGAGAATCGCGTGCGAAATTGAAAGTGATTTCGAGGCATGATTTCAAATCTCAAGTCAGGAGATTGTGTGTGAATATAGATAAACTCATACAGAAGACGTTGAATTTGTGACTATCAAACCACTTTAGAGTGGCTGATGTTTGTGTTCTGTACACAATCAACGGCTTATCGAAGCAATCTCGCCATTGCCATTAGTTCAGTGGGAGGAATGTCGAAACCGATAAATTATACATTTTGAAACTGGTTTGATGATTCCTAAACTTGGCGCTTAGCAGAAAATTGCCTCAAAATACTATTGATTTGAGGTCTTCCACCAGACTTTTGTGGCATCAGAGAAATTATAGAGAAAGAGAGAGAGAGAGAGCGAGAAGGAGAGTTCGAGCATTATGCGATTAATCTTCACCCTTGATTCTAACTCTACGGGAACATGTTCTTTCGCTTGTGTGAGTGAAAAATCTTATTCGGTGAAAAATGTCGTCGAGTGAGTTGAACGATGTGGAAAACACTTGAATTAAAATTCGCTAATTCCTATTCATTCTATCGGTATTTTTCACACTTTGTGCACACCTACACTCTTTCAGTGACATTTTTCACTCTCAGTTTTGATGAGAAAATACCTTTAGTGGCAAAAATGGGTTGAAAATATGTTTAGAGCTGAACGCACACAAAACAGCTGACTAAACTAAACGCACACAACTGCGGCAGAACACAGTTGTGGAAGATTGAACGATAATTTCTTGTCGACAGTCTCATTGAGGCAATTTGTTCAAAAATCTTCCCACTGAGTCTGTCGCAAGTATTTTTCAGCGTGGGCCGAAGATCCAAATGGGAAATTGGAGTGAGGCAAAAAGCGTGAGATAAATCACTGAAAATGATACTTGATCTCTAATTGAACCATAATAGTCTCTGTACGCGGAAGTCTCATCGGGCAAGTTGGAATTAATTACTGCGGATCTGAGGAATTCGCTAACAGAGCCCAAAATTGCTGGCAAATTCGGTGAGAAAGAGTGGAATTCCTTGAACATTAATTGCCCAACGCGCACGAAAAGGAACACCATGAAAACACAATTAATTTTTCAATAAAACCAAATATGTAGTTTTCATTATATACACGTTTATTCATGTTGATGAAGAGTATAAGTTATTCAATTTATTTTACCATCTTGTTCTTTTTCAAGCTTTTTTTTGTTTTATGAAAGTATAAAATTTATGCGAATTCGTTTCCATCTTTTATGTTTACCATGTGGTTTTTTTTAAAGGTATTATTGTTTCTATATATTGTAGTTATGCAGTGAGTGTAAATCTTAAGAATGATTCTCACGTTATGTTTTAGATTTGATGTAAATACTATTATTTAGTGGTAAGTTGCCTTTTAATTTTAATGGAAGTACAATGATGAGTCGAAATGGTATTGTGTGTATGTAGTTTTCTTTTTAGTGATATATGAACACAAAGGAAATGAGATTTATCGTATTAAACACGAAATTTGATTCTTCTCAAAAATTCAACTATGAGAATTGTCTAGCTTAGGGTCTCCAGTGAAATCGATCAAAATCCCAAATAACAACACAAATAAATTTAAAAGTCAATGCAATATGTGAAAAATATCGACGCTCTCCTTAAATTAGACTTTTAGTAATCCTAAACTCAGTGACTTAATCGCCTCCTGCAAAGCTGTCTTGCGTGATATTCGAGTCGAGACTGGCGCAATCCGATTCTTGATCCTGGTTATTGGTGTAGTTGGCAGCCTCTTGAAGCCTCATTAGCATGTTCAGCTGGAAAGATGATGATTTGGGGTTAGAAATTAATTGCCTCTCACCGTTAAAAAGCGCTTCATTGATTAATAATATCGTTAAGATGCGATATGAAATCCCAAGTTCGGAGACGATGAGAGGAAGACAGGGAACTCACCAGTGGATCTTGTTGCTCACTGCTGCCCGTCGGTCCCGCCTCGAGGCCCACGTCCTCGGCGTTGATCTGCCGCAGGGATGGCACTGTGGTGGGACCCACTGGCCAGGGATACGTGTCACGGATGTAAGTGGACGGGTCGACCCAGATTCCGCCGCGGCGCCCGTACAGCTGCACGCCCTCGCGCACGGCATTGACTAGATATGGCGCCAGGTGGTAGTTCCACACATCCGTGAACCACACTTGCGAGTCGTTCATGTCCAGCGGACACGAGAGGAAGAGGCGCGGCCCGATGGTCACGTCGCTGGAGTTGTGGGTCTCGAGGAAGCGATTGATGTGCTGCCACACGGTGGGCAGCCAGGCCAGCACGCTGGACAGCTGAGGCTGAGGCGTGTGCGCCATGAGTTCCAGCACGAAGAGCTTCCGTCGCAGGAAGCGGGCCAGGAAGCCCTTCACGGGCTCCATGTGATTGGCCGTTAGCACCCATCGGAAGTTGTGATGTAGCTGGAGGTTTGTCGTGTTGCACGTGGCTTGCGACATGGTCCCAATGATGCAGGGCAGCTTCGACGCCGGTCCCGCACTCAGAAGGCACGAGAACACATCACCCAGTGCGGATGCGTGGTGCAAGTTGTCCAGGATGATCACTGACGGCAGTTCAGAGACGCAGTTCACCATCGAGGCCTGTTCTGCCACGTGAACCAAATACTGCTGCAGCTCCTTAGACGACTTGTGGTCCACGTTGAATGTGGCAATGGCCTCTGTGGGATTTCCTCTGCCTGAGCGTGCGACGAGGAATTCCGCCAGTTTGCGTGCCAAGTAGGACTTGCCGGTCCCGCTGGGGCCACACAAGATCAGCCGCCGATGTTCGGTCAAGAGGCTGATATAGCGGTGGACGATGCTGCGCGGGATGAGACTGTCGAAGGCGAGACTTCCCACTCCCTGAAGGCAGATGTAGAGGGTCTTCACATTGCCGATGATGTAGCCACAGGGGAGAAGTTCTGGAAAGCCCATCTCCGGACCCCTCTTGGCCTCCCCCAAATGATAGGACGTGATAGAGTCGGTGTTGAGGCCTAAGCTTGTCCCTGGATCGATTTTGGAGAGATAGTCTTTGAAGGTCTTCCGCACGATGTAGTCCAAATTCTGCCAGGTGGTTTTGCCAGAGATGTACGTGAAGGCAATCGTGAATTCATTGAAATTAGCATTGTCTCCATTCTCTCCATTTGGGCTGAGGCTGTCTGTTGGAGCCACATTGGCGTAATAGTAGTCGCAATCCATGATCTCTTCCGAATACTTCTGGAATGAGTCCGGTTGGCCGAGATACACCGCGATGGAGATCTTCTTCCCATCGAGGTGGTCAATGTCATCCACAACAGCAGTGTTCATGGACTCTGGAGGAACGGATTCAACTTGGGGCGGAGGCGTGAGGTCAATGTGTGATGTTGGACTGATGCTTTGTGGCGGATCCGGAGCTGGCGCCGGTGGGATGTTCTCCTCCTCCGTTTCCTCAAAGGTGTTTGGTAATTCCATCGGTGGTCTCGAGGAGGTGTCCACCAAGCTGTATCGTCTCGGTTCATTCAGACTGCCATTAGGGCTCAGCGGAGCGCCCAAACTCCCCGAGCTTCCAGCTAGAGAGCGACTGGTTACGAGTTTCTGGAGTCTCTCATTATTCTGCTTCAAGTTTATCATTTCTGCGCGCATTTTCATCACAGTGTCCTTCAGGCTCTCAAGTTGGGAAGCTGAGCTGAGCGCCTCCAATCGAATGTCCGTCAGCACGAGATCCTTCTCACGCAGCTGCTTCTTCAGGTCCTCCACAATCAGATTGCCCTCGAGCTCCACAATCGCATCGATGGGCTTGGCGTTCTCAATCACAGTCACTGGTTGCTTCACGGGGCTCTTCGTGGGCGACGCCGGAGTGACGACCTTCTCCTGGACACTCGTGTTGGGCGAGGGTGGTGGCAAGCCCATTTCCGCCACCGAAGGAACATTGTTATTCACCTGACGATTCGTCTTCGAGATTTTGGCGTTGCGTGAAAATGCTTTGGTAAAGGAGCTCCTCAGCTGTGGAAGACACAGGAAGTAGGCATTAAAATTGGCACTGTGAACTTACCATCTGAATTACTATTGAAAACCGGGGTTTCAAGGAATTTCAATCTCATGGCAATGAGTGGAACTTTTGTAGGAATTTATATTGAGCTCTAAAGGACAATGGAAAGTGCATCTTACCCATCCCTTCTTCTTCTTTTTGTCCTGTGTGGAGCAGCCCGAGCTGATGGAATTCAGAGAGCACATGGAATCCGAGCTGTGGTGCCTCTGCATATCTGTGCCGGTGGAGGTGCTGTTTGCGGACTTGTGCTCGGATTTCGCTGGCTGGCAGCTCGCCTGCACCCCCATACTCTGCATGTGGGCGGACGTGAGACCCGCCTGGATCGATTGCTTCCGCAGCAGTTCAATTGTCTGCCGAAGATCCGTCAACTCACTGTCCTTCCTCTCCGCGCTGGCACTCAGTTGATTGAAGCGTTGAGTCATATTCGAGAGACTCTGCTCAAAGGCCGACACCACATGAGCCTGAAATGGAGAGATAGTGGCCGTTAAGTGGGTGAATGTTGCATTAGAGGGTCTATTCAGGGGCTATTTGGAAACCTTCTCGTTTAATTCGTCGAGAGGCGGGCAGCTTAGACGACGATTGTTCTGCCGGATGGCCAGCTCATACCAAGGGATTTGGGGTTTACTTCTCAGGGTGGTTTGGCAGCCAATCTTGCAATCCAGCGGATCGAAGTAGTTCAAACTGTGGCAACTGCTATTGACTTCATGGGTGGTGCCGCGAGTTCTTCGCACGTTTCCCAACGTTGAGTACTTTCGCTCCCAATCCACAGATCCGCTGCCATTCTCCTGACTCTCACTCTTCGTCCTCATCCTGATTGTGCCATATCGCGGAGCGGAGCTTCCGCCATCCTTCAGCCGACCATTTGGCGGAAGAGAGGCGTTCCCACTCTCGTCCAGCTCCAGAATGCTCCCGCAGTCCGGCACGGTGACGTGAATGGAGTGAAGTGCCTGCACGGACTTGGGCTTCCGGAAGGAGCGCAGAGTGTTGGATCTCTTTGCGCGCTTGCCCTCACTGAGGCAGGGAGTATCGTAAATGGCTCCATTGTGTGCTGACTTCTGCACGTTGTCATTGACATCATTTGGCCAGTAGAAGCGCGAATCGCTGCTGGCGTGACGCAGTGAGAAAAAAATGTCATCCTCACCACCAGCAGTGCTATCCTCGGCGCGAATATAGGCCGAACTGCGATAGTGGCCTCGCGGACGAATTGTGGCCAGGCCGTTGCTGTGCACTTGATGCCGGTGATGTACACTGTCCCGAGACATCGTGCCTCACCACTCTTGCTCCTCCTCCCATTCAGTAACTGCCATAATCAGAAATTCCTCACTAAATGCCATATCGCTCTCTGTATCCGACAGTGACACACGTTTTAGCTATTCCCTTAATTCCCCCGATTCTGCAAAGTGTACGTCTTCACTCAGTGCTCATTGCAAGATTTATAAAATCAATTAATTCAAATGGGTGTATATTTATTACGCAGCGTTGTTGTTGAATTTTAAAACTGAATAAATAATTTAGGTAAAATTACCCTATTTTATTTCACAATCGTCAGCCGTTAAAATAATGACAGTTATTAAAATTTAAGTGTATGAGAGCATATTGAAACGCATGTGAATTGCACTCGGAAAAAGAGAGAGGAGACTTTGCGGAATGTTTAAGTGAATTTTTTCAGCATTCCTGTCAAATTCATCATTTCCTCTATTGCACAGTACTTCCCTGTTATCTAAAATACATTTTCCCTCTCATTTTTCGATAGAACAATTGCTGAACGCCGTGACGATGTGCAATCACTTGTTACTGTGGCAAAAAACATTTCCTATTCCCCTTGAGCATCGTAGATTTCTCTTTAGAGTCGTAATGGAACTTTTTTATTCGAGAACAGTCATTATCATTTGACTGTTTGTTTTCAATTTAGCGCAAAAGTGATGGACAGAATGACACAAATCCCTCGATTTTGCCTCTTTTCACTATCACTAAACTCTCTTCCGCCAACATGAGGCATCTCTTCGGGCAATGTAATTTAATATTGAACAGAGAGTGAATGTCATAAATGAGAATTAGGAATAGAAAGTACATTAGAGGGGCCATTCGGGGTTTCATGATTGACTTCTTAGGGCGATAAATAAAGAAATATTCCACTAACAGACACAGAGAGCGATTTTGTTGCAACTTTTCTCCAGAATGGGCATTAATAATAGTCAGAATAATAACTCCTTTTCTCACATACACTCAATCTGAGTGCTACACACTCGATGGAGCAATTAATGCATTCATCATCATTCCACAAATAAACCGTCTTATTCTTTTTCTATATTCCAACATTTTTCTAAATAGGTTTTTAATGTGTATCCGCATTGGAGGAGGGGAAAAAAGACGAAGATATCCTAAGCACTTGATCTTAATTAACGTCTTCAATTTCGTATTTATAGTCTGTGTGCTCTTTCTGACGAGTGAATGCCTTGCGCCTTCAATTCACTTTAATTCAGGCACTTTTTTGCCTCCTCATCTCAACTCGATCTATTTTCCATGACGGAAGAAGAAACATCCAAATCGAAAAACTTCTTTCGCCTTGTTGTGTACAATTTTTGACTGTTTTTTCTTCGATGTCACAAGCGAAAAAACACACAGAGAAAAACAGCCAAAGTCAACTTGAGCATATGATTAACATTTACACACGAATTTACATAACACTTCTCATTCTGTCCAATGTCTCTGGTTACAGATGTTGCACATGATGCCAGAAAGGCATCCACTGAAACTCTAGATCCCAGAAAGACTAATCACAAGTGGCTGCGCGCTTCTAATCACTCTGGTGTCCTCATTTGTGATTTTTCACTGCCTCTCCTCACAAGTGGCGAATACAGCACAGCAATACTGCGAGAAAACTGTGGGAAATGCCACGGAGTAGTTGCGCACTGCTGGAGATGCAGCCCACTAATCACGGACTGTTGTTCTCAACTGATATTCTCCGCTGAGACAGACACAGATCAACTCGTCTCAATTGAATTAAAATACTATACGCGCGCCAGCGAGCCCAAGTAGCAAATGGAGATGTGTGGTGGAGAGAAAGAAATGGTATAAAGTAGTGGATATAATGTGAATATGGAGTTGGAAGGCAGAAGAAAAAATTGGTTGTCGTGTAACAAATACTAACGACTCTCTTGGCGATGGTGACGTAAAGGCTGTACAATTTGTAAGCAAACATATGGGAGAGACCCGGAGGCCAGCGCCAACCAACTCAACTCCATTCGGGGCAGTCTCGCATACTCTTATACTCCACAGCGATGTTGGCATGACGACTTTGACTTTGCCTCCGAGCCGCCAGCATAAAATCCCAAAAGAAATGCTATTGAGCAAGAGACTGCCCGCCTCGCAATTGCATTTCGTATGACACAGCACACGAGTTGGGAACATGCACAAGACAATCACTGCACTTACATTTGTGGACAGTTGACTGGAGAGACTCATAACTTGCTCGCGCGCCTCAATAAGTTCCCGCTTCAGGCGACGCACTTCATGAACCTGGCCCTGCCTCTCCTCCGATCCTGTGCCGTACAGCGAAGAGCCTCCAGATAGAAGGGACGCTGCACTCCCATGAACTGCGTGGTGTGCGTGAAGAAGAGAAGACACATGATTAGAGAACTTTAACTGAATAGAGAGAGAGACTTTCCCAACCACTCCACCCATTTATAGGCTCAACGGCATTCCCACGGGCTGCGCCGCGCGGCGTGGAAAATATGGCCATTGGAAAATGTGTCCCTCAGAGTGGAGATAAGGGCAGTGTGAATTTAAAAGGCTGGAAGAGAAAGGCAATTCTAGGCGCAACTTGATAAAGCTGACTTGAAGAAACAACAAACATGCTTAAATTCGTGCTGTTTGCTTATATCAGCAGGCTAATTGAATTATTTTACGCGCTAATTGATGCTATTCAGACGTGCGTCATATTCCATTCTCGCTTTTACTTGCTTAATGGTGCTTTTAATAAGAATACACTCAGGAATTTCAGGAATATTCTTCATAATAATGAATTAATATCACATAAGAATCTCTTTTCTCTGAGTACTGAACCCAAACAGAACTGTCTTCTCCGTAAATTTCAAGACTCCTCTGAAAGTTTCCAGTGAGCATTCCAACCATAATGCCATGCCATTCTAAGAAGACAACTTTTTCCTCTTTGATCTCCACACAAGGCACATTTTTCCATCATGTTCCATCTCGGTGCGCATTCTCCGGCCAGTCTTTCACCGTGCATCGAAAGCACAATCTCAGCCCAATCCCACACACACCACTTGAGCCCGTCGAAGCCCTCATAAATTATTAAGTATGGCAGATAGAAGACATTATCAAGGCACTGTACCTTCGTCATTTTTCTTCTGATACGGCAATCGTTGCCCAATGTTGTGGGTGGGTGACAGTGGACCCGTGAAGCTGCGATTCGGCGGCGTGGGTGACGTCGGCTGGCTCCACGGAACACTCCCAGATGCCAGTTGCATCTGGGTCCCAACGGGCAGGCAATAGTACGGCTCAATTTCCATATCGACGCCGCGGCTCAGCAGAGACGGGTACATCTTCTCCGATTTGGTTGACCTACAGAACGGAGAGGCACATAGTTGATCAATTATTCCCTCCGCTTCACGATTCATCGGTGAGAATTCAATTTCCTATTGTGTTTCTTGCTCCACTGTCTTCGCTCTAGAATTGATATTTGCTATTCTCGCTAAACATAAAGGAAATCCTCCACATGTGCACATTACAGGGTGTTTGCCAGCCAGTTCCATCGCCATTATCTTCACAATCGCTTGCTCTCTGTCTTGCCATCAGCATTTCAGCATAAGAACACGCCAATATATTATTTTCACAAGTCCATAATGTGTGTAGATTTTGTGGTGGGAGAGCAATAAGAAAAGAGCCATTGACAAGCTGACTAAAGTTTTCAAGTGCAAACTTGGCTAATAGTATATATTTCCCGGGCAAAAAGAACGCAATATGATTCGAGCAAAAAGTTTTATGCTTAAATGACTAATTATTCAGCATTTAGGATTATCGCTGTGCCTGTCAGAAACCGAAGTATTAAGTTCAATCAAAAGAGATATCGGCTATAGCAAATTCGAAATGACAGCTGAAAAATATAATCGATAGTCTCCACACCATCATTTGCATTTATAGCAATCCCAGCACGGAGAGAAGGACTGATTTATTGTGAAACTTGTGCAATATCTCCAGAATCTTCAGTATGTTGAGCAAGTCATTCCGACCGAGAAACAAGGGAAAACTTGAGGTTGTTGAAAAACCTAATTAGAAATTCTTTTAAAGTGATATCACGGGGTTGCATAAGAATGGCAGTCAACAACTTGCAGGTGCACTTAAAGTTTCCTCTTGTGGTTTGCTCATGGGGTGTTTTCTTAAAAATTCATGACAACGGAGATTAATAGTTGACAGTGCAAATTAAACAGTCACTGCTCGCTTGTGGTATTTTCTCGTCTGGGGCCAAAATATATGAGGGACAATGTGGAAATTTCATTAGAGCACCTTCGACTTTGGCACAATGCGCGTTTGGTGAAAGCCTTCAGCACACACTTGGCGAATGCGCGCGGCTTTTCAAATACACTTTGAAACTTTTCCAGAATATTGATGAAGAAATTATATTTACCCTCCCTGTCAGCGGAAACTTCAGCACGAGATTTTCATTTCTCACTTGTGAAGCTGTTTGAGAACTTTGTTAAATATGTCAAGATACATTTTGTCGATTACACTGACATTGGAAATCAATAGTTTGTCATACAAACTCAAAAAGGTGCTATATTTAGCTCAGGTGAAGGCATTAGTTCTTACACTGAAATGACTCGTGTGTTCAAATATAAAAAAAATGTCATTAATCGATGTAACATGAAAAATTGCAAACACCGCGAGTGTCTTTCGCGTCGCGATTTTGCATGGAAAAAGTCGGTAACACCGCTGTAGAGTAGAGGAAATTTATAGCAGCACAAATACAATAAAGAAAGATGAGCTTTGTGTAAAAAATATACATCAATGAGGAGTGTAATGCTCGCAAGGGGTTCATCATTGATATAAAACAAGTAACCAAAAGGAATAAGAAGAAAGTGCTAAGGAATTGCAAATTACACTACATAATGAATCACCCCTGCAATGTTATGCCGTGACATATGAATTTCTATAGTGTAATGGCTGAGGAGTCAGTGTGCTTCACATTATGACACTTTTTGCAAGAAAAAGCATATAAGCTTCTTGTTAAAATGCATGTGCTTGGATGGGAAAATGTACCTCGGATATGTCCTCTCCCTAAGATAGCTTTAAGGAGATACAATTTATGTTCTTTTACTCTCTTTCTCCTTGATGACGCAACCACCCTAACTTCGCCCAGTAGCCATTTGATGGCGTGGCAAATCCCACGAGAAATCACTCACCTTATACTATTGCTACGGTTCAGTCTGGGACTGTTGCCGAACGGGTCCCTCTGCAGCTGGAGCTTGTGGTTCCTTACTCCCACCGCCTGTGCGATTTGGAGACTCTCCAGTGAGTCTCCCTCGGACAGCCTACTCGCGGCCGTGCTGCTGTGCTTCAGCCACATGGCGTAGGTTCCATAATCAGGCTTCACCTCAGCGTAGGTCTGTGTGTCCGAGAGGCTCCCGTCGTTCAGCTTTCCCGACGCGCGATTGGACATGCGGTGATGGAAGATGTGCAGATCTGTTCCAGGCTTCGGCAAGCTGTGCGATCCAGTCGATAATCGCTCCCGAATCGATTGACTCAATTGAGCCGCCCCCGGACCGGTGAGAGAGAAACTCCGGTGTTGAGAATTTTGATGAGCCTCTGCGGAAGGATAGAAGAGGGCACGAGTTACTCAGAAGTTTATCGATAAACACCCCCAAGAGTTTGGCTTTCAACTTTAAATTCAATAATTGATAGAGACGTCCCCCTGCTGTCTTACAAAACCAATCAGACTTGAATGAGGACACAGGCGCTCTTCTGTATGCTCATAAACAAGGACAAGGAAAGGCCGTGTGTTTGTCTTTATTACGGCACAATTTCCACGTAGAGTAACTTCTCATCAGACCTGTGATTGAGCGGGCGTAATGTGTGCCTAGAAAATGAACCACATCCGTAAAAAATATGATTACGGCCATGGCAGATTTTCCTGTACTCAATATCACATTTTGTTATTATACTTTACGCTTTTTATCCGGACTTATTGATCCTTTGCCAATTTTGGTGGAGATTTATCTTAGGAACGACAAACGTATACCGTGATTCTAGTGATCCCCGCCCAGTATTAAGTGTATAAGTCAGCTCACTTGATTGGAGATCCGTGGAGCAGGTCTGAGTGCCTCCGGACACCTTCATCTTGCCACTGCGGGGCACTGCAGAGACGTGGGCCGTTCTGTTGACGTTCTGCGCCCCCATCAGCAACTGCTGGTGAGCTTCCGGCCCGATATTATTGGCCATCACCGTTCCGTTGGTGCGCTTGATGTAGCCAAAGCTCTGCGGCACCTTCGTGCGACTGGAGCCACCCTTGGACGACGAGTGGCTCCGCCGAGAGTGGCTCGGCGAGCACTTCTCCTTTCGCGATGCAGTTGGACTCAGTGGAACCTATTTTGGGGGTTGTGAACAAATCGCAATAGAGCACGAAGGGCGGTTTTGGCATAAAAGTTTTCAGGTGTGTCACTTACCTCACTGCAGATTCCATTATTCGGTTCCGGAATTTTATTCCAGTGCTCTCTTCCATTTCTCAGTCCCTTACTTCCGGCACTCGTACCGTTCATTTCCATTTCCGCGCCTGTCTCTATATTTTCAGCATTTTCGTGTCTACCACATCGAGATCTGTGAAAGTTAAATGGGAATTCATGAAAATTTGGAGAAAATGGGCAAACGAGTGTGATTACTATCAACATTGTCCCACTGAAAAATGCACTCTTATCGAAATGCGAATGGGAAAAAAGGTGTCTGTCTCTCCCACCCACTTTTCCATCCAGTATTCGCGTTTTGTGAAAAATTGCACATTTATTCCTACTGACACGGTGTTGAAAAAAAATAGGAGAGAGAGAAAATTAATACAAAGCATGGGAGTGGAAATACAGTGAGGAC